AAACTTTTCTAGAGAGAAAGTTCTATTATAGAATTACTAATATCGTAAATACTTAGTATACTTTATAAATTATTCTTTATTAAAATAATAAACTACTTTATAGTTTATATACTTAGAATAAGCTACTATTATAACGTTTTTCTTAATAGAAATCGCGTCTATAATTTCGGAACGATATATAAACTAGAATTTAAGAGACTTAGAAGACTTACGAGTACGGAATTTATTAATACGAAAGATCTATATAGTTAGCTATAATAGAGAAAGAAGAGAAATAATAGAAATTAAGAATAATATATCTTAAATATAATAAGATCGTTATTAGATCTAAGAGAGAAGAAAGTATTAAGATTTATATATAAACCTTAGGCGTATAGAATTCGAATAATCTCGTTAGATACTACTAATAAGGAAGAATTATCGAAGATCTATATACTAGAAGTATATAACTTTCGAAAGAGGTAATCTAGAATATAATACTATACTATTATACTAGAATAGAGTAATAGAGCGATAGAGTACTACGAGTCTTCTATATCTATATAGTTATCGATCTTTTATAGTTAAGTTTATAGTCTCTCGTAGTAAACCTTCGTTATAAGTTAGATAATATATTTTCTAATTCGACTATTATTTATAGAATTCGTCTCTTTTATCTATACTTAACTAGATCTTGTCTTCCCTTACGTCAGTAAATACTGACCGGACTCGTGATCCTGTGGAACGATTCGTGACAATAAGCCTATTCTACTACTAGGATAAAAGAGTTATTCTTAGTAACCTTTTATAGCCGAGATAAGACTACGTTAATCTTCTCCGAGGCTATATATCTAATCGTTCCGAAGAAGTATAAGGAGTTAGCTTTATAAGAATAAAGTACTTCTAGCGTTAATATAGTATATTAATTTAGAATACGGGCGCGTTAATTACTTATAGATCTATTATAATTATCCTTTAACTCGAGCCTTAATATTATTCTTAAGCTCTTCGGCCTAGAAATTATATCTCTAGCTAGCGTAGGTTAGTAAAGCTACCTTTATAATATAATGATAAGATCGGTTTAACTAATAAGTTAGTAATAGCCCTACGTAGAAAGAGATTGATAATAGTCTCGTAGATAATTCGAGTGTATAGAAGAATAAGAGTAGAAGAAAATTATTCCTAGATCTTAAGGCATACTCTCCGTACAAATTACAATAATTCGCGATATAACCGTAAATATTCTAAAGGAATCGGCTGCGCAGTGGCGCGGGTTAACCCGACCCTACCCGCGTTAGGGCTACCCTAAGGGTTAGGCCGGGTAGGCACCCCGTAGCCTAACGGGCGCCCCGGGCGGGTATCTAAAATCTAAGCCCTACCCGCGGTACCTATTAGGGTCGGGCCGCCCTAACGAGCGGGTATAACCCTCGAAAAAATTACCGTATTTTACGAAAAATACGCGATTTTACTAGGAAATCTTTAAAAATACCGTACGGTATTGTAAATTAGTAAGCGATTACGTAAGAAAATTCGCTATTTTTAGCGAAAAACTCGCTATTTTTAAGAATTTTGGGTTCTTGGCAAAACCCGTTAGGTACCCTACCCTACCCGAAACCCGTGAGGGTAGGGTAGCGCTTTTTTTAAAAACCCTATTGGGTCAACTGGGCGGGCGGTAGGTGCCCTAAACCCTGCCCTACCTAACCCGTTGCGCAGCCTACTTCCGGCTGCGCAGTAGCGCGGGTCAGCCCTACCCTACCCGCGTTAAAAGGATATACCTTATTGATTAGGGTGACCGCGGGTCTATTACTAGTAGTAGTATATAACTCTTCAAGTTATTACCCTACGGATTCTAGTAATATAGCGAACCTATATCTTGGAATAAGCTATAGGTCCTCTAATAATAGGGCACTAGGACTTTATAATAATAGCCATTAAGGCAGGCGAGGCGAATCCGCCTAATATTCTATCCTCTTAGTACTATGCCGCCGTAGTTAGTATCTCCGTATAGGTACTCTCCCTGAATAGCCAACTACACTTATACGGTTTAAACCGAGAAATATCCGGAGAGAGGAATTTATAAATTATAACTAATTGTATCTATTAGGATAAGATAGGATTCTTCAACCAAGTTCTACATCTATTCGAGTATCGAGATACTTATATTAACAATATACGGGTTAAACTAGCGGACATCTTTATAGGTGCGGTGCCAGTAGCGACAGGACCGTCAGCAGCTATCTACGCTTTATAGACCGGTAAAGGTTTTAGATTCCGGGTGCTTAGACGTAGTCTCAGCGATAACCAAGTAGCACTGCTAAAAACGGCCTCAGGTCGGCGAGAGCGTGCGGTACCGTTCGAGGAGATTAACCTCGAAGGTAATTAGGTTGGTGCTTCCGAAGACTAGATTCGCTTTCGAACCTGGGAATTGCAGCTGCGAGCGACGCGAAAATTGTTGCACATTACCTAACTCCGCTATTTCCGCCTTCAGTGCGATATATGAATATTGTTCCTGGAAAACATTCAATCTCTATTATTGACCATCATCGCCTTCTCGTGGGAACATTTTTCTTTGAAGTCGCGTTCTGCGTCGTCGACCGAAAGGATCCTTATTGGCTCTCAGAAGTTCGTCAGGCGAACCCCTGTCGTCGGTTCCGCTTTGAGGAGGACTATAGCGTACACGTGGGAAAATATTTAATAGATTGCCTAGGTTCTCTATTTGATCCTGAAGTGCGTGAGGTTGGAAAGTCAAAGGCATGTCGCGAATCATGGCGATTATCAAGATTATTTCTGCAATTGTAATTGGAAGAAGCCGTGATAAAGAAATTCGCTTCCAACGAAGCTGACCAACCTTTCAACACTGGATGAGTATTCCTCTGTGATTCTGTTGATATGGTTTCGATGACGTTTGTAAGTCTACCATGAATTGGTCTCTTCGATCTTGTAGGATCCCGCAGTTCAACATAGATTTCCTATTGTGAAGACGATGGCGAGAAAAGTCGTCAATAAGGAGCGTTAGCTCTGCAGCCTGTGGGCAGGGCCATGACCGAGTCGAGAGAATATCTTGGGACCACTACCTCATATAATGTGAATAACATATGTTCGAGATTACTTCGCCATTAAGCAAGTAGTGAATGAGCTTAAAGAAAACTATACAAGTCATATTGTTAGGAACGCCTAATGGGAATAGGCAGAGTACAGCGATAAAGTCTTCAATTGGTATTAAGTGCTCCTTAACCCTATGGTTGTACACGACTCGAAGCATGAGAGAAGGAGAGCTCTCTCATACGGGGCGTGTGCAGTTCATATCTCTCAGCTCTGTCCGAATAGCCGAGGGATGCAAGTTGTCGGCAATTGGCATCGGCATTCGTGACACATATCAACTCTCCAAATACGATATAACTAGGCATATAAGACCGCGTGTGCGTCAATCACACTTTCTGCTAGCATAGCGGTCACGAGGACTATTAGAGACTTAGAGTTGGATTGACTAATACTCAACTAAGTTCACTCTCACGGGGTTGAAAGTGCTACTAGTCGCAAGGCAGGATGACTTAAGTTAGACCGGTTGATCTAGATTGGAAGAACTCGGTTCTCTGAAGGACCTATCTAGGATCTCGGTTCACCGTGTTGGTGACGTCGTCTGCGTAACGAACCTCCAGGCCGGTCCTATCAAAAGAGGAAAGTGCGCCGAGACCTAAGTAGTCCAATGCCAATCAAACAATAGTCATGTTAAGAGACTACGCCGACCATTACAGTATCTTGGAAGGACACAAGATTTCTCTGATTATCCCCGTTATTGTTAGCTCGGGAACTGTGCCGATAAGAGAACGCGGCCGCGTGTGGCAGTTTCCTTTCAGGCTTTGCAACATCTCCGAGAACTTAACAACTGCAAGTGTTGACCACTAATTCAACGATTCAACTCCTCCTACCTATAACTCCCACAGTCCTAGAATAATTTGCTATACAATAATGACCTTCCTCACAGAGCGATGGCTACGCCAACATCCGAGTGCGTTCAACCTCCTGCTGAAGAGATGGTAAAACGCGTGGAAGAGGACTCCGCAGGCGGCAAGATCCAACTCCTGTTTCCAGAAACAACCCGATATCCTATGCCTCCGAACATGACTAGGGCATTAGTATATACCTACTTGCATCCACCAAAAGATTGTGAGACCACCTGTGAATCAATCACTGTTTCAGCTGGCGTAGCGTTCATGAGGACTGTGAAAAGATTTAAGTTGGTATGAATGATAGTCGAATAAGTTCACTTTTCAAGGCCTGAACCTCCTTTGATATGTCGAGCTGACGAAGTACTAAGATTTAGCACTGGATTCAGAAGTCCCTCAGTGTATTTCGAAATGTCCCCGGTTGGTAAGGTGCAGGGATTGTTTCACAATCCGGTTCGGCCTCAGGATCGAATATGGTACACTGGATAAGGATGAATTAGATTATTGGCGATACCAGAATAGTGCAGAGAATACCTTTCGACAATCTGTCTGGTGATGAAGTCCGCCAACTGCAGTCGTAGCCTGGCTGAGACTGTGTTGTGAGAGCGCAGGATTCGGTGCCATGAGTCTATATTATTTGTTTGTGCACCAGGCTGAGTTCACGGAAGTGTAGTGATCAACATTGCTTGTGCAGATTGTCGGAAGTCCAACATTTCGAGGTCATTCATTCTATAGGTTGCCGCGCCGGCTCGCAAGCCTCGGCACACCTTCCCGTCTTCTGCCACGGCGAATGTTCGGTAACCTGCCTGACTCCTGCTTTGGAAGAAGCCGAAACCGCATATCTCTTGTAATCTTTGGATTCTCATCTTCTTTACTCACTCTCCTACGTCTCCTTCGCTCCTATGCAGAGTTTTCATCTCCGCCATGCCCTCGACCTTGGCTTAGTCTGTACTGCGTGCTATGACCAGAGTCCCTTTTATTCCAAGTCACGTATTTGCGATGTGAATCTGTAAAGACCCTCCGATAACATTGCTATATGCAGACTCCACTCCCTCGATGTCCTCTTTTTGTGCTCTGATCGCTCGTTTCAATCTTGCAACGAGCTGTTGACCAAGCACGATGACAATCTTACCGAGCGACGCTTGCCCTAGCGGGTCATATACGAAGCCTGTAACACTAGCCCACAACAGTGGCTTAAGTTGGGAGGAAGTCGAAGAGGAGGATGACAATATGCTTGTTAAGCTACCGAGAAATCGCCTCAGAGAAGAGTTTCTAGATGATATTCAACAGCATACATCTGATATCGGTGGTATTGTCGCTCACCATCTGTCTCTGAGCAAAACTCAGCAGTGCAGAATCGCCGACAGAGCAGAATGGTTGTATGGAGATTTCAATGCTTGTATCCCAATAACCGTCTCCAACTGGCGAGCGCAGCGACTCTTACTGAGATGTCCCTTCCCGCACATGGTCGGGCAGTCATTCGGGCTAGACGAGAAGATTCGATGTGAAGCTGCTACATTTGCCTGGATCTCTAGCAACTGTTCCGAGGTTCCTACGCCACGCTTGTGGGGGTTTGGTCTTCCCAATGGTCTAAGTGTACGATCCACAAGTGATGTCTTAGGTTAATCACTCACTGGCGTCTAGTTCAAGCATATCAAATATTTACCCTGGTACAGACGGATACTTCAATATACCAAGAACTACTTTCGATCCTGGTTTTCGCGAACACCATATTATGCTCCCTTTATTCCGACAAATTCTCGGTTTTCATTGCAGTCAGGTTATCTTCTTGTGGACTTTATCGAGAAAGAGCAAGGGAGAATGCTTTCTGAAATATGGCCACCTGATACAGATGAACAAAAGCAGAACTTCTACAAAAGCCTATCAAAAATAATGCTAGAGTTAGCACGTTGTCCATTGCCCACAATTGGCTCTTTCACGGTTCACAACTCGGGTGAGATTAGCCTTAGCAATCGCCCCTTGACAGTTCGACTCCCTTTATTCGAAGGCGAAGGGATTCCTATTGATATACCAAGAGATCGATGCTACCTAACAACTGAGAGCTATGTGCACGATCTCTTAAAGTGCCTTGACTCAAAGCTTAGGTATCAACCCAATTCTGTTCGCGACGAGGATGACGCAAGGGCTCAAATGGCATGTCTGACTACAATGCGATATTTATCTTCACACTTTATCCTCGACATGCCTCAAACAGGGCCATTTTACTATATCTGGACGGACCCTCATGCAAGCAACATATTCGTGAACGAAGAATACAAAATCAGCTCCCTTCCGGATCTTGAATGGTTCTGCTCCCTTCCAATTCAAACACTACACATTCCTTTTTGGCTAGCTGGACACGACGTCGATGAGTTTGGTGGAGAGAACAAGAAAGATTATCGTGATATGTGTACGGAGTTTCTGACAATATTTCAACGAGTGGCTTGCGAATACTCTACTCAACATTCTCAACATTGTACTGAGGCTTTGCAGAGAACACTCGAGGTTGGCACACAGTGGTACTGGGCCAGTTTATATCAGCCCCGTGCAACATACAATCTGTTTCTGGATCACTTGCAGCCTCAGTTCGCCCCAGAACACTCGACCGGATCGGACCTGTTACAATACGAAAGAATCGTGGCCCAATATTGGACGAAAGATGCAGACGGCTTCATCAAGCAAAAGCTTCGTGAAAGAGACGACTATCTGACCAGGTTGAGGTTGGTTAATGGCCGGTCTTGCTGAGTGATACTGCTTGTCCCTTTTACTTTTGCTCCTTCTCTGCTTGCTCGCGGGCTTTCTGGCGCTCTTCGGCTTTGTCTTGCCTGCGTTTGCGAGCCGCCTCTGCTGACGACATCATCGTCCGGCCCTCGATTTTTTTGACAGGTGTGCTGTCTTGCTGGGTAGCAGTAGCGACCGAGTCACTCTGACCTGAGTATGTTGAGGATGTAACGGAGTTGTGCTTGGGATCAGGCATACTGAGGACTCGGTTTAGCGTGTCTTGCCGTATTTTGCTTTTGACTTTCAGGTTGTTTTCGGAGGTTTAAACTACATCAAAATATCGGGACGTGAACAGTGATTGATATATTCTGTGCCAGTGTGTGCAGCACTATGCCAGTTGGGTTTCCAGGGTTGTTTCAAAATGTGCTACTCAGGTGTATGGATCTGCTCGGCGAGTGCATGTGAAATGCGCCACCAATATTCTCGCAGTGTCTATTGTTCGTTTCGGTTGAAGTCAACCATCCCGTTCATCGGAGATGGGGAACGTTCGGGTGCTCTCAATCCTGTTTGCTGCCACAGGAACATGGATCGCATCATGCGACGTTAGACAGGCCAGCGCATCAGACTTGGTGTGACATTTCAGCCCAATAGGCTCTTGGCTTTGCTCCCAGTTTCGGCTCAACTTTGCTTTCCACCCAACTTCGCTTTCCTCCCAACTTGGTCTTACGTAGGAAAGATAGCGAACTTGAGGTTGGCCTTCTTGATCCTTGTCCGGTCGAGTGGAAATATTCTCAGGTGGCAGGAACCATTTTGAGCAGGGCATTATCCTGAATCTGCGAAGTACGAGGCAAAGGCTCCAATCACCCAATCGGTCAAGGGTCAGCAGTGAAATCTTGTTGGCATGCGCCATTTCGATTCTGCTATTTGTGTCTTGACTAACCCATTCGTGTTATCGTATGACAACGCATCCCTCAGCGCGAGCATGTGCAGTAACCGTGCCAAGGACCTCGTCAGGGGGACCCACCCCTCCTTCCGAGTTTGGCGGCCGCGTTTACGCGGCGCCACACTTACTCTACGAGCAAGTACCTATCGGTAACTACGTTAGGTTAATAAGTACGTCGCGTTTCGTAGATTTACGCGTCTATCGACGTCGACGTCGATAACGTTATTAATAACGCTTAGATATAGTTATTTATTCTTCTTAATACTTCTATAGAGTCTTAAGAGAAAAGTTATATAGTAAATTAGGCGGTACTTATCCCTTCGTCGAGCTCTATATATATTCTAGAGAGGTTACCTCTGTAGTCTCCTCTTAAAGTCTTATACTTACTCTATTACGTTATCTCTCTTCCTAGCGCTCTAACCGGCGTTATTTATATTACTCTTAATACTATTATACTTACTCTTTACGCTCTTATACTCGTTATTAACGCTTACGCTTTCGAGCGTCGATCTTAATATATTTCTTCTTCTATTAATATAGTTTCTTAAGTCTATCGTTCTCGCGCTCGATAATATATTATATCTTCTCTATTTTAGTCTTTTATTATAACTCGATATATATTTATATCTATTACTATAATTACGCCTTTAGCGATATATCTCTATAACTAATCTCGAGACTTTCGACTCTCTTAATAGTAGAAAGTACGCTATAGATCGCGAACTATATTTATATTCGAAATAACGAGCGTCTTAGCGCCTTCAAGTTTAAGGAATAAATTAAGCGAGTCTCGTATAGTAGACGTTATCTTAGTCTATTTAACTACCTCTTTAAGAGTTTTATAGATAATATAGATTCTAGAAGAATTAAGGTTTATAAGAAATAGTAAGAGCGCCTATATCGAGCGTAGGCGGAGAAGGAGAAGTAGAAGTAGAAGTAGGAGTTCGAGAACCTATACGCTAAGTATTATTATACGCTATACGCTCGTTATAGATCTCGTTATTAAAAGTATTATAGTCGTATTAGTTATCTCTCGATAGATACTTAATTTATATATTCTATTATCGTAATTACTACTCTTCTATCTATTTAATAACTTATAACGAATTAAATAGTATAATATCTATTTTCTTCTAAGCGCTATAGATTATTAATCTCTTAAAAGTCTTATTTCTTATCTCTATAAGATTTAATAGGAAATCTAATTTATCGAACTCTTCGACGCCGTATTATATTACTCTATTAATATACTCGCTATACTAGTATTTATACGGCTAAAAATAGATAATATTAAGAGGCTAGTAAAAGTATAAGATATATATAGAAAGTAAAAAAGATATAATCTTATAATTTTAATAGTAACTAATAAAGTCGAAGACTCGAACTTAAGATACTCTATAAATCCGTTAAGGAGAAGAAGTCGATAAATATCTCGCGTTTTATACGTAGTTAATCTATCAAAGTACTTTAGCTACTCGAATATAAGTTTAACGCTTAAATACTCTATCTTAAATATATAAGAGGATCTCTAAATAAAGATTTAGTAAGATATACTTCTCGAGAATCGTCGCCGTCTATATAATAATCTAGAGTTAAATTATAGTATCGTTATTATAAATATATTTAGTTAACGTTAACGTCTTCTAATTATTAGGGCTAGATACGAAAAGCCGCGCGTATTCGTCTTCTCTAGCGACGATTTTATACGGTTTATCGTAGTCTATTCTAAACTCTATTTAATTAATATTATATATATTATAGTCTACAATATCGTATTCGGCTTATATATCTACTAACTTACGAAACTAGCCTCTTAGAGTTTTAGAATTAGGCTGCGTAACGGCTTGGGTAGGGCAGGGTTTAGGGCACCTACCGCCCGCCCAGTTGACCCAATAGGGTTTTTAAAAAAAGCGCTACCCTACCCTCACGGGTTTCGGGTAGGGTAGGGTACCTAACGGGTTTTGCCAAGAACCCAAAATTCTTAAAAATAGCGAGTTTTTCGCTAAAAATAGCGAATTTTCTTACGTAATCGCTTACTAATTTACAATACCGTACGGTATTTTTAAAAATTTTCTAGTAAAATCGCGTATTTTTTGTAAAATATAGTAATTTTTTCGAGAGTTATACCCGCCCGTTAGGGCGGCCCGACCCTAATGGGTATCGCGAGTAGGGCTTAGATTTTAGGTACCCGCCCGGGGCGCCCGTTAGGCTACGGGGTGCCTACCCGGCCTAACCCTTAGGGCAGCCCTAACGCGGGTAGGGTCGGGTTAACCCGCGCCACTGCGCAGCCTATTTAGAATCGTACGCGCGCCTACGCTTAACGGTAAAAGGTCGATCTATCTTTATAGTATATTTAGAATAATACTAAAGAAACCGATATTATTACCTATTTTCTAGTCTATATAAATATTATTAAGTAAGCTCTTTTTTAGAATAAGATAAATATGTTAATTAAGCTAAAGAGTATTACTAGTAGTTATTCGAAATATCCATATCGCGTGCGAAATACGGTCTTCTAATAATCTTCTTTCTTAATAGGAATTCTATAGTATATCTCTTTTAAGTCTAATTTAGTAAAGATATATACGCTACTTACGCGATCTAGAATCTCGAGAATTAAAGAATGAGATACCTTCACATTAGTCTCTCCTGGGCCTTGCAGACAACTGAGTTAGCCATGCCCAACCCTGGCGGCTCTTCCCAATTATCTGGATGAAGAGCTGAATTTCTCGATTGAGGTTTTCACTTCAGTGTCGACACCTTCGTCGATATGGTAGTTTGTTGCCAGAGCACAACAAATCAAGAAGGGCTCTCAAGGAGGGCGTACTTGCTCTCTACGTACCCACGAGGCCAGTTTGCACTTGTGCTACTATAAACATGAGTCATCTGTTGTCGAGCAGACAAGCTGAAGAACTGTGCGTTCCGGCCGATGTTGATACACTCCAACATCGGGTTTCGGGTCGAAGCTAACACCTTGTCTCACAGGCACAAGTCAACTATTGCATACCTGTTGGCGAACAATTTTCCAAAATCTGCCGCTGCGCTTCGAGCAGAGCCGAACCTCGGCGAAGATGTCTTCAATGACACTATGGTGAAAAAATACGAAACGTTGCTGGAGAAAAAATGGACAAGTATTGCGAGGTTGCAGAAAAAGGCATGTCTGTGCTGGAGACTCCCGGTCACCTCTTCCACATTTGTATATCCTACAGTGGCATCTGACCAACATTTTAACGTAGATCATGGACCTGGAGTCCAAAATTACGGCATTACAATCCGAGCTCGACAGTGCAACGCCCAGCTCCCTCTCGAGGCGCTACCAAGATCCCGCTTCCTGGCTTCCTAGGTCTCCTCGATATACTCTGGAATCGCATCGAGACACTATAAATTGCATTGCTTTCCATCCCATATTCTCATCCCTTGCCTCCGGCTCTGATGATTTTACCATCAAAATATGGGATTGGGAGCTCGGCGACCTGGAAAGAACAATCAAAGCACACACAAGAGCAGTGCTAGATGTTGACTACGGTGGTCCACGAGGTGGCATCCTTCTGGCATCCTGCAGCTCTGACCTGTCCATCAAGCTATGGGATCCGGCAGACGAATACAGGAATGTTCGCACCTTGCTAGGCCATGAGCATAGCGTCAGTGCCGTTCGTTTCATCTCTTCCGGGGATTCTGTCTCACCGATGTCTGGGAATTTGCTTGTTAGCGCAAGCAGAGACAATGTTCTGAAGATATGGGATGTCACCACTGGGTACTGCGTAAAGACAATACAAGGCCATACTGGCTGGATCCGAGATGTTTGCCCCTCGTTCGACGGCCGCCTCCTCTTGTCAACCGGAGACGATAAGACCGCTCGATTATGGGATATTTCCTTCTCCAATCCGAAAAACATGTCCACGATGGTTGGCCATCAGCACTATAATGAATGCTGCGCATTTGCTCCACCTGCCTCGTACAAGTACCTTGCACCCTTGGCCGGATTGAAGAAACCGCCACCTCAACAGCATGCCGCAGAGTTCATGGCGACTGGGTCGAGAGACAAAACCGTCAAACTCTGGGATGCTCATGGGACATGCTTCATGACACTAGTAGGTCATGACAACTGGGTGCGAGCGCTTGTTTTCCATCCCGGAGGCCAGTATCTACTTTCAGCGTCGGATGACAAGACGCTCCGGTGCTGGGATCTAAGCCAAGATGGGAAGTGCGTCCTGACAGTCAATGGCGTGCACGAGGCCTTTGTCACTTGTTTGAGATGGGCACCCAATATTGTCAAAGATGCTCCCGTGCTTGATGGTAGCACTGCTGCTGCAACAGACTCCCCTAACACACAGATCCGTTGCGTTGTCGCTACCGGTGGCGTGGATTCGAAGTTAAGGATCTTCGCAAGCTAGATTGGCGCATGGATCAATAGTAACGGTACCAGACATGACCATTCATACCCTCCCAGAATGTGGAAATGCCGTGTTTGACGAATCATACATCTTGGGCACCCGGGCTTACAGAACCACGCAGAGCCGCCAAGAGCACCTCGTTTTGATGTCTTTATGGACAATCGAGGAATTCAACTTCCTGAGGTATAGTAGACGAACAATAACACTTCAGCATCCGAAATCTCTGGCCGAAGTAACGAAAACGATCTCGGAAGAAGGTCGTTCCGGATCTCGGCATCTTACCTCGACTATTGTCGGGAACACCGTCTTGGGTTGGCCCATGCCATTCCACCAACTTCCGGATCACTGCAATGTCAAGCGTGAATGGCGCCTTGTCAGTAATTGCCTGGACAGATGATGGAAATGCAGTATTTGATGTCAGGAGACCTCTTACTGTGGAGGGGAAAGACCGGTAAGTATCGCTTCTGGTCACCAGGCTACTGTGGAGGTCGGAAGGCAACAGGGCTATTCTTCCAAACAAACCGAAGAAGGCTACCTCTTTGTTCTTCTATTGGACCCCTTGCCAATCTGCCTCTTGCGAAATGGACGTCTCAGCTCACGAGGCATCAATATGCCCTCTAATCTTTGTCACTACCCTTACTATTCTCCCTTCTCCTGTTGATATATGACGTCTCTACCCTAGCTTTCGCCGATCCCTGTCAATGGCGGCACACCCTATGAAGCTCGTTGTCGCAAACTCTAGCCACCCTGCCATTGCTGTATCTGCCGTTTGAACAGGGTGACGTGGGGTTTCCCTCTTCCGCCACAAGACCTGCAGTCACCACCACCCGGAGAGGTGCCTCGACCACCACAAGCCGAGCAATTTGGGGCATTTGGCTTGACTGTTCGTCCTGTCCCGCTGCAAGTTCCGCAGAGCACGGTGATGTTCTTCGGAGCATCTTGGAAACCTCTGCAAACTCTGCAGACCATTTTCGAGATGCTACAAATGGTTAACGGAAGGGGCACAGAGGGACGGCCAGGAGAGCTCACTGATAAAGGTTTGTTCGTACTTGTCCCCGTCACAGAGAAGCTAGACAGATGTTAGCCTACTTAGACCAATCGACTCCTAAGCATAAGGCACCCTTCTCGATATATCGACGATGCAAGTGTTGAAAAGACGCGACAGTCCGCCAGGCTGCCGCCTCGACCATCAGAATAACCCCTCAAGGAGCATAAACAATTCCAGTTCAAGTCTTATTTAGCTAGATTCCTACATAAGTGTCCTTCACCTTCATACTTAATTATAATATTGCGTCAATCTATCTAATACCATATTCGAAACCCCGCTTGAGCTCAATCCTGAATCTACATAGCACTCCCATATCTCGTAAGGCCATAATGTCTCGTCGATCAAACACAAAAGATTTCAGCCCGCCGAGTCGGAGTCTGGCAAGAGAAAATACCACTTTAGGACAAGGTAGTGGTCGAGAACTGAAAAGGGTAGATACAAAGAGGCAAGGGCCTCTAATAGCTACTTATGAGCCCCGCTAAACTAAGCAGAAAGAGCGAGAATCAAAAGAGATTCTAAAAAAGCCATCAACCGCAGCCTTCCTTCTGGTTAACCCGCATGGATGCCATTGCAGTGCGACACTTTTTTCCCGCAGCAGAAAGTCAAAACACGCCGCACCGCGCGTGACCCGCGGAACCAGAAACCACCAACAAGCCACTTCACTCAGCCTGCTAGACCCACGTCGTCGTCCTCAAACGGCTGCTTCTACTACTACAGTTGTACCTAAGGCTCTCTGACTTTGAACACAATTCAAGTTGGCTTCCGACAAACATATGAGCATTGGTACAATACAGTCCCATACTCTAGGCACCTAGGCTACGGATACTAAACAACTGACGCAGCTGCTGCGTGGGCGAATTTTGCAGAAGATTACAAAGACTCTCAAACGGGCGTGTCATTCTGCCCGTCGGGGGATATGCCATGCTTTGCAACTCTACTCCGACATTCACCGGACAATACAGTACTCCCCCGTCGTGTTATCCTCAATGTAACTGAAAAGAGCAACAGCAACAACAGCAACAAGCAGCAACAAGCAGCAACAACTGTCTGCAGCTCGAATGTTTGGCGAGTGAGCTCGCACCTGGAGTGAGGCCACACACCACGCGCCCGGAGGCAACGACTCGGTGCCCCGGGCATTTTGGCGATACCAATCTATGGTGTGGGGAAGATACCATCTACTTTAGGTACTGCTTCTGTACTCATCCCTCATACAAGGTAGCAAATCCCTGCTCTACTAGTAGTGAAGATGATTCGAAACTTTTATCATATTGTTTTTATCCAACATACATAAGGAAACTCTGTCGGCCCAGCGGTTGCTCAACCCTAAGGGCAGAGCGGAAAGCCAGAACCGTAACAGAAAAGAAATGCTGTCCGAGCGTGTACAGGACAAGACATGTAGGGACAGAAAAGGACAGGATAGTAGCCGAAGCGACTGGTAAGGGAAGAAAACAAAACAAAACAAAACAAAAGAGAGGTAGACCATTTCCATATCATCCATCTGTCCACCCATCTGCTGGCAGGCAGCTGGTGGTCAGCCCATTAACAAGTCGTGTCGTGTCATGTCATCACATCATGTCCAATCAATCTCACAAGTCTCAAGTCTCACTGGCACAGTTCCAGTCGAGTCGAGTCAACTCCTCCCACTCCACAGCTCAATTCATATCAGGCAGTTAGACCAAACCTCAAGCGTTCCCGACCATTCCTATATCTGGCACACACGTAATACAAGCACGTATGCATGTGTGCAGAAACAGGGGCGGGAACACAGTCGGGGCCAAGTCATGTCGCCTTCGCCTGCGTCTGGCTATGGTCCTGCCGGGCTGTGGCTGGTGTTAGAAGCTGGAAACAGAACTGCGAGGGGATTGCCACTGCCAGTGTGGTGCGGTGCAATGGCAAATACATCGAAAGCTAGGCATGGACTTACCGAACAGCAGAACCTTCCCACTCTGCTGCACGACGTCTCATCAAAAGCCGCCGTACATGTCAGAGTCCTCCGAGTCGGAAGCTGGGGCCGAATGATCAGGAGTATACGGAGCCTCTTCTTCGGCACTGAGAGTTTCTGCACCGTCGTCATCGTCATCATCATCGGTGCTTGTTTCCTCTGCTGCCATGTCCGCAAGGGCTTGCCACTGTCGACGAATCGCTGAAAGGCGAAGGCTGACGGTCGACTGGAGGACCTCCAGGGACAACATGGCCGGAAGCAAGTGCCGACGCCCACATCGACGAATCGCTTCTTGGGTCATGGCCTCCTGCAGGTAAGCCGGGAGCTTGTCCCAAGCGATGTTAGCGTCAGCGACGATCCGTGTAGGCGAGGACGGCGGGCTCGCGGATGACATCCGGCGGAACCGCTGGTGTGTCCGCCGGATGATACCATTGAAGTCTTCAAGAGCTTCCTCGTTCATGCCCAACTCCGTTCGCGGATCGGCGGGACTGGTGTCCACGTTTGGGGAGTCGCGGGTCATGGTGGTGGAATTGCTTTGCTGGGAAGATGAACTGTTTCGATCAGTGTCTCTTGTGGACTCCTGAGAAGGGACAGATGGAATGGTGACACTTGATGTCCGATTATCCCCTGCAGCGACAGAGCTTGACGGCGTGACGCTGTTGGTGTTCGTTTCGCTATTGGCGTTGACGTCGAGAGCTGCAAAGTTCAAGTTGTCAGCAGTGTTGAGACTTTCTACCCCGGCTGCAGTGTTGTTGATATGGTTAGAGTTCTCTTCTTGGACTGCACTGCTGTTCAAATGGTTGGAGTTCTCTCCCGGGCGTGGAGTGCTGTTGATCTGGCTGTCGGTGACGGGGGAGGTATCAGTGCGGATGCCTCTGGCGGGCACTGGCCCGTAGATATACACAAGGCCAAGAGGGTCGTCAGTATCGTTTCTTATGACACCGTTGGCCGACAGCAGCTGATACAGGACCTGGTACAGGGATTCCATTTGAGATTTTCAAATTCAACTGCTTGTTCGGGGTTGGCGAAAGAGGATGGCCTGGATGTAACTCACCGCGTCGTTTATATGCTTTGATTTGCTCGAGCATGGGGAGCCATCTCCGCGGTGCGCTGCATGCCTTAGGAGCCCATGTCCCATTAGCGAGAATAGTGCCCTGATGGCTGGTGATTTCGCCCATGGCAACCTCGCATAATTAGTCCCTTGCCTTGTAAGTGCATTGCCTCATCTCGCTCGCTTGACTTCGCCTGTCTGAAAGATTAGCCCCCCCTTTCGACAACCCCTCCCCCTCAATAGTTGCAGGTTTCTAGTCGTACTTTCGGGCAATTAGTGCCATTGTGGACCACCCGACCGTGCAAGTGGCTCGCGGCAGATGGACGGAGCCACATCATACAGCTATAGTTGTATATGCACGGATCCGCCGTATATCTAGGCGTCGAGACGTGTAAATGAAAAATGGCCTTCGGAACTTCCTATGCTGGTCCTAGTCAGTAGTTGACATAAAAGGCTGGGGAAGCACCTATGAAAGCCCGCCTGGGATATCTTACTGAACCCGCGTCAGAGTGTGTGCCAGATGTCGCTGGTTACACACCGACCACGGCTGGGCCAACCGTGTTGTTTGTCGCATGGGTTGTCGTCCACTAGTCGGCGCATCATCCACCCTGGAGGCTTTTGTGGCTGCTAGTGCGGGATGCGAGTTGCTTGCTGTGAGCGTGCTGTTGGTGTCGGACCCCAGCGAGCGAGTTCATTAGAGGATGCCTTTTCGCCTCGAACAGGGTTCGTTTCGGGGAACAAGATGCTGCTGCCGTGATGGATGCAAAATGCCTGTCCATCCCCGAGTACTAGTCCCTATGTTGTGTAATCAGGATAACCCGTCGCCATCAGCGCTGCCCGGGAACTCGTGCCTCTACCCCTCTAGACCTTCCCCTCCCTCTCTTTGTTCTCACCCTTTGGCGATATCTATTTTTCACTTTCACAGAGTTCAGGGGAATGGCGGCGCGCCCCGACGCTTCGGCACCCAATCGATGCCCGGGGATTCACCATTGAGCAGACTCGACGGCGTCACCACTTACAAGTAGGCGTTTACAGCTGTGCCGTGTGTACAACAACAACCTCTTACCGCTTTGGGTTATTCCTGAGCGATCAACAGTCAATACCATTCTCTCTGCTGCGAGTCCGCGCTCGGGCCTGGACCCTTGACGCATGTTTCGAGGCTTGAAGTGTCAAACTTGAAGGAGAGGAGCACGCTGACAGGAAGTACAGTAAAGCGAATGGTGGTGTCAGCTGTCAAGATCGCTGTCGAAACGCCAAACTTGCCAGGGATACTCCCGTCTGGAACCAGTCAAGGTGCGGTCCGTCCGTCCCCACACTTCTACCTTTCCTTCTGCTGTGGATCTGATCGGATAGAAGGGCAAGCTATTCTCCGACTTGTCATTCCTTGGCCCTGCGCCCCGTGCATAGAGTTCTGATGTTGCCATTCCACTTGAGTTGGTTTCTCATTCCAGTCAGAATGATCCATCCAAGGCCCAGGTTGTATGCCACCACAATCTTTAGCCCCAGAACTCACTCTCGTTCGAAAGGCACAGAAAGGAGTCGTCGCTAACCTAGTGGGCTCTGGTAAGGGACTGCCGAGCTATGCTGGGAATGGATGCGTCCATGGTAAAACCCATGCACCCGCAGGGCGACACATTGAATAAGGACCCACATGTCTAACATGAACTTCTCAGGCTCTGGGGCAAGCTCGTGTTGCGTGGATCTGGATGTCAGCCGCGATTCACACCGTAGTACCATCGTTCCCTTTCCCCACGCAATCATGCAGCTCAATATGCATCAGCTCCCCTCCTTTCCACCCCGAGTGTGTCTCGCTCGCGCAATACTTGTTCTTGAGCGATTTGTAAAGCGGTGACCATTGTGAATCCACGAGCCTGTAAGGAGGTGGTACCCTTGTTGATTTGTGTACCCTTGTAGACTTGTCAAGCCCTCAAAGAGCTGCACACCTCTGGTGGCCGCGCAATCACACAGACTCAAGGCTGAAATGTCACCTCTCGCTGAAAAGCACAGCATACTGTGGCGACAGCCGACCGTGCTGCGCATGTGGGCGGATAGGAACCCTTGTCGCTTTTCAGTCTTACTCGGCAAAATGAGCGCTCACGGGAGATTTTCACATTCGAGGATGATAGCTCTATTGCTGTGCTGTCCCCGAGGACGAGCTCAACGAAACGCCCTAAGTGGACAGGGATCGATAGCTGCCTTGGAAGAGAGATCCTCGATCTCAGCTGAGCGGCATGGGAAGCAGGTCGGCCACAATCTAATGGGACCTACCCTCCCAGGTGTCTGAGAGGGAGCAAATCCGGAGACCCTGGTTCTGTTCCAACAGGAGCTCAGCCGCTCCAGATCCTAGAGTCGGACTCCCGGCACAGATAGTGTGCCAGCAGTTTCACCATCGAAAGCCCTGCTCCCGGACTCCTTGACGCTGTTCTCGACAGATCCTTCTGTTGCAAGCACGGGCATGTCGTTCCATGGACACAATGGTTGGAGGCAGGGGCAGTCTTGCACTGACAGCTCAGCTTTCGACACGCATGTGAGTGTCCACCACCACGCCCTGTTGGGCAAGCTGTCTCCTCGACGAGGGATGCGCAGGCGGATAGGCTTCGATCGCTAATGATTCACGATCTCGGACGACGCCGTGGCAGAGAGCCTGGCGCGACAAGTTCCCCTTTCAACCAGGGGTCGTGCGTCGTTTGTGCATACAGCACCTTCCTTCCAGGATACTGTAAAGCCGACATGACCCCCTCCGTCAACTGTTGATCGGCACGCTCGGTGGTCGTTTGTAGGTCCCGTACCTACCTGTCAGGGTAAGAAAAACCTGGCAAGTGACTTCAACCCAGGGTGCTGAGCCGTGCGGTGCATTTGCTTCCAGCGCCTCCCTTCCAGGGTACAGGAAACTCAGCCATTCCCTCCTCTGTCAAGGTGGCTTGAAGGCTTGAGCGTCGTGAGAGTGAAGGTGGGGTTTACCCAGTCTTCCATTTCTTGAGCTGTGATGACTGGCTCGATGCCCTCAGGGAAGTAGTTGCTGTCTGATGCTTTGTAAGGTGGCATGGAAATGCGAGAACCAGGCAGCATTGAACCAGGGTAAAGACCTTGGTGGTGGCGGTACGCTCGCAGCAATGTAGGCCTTAGTGCATTTCTTTTCATGCAGGTAAGAAATGGAGGGATGCCATGCCGGCCACTGGTCCGTGGAGGCGGCACGAGTAGCGTAAAAGCCGATCGAATCGATCCGATTTCCACGGAGAGTGCTGGCAGATTGGCCTGAGTGACTCTCAGACGTGGTGGGAAGCCTGAAGCACTGTACCTGTCCTGCCTACTACCACTGTAGTAGTAGTGTAAGGCAGAATCCAACGAGCTATGCAACAGATAGCCATAATTAGATGAGAGATCGTAAAAGGCCAATTTACGTGAGTTGAATGGGGGCACACCAATCCTGAACGACTGGCTAGTTTGACGTTTGGATTTCGCATGCCAGTGCCAGTCTTGTGCCGGGATCTGCAAATCTGAGCTACTGTTAGTACGCACAGTTAGGTGGCACTCAGGCTGTAGGTCAATTACTAGTACAGTAGTGTTAGTTTCATTTCCAGCCTGAGCAGCGACACTGCAGTGGCAGTGGCAGGACCTCACCCACGACGCCCTTTCGGTGTGGTAGATACTCTGAGATACATACTAGCACTAGGTACGGTCTTTCTTGCTGGAGCTACTAGTCATGAGTAATGTACGTAAAGCTGGGCTCGGAAGCATTGCGGGAAAAGCCATCCATCTGTCCATCGATCACTCCATGTAGACCTTCCTCACGACCTGTCTCTTTTCACGTTCGCTTTCCATTTCCTTGCCGTTCCTCACTACTCTGAGTCGGTCTGTCCCGCCTGTCCCCACAGAATTGATTGGCGTTTTACTCCAGAACACACCTCAGACAGGACCCGCCCTGCATCCCTCTCTGCCTGGTCGCGCCCTGTCAAGCATTCACGGGCGGGATGCCGTCTGTCCACCCGCAAACTCTGAGAATCCAACTTTAGATATGGTTCTTGTGCTCGGTTCCAGCCATCGCGGAGGAGTAAACCTTGTGGTCGGGTGGGGCGGAGCTGAGGTTGAGCTCAAAGTATCCTGTCTTGACTTACGTGGCAACTGGCGGTGTCCGAACGTCCCAAACGAGAAGAGTACAACAGAGCAGCGAAAGAGGCATCGCTACCAGCGACCTTGACATCAACGTTCGAAGAAGACAACTCAGGCGCACTGCAATGGGAGACTTCGATGACAGCGTAGCACAGCATAACGTAGCATCACCGAGTAAAAGACACCGAGTAAAGGAGAGCACGGGCGAGCACCGCACGGCACGGCAGGTCAGGGCAGGGTAGGGTAAGGGAGAGGAAACGGAGCACACATGGATCGACCATTCGATAGGCAGAACATGAGAAGGGAGCCAAACATGGCTCTGCGGAAACAATTTCCCAACTCCAGCCTGAGGGACCAAAGAGGTACCTGGGAGAAAGGAGTCCTAGGAATGTATCAGTGGCATCTGGCCTCACACATGCACACACGCTCATTCTTTCAACAGCACACACGCACATCCCCATTGGGAGTCTCGCGAGACGCTCCCACACCACAGGGAGCATGGTCTAGAGATAAAAGTCCAGAAAAACAGCACGGAAGGCAACGTAGATTCGTCGCACCGAACCCAACATGAGCTGGACAACAAACGCTTAGTGAACAACCAACTGTTCCCGTGAGCCGACCTGCCAGTAAAACGTGAGTCAGAACTCACAAGTCGAAACTATATTCCTCTTCGACGGGCCGTGAGCCGAATAGTCTGATATGACGCCTGTATAGCTCGTAGCACTATTAAGGAGGATATGCGAAAACGCGCAAACACTGTAAGCAAGTGGGAACCCAAGCCCTAATCGAACCTCGAACTCGACAGTTCGATTGTAATCTGTGGACACTCGTTGAGAGTAGACTGGTGTTGTAACGTTGACACCGGCACTGCCAGCTCACTGACGAAGCACTCGTGCGAAGAACTCCGTAAAGTCCAAGGTATCGTGTCCTCGACCGCAATGCCTTAACTTTCTTGCTTTCGCATTTCAGCAGAGCGGATCCGCTCTCCATGGAGACAGCTTTGCCATTTCTCATTGTTGATGCGGCATATATCCGATGCTGTAGATACATTCCTCACGTTCTTGAATCATGCTTGTGAGCTTGCCCGCTGCAACCGGTGACATGATCGGCACTTGTGAGAGAATGGAAACATAATCTCAGCAACACGGCACAGTAGTGCACGAATGTTCGCAACTTCGTCTGGGCCTAAATACCATGTAGATGCAGTGGCCTCCAGATACAACTTGCGCTGTGCATGGTACATCGTGCCTCAAGTATACATTCCAAGCTCCTGTCTGCGCATTTCGTCCGCTTCATCCGGAGATTTCAAAGCAGTGTCACTGTCCTGCCGTTTCGGCAGTGCTGGAGACCCGGTGACTGAGCTCGCTTGCGTTTCGCTTGTCTCTGCCACGTCCTCGCTATGACCGAAAAACTCGTCGTGATGTTCGGCATCTGTGGCCACCGGGCTGGCCGGAGCCGATTCGGTGGGAGCCTCCACCACAAGAACCTCGTTCTCCGTCTCATCGGCGAGTTGCAAGGTACTCTGCCTTTTTCGCCGAGCTGGGAGCGGGGGCTTGGGCGAGGGCTTTGCTGAGTCAGTCGACCCATTCGTGCCCTGCCGTTTCGGGAGCAGCGGCGGAGGCACCGGCTTTCGGCGAGGTATCATGAACGAGCTGGTGCTAGTGGGCTTCTCTGGCGGCGGTAAGGGTATGCCAGGCGGTGGGAGTGGTCTGCCTCGACCGATGGGCTCCTTTTGGTCAGGCCGTTGATTTCGCTCTCTGTCGTCTGAGGCTTGAGCTTCACGCTGTCTGTTTCTTGCCAGCACTCCCCAGCCCCATTTCTGGGCCGCAGAAGCTGCCGCATTTACAGAAGCCAGGGCCTGCTTTCTGTCCGCGCTAGTCAGTGATCTTGCGTTGAAATTGAACCCTTTTGAGGGCTTTGTTCCTTCTTGAGCAGAACGCGGCCGGGTATCATTTCCATCATAGGTTTCCGTGGAATGAGTCGATGCCCGACTTGATGTCGTCGGTGTGGGCGTGTCGTGCGACGCGGCAGTATCTGACATCCTAGAGGCGTCGCTATCAGATCGCCCTTTGTTGCCCATGGCAGTGGCCATGGCGGATTCCACAGGTGGCGAACCAGCTTGCGAGGCAGATGGGGACTGGTTCCCTGTGGACCGTGCAGAGAGATCTTTCAATAAAGAAGCGACACTCTCGCGCTTAGATTGAGCTTCAGGCTCACGATTCGGACTCGTGTTTCCGTCCGCGTGACTCGTGCTAATGGTCGGGTTCGCCGCGCTCGCAAATGAAGTGGTTCTCATCAATCTGGGCGTCGATGATTCAGGTCTTTCAGCTGGTTCGGGACTCTTCGCACCCAAAAGATCGCTGAGGGAGGCGATTGACTTCTTTCCCGTGTTCGTCTTCCCCAGAGACGACTTACTGTCCGCCAGGGTTGGTGGCATGCTCATGGATCTATCTTCCTTTGAGAAAGTCAAGTCATCTTTAGAGGGGTCAGCGACGCTCCCGGGGCCTGCATCTCCCGCCTCTGCTTCGTCTTCAGGGTCTTCGTTGTGTATTTCGGTGGTGGTCGTCGGATCGGGCTCCCTCTTCCAGATCCCACCACGGTAGCGTTGGCTTGTTGTGTCGAAAAAGGGAATGTCGTCCCAGAAAGGGAGACAAACACTCTCAGCGACCACTTCTCTGATCCGGCTTTCGATTGCGCGGAGAATAAAGTTGTAGGTGATCTGCCGCGAACTGACGATTGGCTCTATCGTCAAGTCCAGGTCAGGCATTTTTTCAAAGGAGAACCAGATTCGATTGCTTGGCGGCGGTTTGAACCTGACCAAGACGTGGCCTTGGAGTCTTTTGCAAGTCACCGCCAACAACATGTCCACTTCGCGAGGCTTGAACCGCGAGCCCAACTCGATCCGGGCAGTGGCGGCAATCTCAATCCTGAAGTTACCGCCGTAATTGACGTCGGCTTCGACTGTACAGTCGCCATCCACGGTCAGATCTTTCAACCTTGGGTTTGTCACAAACGGCGCCCCATTCCCCAAGTCGATCTTCTTCAGAGCCAGTTTGGTGATGAAATTGGGTTTCTTAACCCTCGAGATCTTCTTGGTCAGCTTGGTTCGGATAAAATCCTCGAGTTCCGGCGTCTTGTACATGGCCAGGAACAAGCGGCCAATCATTGCATTGAGCCATCGAGTCTGCAAATGTTCTTCTGAGGAATGTATCTTCTGGACGAGCTTGACGATGTCGTCGATCTCGAATTCTTGCGTCTCGGGTGGGCCCTCGCTCGTGGTTTTTTCCTGGTTCTTCAACAAGGCAAAATAAAAGTCTTCCTTTTCCGACAGGTTCTCGCTGAAAAAGAAGAATGGCGGTGAATTGGGTACCGTTCCATCTGGGTTCGGCTTCCTTTTGAGTCGGATGGCATTGCGTTTGATCCATAGTTCCCCCTCTGGTGTTTCGTCTTTCCCACTATAGATGTCTACGTCGTAATGTTCCAAGGATATAACATAACGCACTTCTAGTTGCTGGATGTCATCGTAGAGCATGAGATGGCCGTGTCTGTGTAGGTCTGGTCAGCCTGGCACGGTGAGCGGTTCATGTCGGACAAACCTCAGTACGACGTAGAACACGTTGTTGGCTTTCTTGGTCGCCTTCCCTCTGCCATCTTTGTTTGGTTCCAATGTAGATTTTTGTGGCCGGTCGAAGATGCTCCGGTACATGGTCTGGTAGACGCTGGGAGATTCCTGGGCGACGACCTCACCGGCGGGCGTCAATTTGTCCGGAGGCTTGCCATTGACACCGCCAGGAACATATTCCCGGCAGACGGCAAAGTAGCCTGCAGCCACATCTGAGTCGTGTTTGCGATGGAACTGTTCGGCTAGGTCGTCGGTGCCGGTTCTGAAGGCAATCTTGTCGTCGTCCGGACGGACCAGCTGCGCCGGGTCATCGGACTTTGCGGCATCCTGTCTCGGAGGCGGTAAGGTGTAGTAGGCGTGGAGGAGGACAGCGAGCAGCAGCAAGGGGAGGAAGGTGACGCCCCCTAGAAGGTAGACGAAGAGGAACCATTGTAAGGTCCCCATCGAGGCATTGGGGCAATGGTGGACAATCAATGATTGTGAGATGTCAACAAGTTGGTTGGTGTCCGTGTCTTGTTGCGGCGAATGACGTCGATCAGTACCGCAAAGTGTTCCGGTTCGGGGTCCACGGGCAGGTCCAGGTTCAAGTCGCCAGCCTCGCGATGGCTGCCAGTGAAGGACTGAGATCGGGCCAGCTACGTAAAGCAAGACCCGACATTCAATTCTGGGTTGAAAGGTGGTTTCGCGTCCAATTGTCCTTTTGGCAGGCTCTTAACGGGCAGACGCGCAAAAGACAACTTGAACCTGGTAGCACAAACATGTGGCATTGGACACCTGTTGACTCCGGGATTACTGTAATTATCGTCACAAGCCCGCCAAACAATGATAATGCTGCCTGTGAGCGGGGTACCACATCTCGCCGATTATTTTACTGTCGTAGTTTGTACTTCTCGACGCCCGTCAAGACCAGCATTAAATCGAGACTCTTTGCGCAACGCCTGTTTCACGCAAAAATCATTCGTTCACTTTTATATCAAAAGGCACCTAATGTACCTAACTAACATGCCGGTGTGATATCCGTTTTTTGCCTGAAGAACGCCATCTCACGGCCATGTGTCGCAGGCGATGCTGTTCCAGCAAAACTCGAACCGGAGGCTGCATCAACTGAAACGCTCATCCAGGACCTTGAAGCCCAAGAGGCGATGCCACCACTCTCGTCGGCAGGCGTCAGTTCCCCAGCCTGCCATGCCGTCTTGGATCCGGGAGCTGAACAACTCTCATGTTACAAGTACGACGCACAGCCGGGCATCGTCCTCACAACCGTAAGAGCGTTGTCGTTTCGGCTCGTTCGGGTCGCAGAGCGTAACGTCCACGCTATAGTATGTTGATGCACTGCATGGGCCAGAGGCCCAAATCTCCAGCCAGCAAATCACCGCGCAGGCAGAGCAGAGCCGCATCATGCGAGAAACTCACGTCTGCGAACCAGTGCAAATCTACTGGGTGTGAACAACCCCCAAGGCTCACGTCGTGCTTTGCCCACACTGCAGGTCACGTTCGGTGTCACTAATTATAAGCGGACAAACAAAAAGGAGTGTAGGTATATGAACGACCGTCCTACTTGCCCTCTTTTCGTCTTGCTGTGCTTGAATTGGTCGCCTGGCTCATGATCTGCCTTTGCAGAGGGGACAACTTATCAATCGCCTCCTGAGCCGCCAGAAGCTCAGAGACTTAGCTCCGGCTTGTATTGCGAGAATGGAAGCGAATCTCTCCGAGTCCCGAGCTTTCTCGTCTTTTCCTTTATTGCTCATGGTGCACTGGCAGGCACTGATTCGAGCAGTCAGCAGCTTGATAAATAGAGGGAAATGCCGCCGACGGTACCTGCAAAGCTATCTATTCATCACATGCGAGAACCCGGTTAGAGGAACTACTACTGTCGTCGTCAAGCACCGGTTGGTATCGAGGGTCTGAGCGTTAGGAGACCTTTACAGCATGAGCACTTCTTTCTAACAATCACACAGGAGGGCATCAGAGGTCCACCAAATTGTCCACACTATAGTACGTCTCTAGAGGCCCCTTGGCAACATGTTTCATCTTAGCAAGAACAAATTCATCGAGATCCCGTCTCTCTTCCTCGCTCAGTAGTCCAATTCGATCCTCGATCGAAGTAAAGGGTCCGTGATACATGTCATCAATGAAAGTCCAGTAAATTTCGTCGAACATGGAGCTATATCTTGCAGCAAGACAGACCCAGAATAGCCCATTATCGAGCGATCGCTCCATACGGGCGGACATGCGTGGCGAATCTGCCGGTGTACCATCATTTCCTTCCGTCGCCATCTCATCTTCGCATTCACGCAGAGCCTCGAGAAAGAGACGAAAACGTGGCACAAACCGCTCCACGAACTCATGGAGATTGGACTCCCACTCCTCTGGGCTTTGGAGCAATAGCCACCAGGGGGCGATGTACGCAAACTCAGCAGGCGCTACATAAGTGAATTCCCAATCGACAGCGCCCGTAACATGAAGATCTCGTAGATCAACAAGGACGTTAGAGGGCCGGAAGTCGTCGCAATACAAACGGAAGGGACCGTGGCAATGCTCCGTCGAGATGTTATGGACAATTTTCCGAAATAAGCACCGGGCCACATATTTCTTTCGGCAGTCATCTTGATCGGTGATCGCATCATTACGCTGGTGCTGGAGATGAGAAAAATGCTGATCGGCAAGCAGTGTGAGGTATTCGTCCGCAGAGTCGCAAGGTTGCGTAGGAAATACGTGAGGGGGGAGGTTTGCGGAAGTGGCCAATTCGTTCATATTGTAAGTCAACGGCCGTTTGGTAACGGTGAAACTCTCTCCGTTACACTCGAGTGCTCCGATTCGATGAAACTCTGATTTTGACAAGTGAAGGTGTAGCTTGGCCATTTCACGGTAGGCTTTTTTCAACGCTCGCTCACTTATCCTTGGATTCAGGACGGGTCGACCAGTTTGAAGTGGATCCTGGAGCAAGGTGGCTAATGATTCTCCCTCAACAAAAGACATGACAATGTAGGGCCCTGCCCAGCACGTTCCTGCTCCCAGAACATCAGGAACGGGGATGGAAGTGTATTGACGCAAGTATTTCATGACGGCAACCTCGTTATCAGCTTTCTCTCGACGGTAGATAGTCCTCCCCAGAGCAGCGAATCGAACCACAGCGTGGAATCCGTCATCGTACTTGACCTTATAGCAGATATTGAAAGAACCATTTCTCCAATGGCACGCTGCTATGGGTTTGCCGGCGCGATGTATTGCTGCGAGATGCATAGCCAGATGCTCTGGAGACTTTCGCAAAAGGGACTGCAACCAGATCGTGAAGTTCTTCTCCTGTCTTTTCTCGGCCACATGATCAAATAACATAACTTGAGCGAATCGAAAAATTGTTAGGGAGGTATGGTAGCAGGTGCAGTGGAAGTCAAATACCTAGGTAACAATGCCCAGGACTTTGCAATAAGTAAAGATGCGAAGGGGTTGGAACGGTCTGGGGACGATGAAAGTCACGTTATATTCTTGGCATTTCAACAGGTTTCCGGGCTGCTAGAAGCTCTGTAAGGGGGCCGAGGGGGCACCGCTGGCCCCTAAACACCAATGGCGTTTGCTTTCCTCACCCTGCTGAGTCAGAAATGACCGCTGCGACGACGCGAGAACGAGTAGACGTATTCTGAGGTTGCGAATCAACAAAAACAGGGAACCCAGGGGCTAAGTTGTACTGTAGGTTGTGTTGCAAGTTGCTCAGAGTCGAGGCCCCAAAAGTGCCCCCCGAGCCCGAACTGGCTTCTGATAACGGGACATCATGCCTCCAGCTCGTCCAGTGCTCGGGCCCTCTTCCCCAGGCTCCGCCGTGGCTCCCGTGAAAGTAAAACAGCCTCGCTCCTTTTCCTGAACGAACATGGTAAAGGATGAAGCACAGTTGGGGGTATATGTAATGTATATACATCCACGTCGAACTGGAGACCGTCTGGATAATGAGCATGCCAAAGCCAAAGGATGGATGTGCACATCCTCCTTCCCGCCATCCGGGTGTCCACTTATCGATCAAAGTGTTCCGTGCGCACATCAGCCAGGTTTCCCTATGGGACGAGCCATAGCCACCGAGACACCCACAACCGCGATTCAGAGGCCACAATGGTGAGACCGGCCATCGATCGCACGCTGTAGAGTCTTCTGAGCTGCTCTCCATTTGATACAAGTGCCGACATCAAGATATGCATACCAGCATAGTGCCAACGTTGCTCCCCCACTGTTGCTGCGCACAACTCGGGTCCCCTCAACTCCGGTCCCCTTAACACGGGTGTCCGCTACACACGAACGCCTCAGCTTTTCAGAACGTCATTCATGCTATCCGTCTCGAGACATTCAGATTCGTTTCCTGCTCTGCTGTCTCCGTTCATGTTGCCGTTTCAATCGTGCTGTTGTTTCGATTCACGCTGCTGTTTCGACCATGGTGTCGTTGTGACCATGCCATAGACGCCATACTGCCTTTTCGAGACGCCCCGTGCACGGGCTTTAATGTATCCGCCACAGTCACCTGGCCTCCCATCACGGCCGGCGGACCCTCGTAGCCATGTCGCGCAACAAACAGCCACCACAGGGCGACAAAAACAGTGCAACCACCCCAGATCAGACAAGCATAATTCATGCTCTGGGCATTGGTCGGCAGGGCAAAGGGGAAGCAGTAGATGACAAACCAGACCATCAGGTACGCGCAGGAGATGGCGTTGAACACGAATCCCAGAGCGCCCTTGAGCCTGAATGGACCATAGACCTCGATGTTACGTCTCCGCGTCAGAAGATGCGGGAGGATAGCCGCAACATATGACGAACTGGACATGAGGACAAACGACCCGACAAAGGCGTTGAATGCGGTCGTGGATCCGACGTAGATAGCACCCAGAACCGTGACCAAGACTGCCACCGTCACGGTCGCATTGAATGGCATCTCTAGCTTATGCGAGACTTGGCCGAGCACTTTGGGAAAAGGTGTAGCTCCGTCTCGTGCCAGAGCCCATAAAGTGCGGCCCGACGTGATGTACAGTCCGCAGACACAGATGCCGATACAGATGAGAACGAGCGTGAGCAGACCGATCGCACCGTTGGCAGATCCCGTCGCTTGGCGGTAGATCTCGGCGATCGGGTACGGCGACGTGAAGAGGGCGTCGTAGTCGTTGATCGCATAGAGGATGGCGACAAGATAGGCCAAGCCCGTGATGAAGCCGATGCTCATCTGGCATAGAATGGCAATGGGCACGTTTCGCTGCGGGTAGGGGATCTCTTCGGCAAGATGACTGGTGGTGTCTGGAGTGCCGACGGAAAAGGCGCCGTTCAGCATGCCGGCCACAAAGACGAATCCGTCGGGATATCCAATGTCGGCTGTCCATTCGGTCCAGACAAATGATGACGATGCATGTCCTGGTCGCCCGTCCATTCCAGGCATCACTGTCACCACAACGAGCGTTATCAAGAAGCCGGCAAGGATGAAGAAGATGCCAATCTCGTTGAGACGCGGCATGGCCGAATTGCAGAAGCAGACGATTGCACAGGCCACCCACGTCACAATAATGTATGTGACGAAGACGTGCCATGGCTTCGAGACGAAATCCGCATGCTTCAAAGCGTACATTTGCACCACGGTGTTAGAGAATATAAAGGTCATGGACGCGGCCCCGAGAATCCAGGCAAAACAGTTCCAGTACCCAGCAAAGAACCCCACCATTCGACCCCATCGTTTGCCTGGCGTGATAGTTGCCCAGTGGTAGACACCTGCGGACGAGGGGATTGCAGATGCCAGTTCCGCCACCGAGGCCGCAACGATCCAGTAGAACACGGACACGGTGATGAACTCGTAGAGCACGCCCGGCGGGCCACCGTTGAAGATGGCAACCAGGATAGAGCCTCCTATAGCCGGCCAGACATTGCCAACAACAAGCCCGACGCCCGCCAGAGATACCAGACTGAAGTTTCGGGACAGTTCCTGGGCGTGACCCGAAGCATTGACGAGTTCCACGGACCCTTGTTGTGTCTGCTCGGTGGCATGCGACTCCGGAGCTTCGCGTTTGTCTGCCATGGTGATAGTACCGAATAAAGCGAGTTTGAGATGGCAGATTCGCGATACAAGGGATTGGAAGATGCAAGATGCAAGCTTGGAGGAAACGTCGGATTAAACTACATGAGCATCCTCTCTGTCTCCTTCCAGTCCTTCCACGTGGAGACGGAATGCCCCCCGGGGCTCTCGGCGGCCCTGCAAAGTGGACGTTGGAGCGGCAAATCATATCCAGAAGACGATAATGTCGTCTGGTAACGCTCATTGTGCTGATTCGCGGATAAGATAGGGTTTCTCATAGACTCCAGCTTGTCACCAGATCAAACTCGGTTGGAACCACTTCTGGCTCAGTCGGTGGAAAAGGCGCCGGAGCACAGCTGCTTCTTAAGGCTTAGTGCCTCATTTCCGATCACGGTTTGTGTGGCCATTGGGTCGAGTGTCGACCTCGTGGGTAACCCGGGGGAATTGTTATCTCCAGTATTCATCGATCAAGTCAGCTGGCTGTCGATAAGGCGTAATATGTTGACAAGGGCGCGAACCAGCAGATAAAACAATGTTCTCGAATTGCAATCCGGCAGCGTGGTTCGAGTCGCAGATTGAAATTCGTAACCAGATCGCCGGGTCCGAGTCACTAGCCGGCCACTCACGGCGAAAATAATGCAGGGCTTTCAGACGCACTTTACCAAACGGCGAACGGTGCCGGTAAATGCCCATTGAACCTGACTTAGATCTGAACTATTAGGCTGACTCGACTCGATTCAGACGGTGCTCAAAAAGCTTGAATGTCAGTGCAGCTATGATACCTACGCTCAACCAGATAACCGATCCAGTCCAAGTCCGATCATTGGCAAGCTTGACCGCGCTCGGGCCTCCGAATATCGCAGAATTGAGGTCCAAACGGTTGATTTATGGAAGTCAAATCCCCATAACGTCAACATATGGCCAACCATTCTCCCTCGCTGTCAGGAAAGCTGCCGGGCATGCCAGATCACGGCCATCGCAACCAGTTGCCGATCTCCAGCCATGTCCCAACTGGGTGCAAACGCAAACGCCCTAACCGTTAGTCGGAATTGAGACTATTATTGACTGACATCAGTTGGCCACGCAGCTGGTAAATATTGAGTGATGAACCCGACTGCGCTGCCGAGGTCTGCTCTGAACCGTCATGACAGGCCCTCAGGGTCGGCAGCGCCGGCTGCTCTTCTTCAAGCCTTTCAAAATCTGGTCGTGCGACCACCTGGATCAGCAGCGACAGTGAGAACACTGCTGCCGCTGCAGCTGCCGTCGTCGCTGCCATTGTCGCCGTTACTGTCACCGTCGCCAGCATGGCAGATCTAGATTCAGGGGCGGACATGGCGCCAAAGCCGGGCTTCACCGCCGAAGCATTCTCATTATATGGCGTGGGAGTGGTTTTCATCATCGCGCGTCTGTATGTGTTCTCATGGGGAGGTTGGGGGTTGATTGTCAGTCGACTAACGGTTTGGGGTGCGGGCAGCGCAGGAAAAATCCGGCGGGTTGGATTCAACAACCTCGAAATTGACGATGGGTTCATCGCATGGGGCCTGATATGGTACACGATTCTGTGCGTGTCGCTCCATGAGATGGCCACCGGGATCGGCTCGAATTTCATGACCGCCAAAGAAGAAGCAACTCTCACGCCAGAGACCACGGCGCAACGAGTCCGCGGGAGCAAATGGGTCTATGTTTCGGAACACGCGATGCTCATGACCATTTGGAGCATGAAGGCGGCCATGCTCGTGCTGTATGCGAGGATCACGTACGTCGCGAACGCCGCAAGTCTCGTTCACGCATGATGGCATGTTTTCGACTTGCCGTCACTGTCCACTATCGAATCGACGGAGCTGAGCTGACTGGAGATATTGTTGCAAACAGTGACGGCCTTCGCCAACAAAGACTCCTCATGGCACTTGTCGTATGGGTCTGTTGTGCATTCCTGGGAGACGAGTTGTCGCTGTTCCTTATGTGCCGACCTATCTCGCAGCATTGGGCCGTTCCAACTCGTGACCGTGAGTCTAGACTTTCTGGATTTGCGATTGTCGTTTGCGATTGTCGTTGGGATCTCGCTGACCGAGTCTGGGCTTTTTTCCTGCTTAGCCACTCAATGCGCCGCGTACCGGGACTATCAGATCGTCAACGCTGTATTCAACATCTCGACCGACATCCTGATTCTGGTGTTTGGCCTTCCGCCAGTTCTGAAGGCCCGACTGTCCATCCAGCAGAAGGTGCTGTTGACCTTCCTTTTCGGCATTGGGATATTCGTTATTGCTGCCGCCACTGCTCGAGCCGTTTACTGTCTGGTTCCGTCTCTGATCTCATATGTGTACATGTACTGGTACTTTCGTGAGGCGTCGGTGGCCGTCTATGTCACCACGTTGCCGGGTCTTTGGGTGTTCTTGCGTGAATTCTTCCCCTTCCTCGGGAGATTCACCAGTTGCAGCGGCAGCAAGCACACCGAGTCACATTCAATCAAGGATCCCACCCCCTCCCGACGTCGACCGAGCAAATATCGCCACCCCTTGGACGCCAAAAGCTTTGATTTCACGTTAGACATGTGGCCCACCAGCGGGACCACGATCAGCGGGCCACACCGCGAGAGCGCGATACTATCAGGCGGCCAGAGTCGTGGTCATGGTCATGGCTATGGTCAAATGAGTGAAGCGCGCTCGATGAAACTTCTCTCGGACGACCATGTGGATCATGATATTCGACAGGAAGCCTCCTTCCGTGTGGAGAACATGCCCGATGTGGAGAAGGGATGATGTGACATATGGCTCAGAATGAGCTGAGATATACAATATTCCCACCAATGGCTTGTTCGATTGTTGGGCTCTTTCAGCAGACGCGGCATATATTGAGCTTGAATTGGCCGAACAAAGCACTAGATCAGGTTCGTGGCGCTTCGATAAGTGCCCATTACGATCTGAAGAAGAATCTCTTGGCACAGTAAAATACCTATAACGGCCGCGACAGACATGGAACGTGGGGGATGATACGCTACTGTGCGTTTGTCATGACATGAGTTTGTGGACTGTTGTCTACCTTATGCTTCCCAGTTTGGCCGACCTCCTCTTCTGCTGGAGCAGCTCGCACAACCAGATTCATCCGTTCAGCTGTTGCCAAATCGTGTTGCAACCCAAAGACCATATCTCCGCGATAGCCCTGTGGGTAAAATGGCGTCAACAAGGAAGAACGCCCACAGGTGCTGCCTATGGGACCATACCTGCTTGGGACACCACCATACCTCCCCAGGCCGGGACTCGCGGCGATTCACCAGTGAGTCGCTAGTTTGACTTCTTGGATGATGGCCTTGAGACTTTCCACGTCTTCTGTCTTCCAGATACATGCACTGTCTAGCCGGTCCAAGTTGTTCTGGAGGATCTTTCTGTGTCCGTCGTCGTGCACGGTCTTCAGCGACTCCTGTCCCAGGGTGACGAGGGTGCGACACTCTCGAGCTGCGGCCCAGAAGTCGTTGACAAGTGCAGGATAATAGGAGGTGTCGTAAGGAACCTGCATGTCGGAGTCCTCGCCGGCCTCGAGCTTCCATAGCCACTCTTGCATATGTTCAGGTCGCTTGGCGTCTGAATAGAAATGAGCAAACATGGTGCCCGTGACCACTTCCTCATGTCTGGCATTGAAGAATGGTCGGGGAACCCAGAGGACGTGCCTCTGAAATTCTGCCGAGCAGATTGTAAGATCGAGAGCTCTCTGATCATAGGCATGTTCTAGGTCTTCTTCCGGTCGCCAAATAGGGTAGCCGAAGGCTTTGGTCAAGATGGTCACCGACCGAGGATGCACACGGGTGAAGAAGATCCCCGTGTTCATGCCCCATTCGTCGTGGGCAATGACCACGTTAGTATCCTCAAACACTTTGTCCGATATGTTTGGGACGAAGACTTCCAAGGGTATCTCCCGGTTGATAGCAACGCTGTCTGCATCAAACCACATGAGCCACTCGAGGCGTGTGTCTTGCGGCTTCGAGAGTTCGTGCACTAGCAATGATATGAGATATAGAGTCTTGCTCCAGTATCCCTCGGCCACTTCTCTCCGGAGAACATATAGCGGATAGTTGTGCCGAGCGGCATGGCGAGCGTGAGAGTCAATGGCGCGGTCGTACAGGGCGGTGTCGTTGCCGTAGGCCATGCTGACCAGTCCAATGTGGCCACGGTCCCCATGTGCGAGAAGTGTACTCGGCGTCTGAGACTCTGCAAGCACTTCGTAGGTATGATTTTCTTGCTCACCGGGCGCCTCGGGTCGAAGGAACTGGGTGTTATCAAACGGAGTGATTACAAAGATGATAAGTAGGACAATGGCCACCGAGGCCCACAGCCGGAAACCGAGCCGTTGTGAGCTGCCAGTGGTTGGCATTGCCCATGCCGAGAACGCCATTTGGTCGAAGGTCATTGTGGTTAAGAGCTGCTTCGAAGGCTAAGTGCGACAGAACAATGAATCTAGCGCAGAAATAGAAGTTCGCCGCCGGTTGGGTAGCAAGCAGATCGTGGTGGGCAATTCTGAATCCGACGCTGACCTTGAAGAGAAGGAAGAGGTCTAGGAAGGCAGGAGGGAGAAACAACAATGCGCCTAGGCACAGGAATAGAAATCTGCCTACCCTCTAAAGCGGGCAGGTCTCCTTAGGAAGTTTTGGGCCGGGCAGTGAGCTCAGAGGAGCTGGAAAGATGCGGTGAGGCAAGGGAAAGGAACAGCACCGAATCCAGATGCTGGACGGAAAGTTCGCCTCCACCTAGATAGCGATCAGCTTTGATAGGCGGTTCTGAACCCAGTAACTGCCTCAACAGAGACGAGGAGAGGTGGCGAGGCAGGGATTATGAACAGCGCAGAGTCAAGAGAAGACCGGGGTGCTCGGCGGCAAGCAGCTAGAAAGCAGCATATGGCATGGAGTATTTGGCCCAACAATGAGCGGTCTCAGAGAAGATGTGTGATGCGTCAAGGTCGTGTTAAGGAACAACAAGCAGGTCAGTGCTCCAGAAAGGGGCAGAAGAAGATGGGGATATGCGGTAGCTGTGTAAAGCACACAACAGGTCACTGTGCAAGACAAGTTGTGGGCGATGGTCTCACCGGCCGAGAGAGCAGAGCGTTCCCTGTCCCAACTCGAAGCCCAAAGGGGGCACATGTTGTATTGTCGTCCTGTCTCATGTGCTCGCTGGACGATGCAGGAAAGGCGCCATAGGATTGCGTTGCCGTTCAACATCTTGCACCAGTTGGCAGAGGAGGGAGCCAGCACCTGTGTCGGATGGCGCATCCCTGCGGTGCTGGTGGCTGGCTGCATCTGACGACTTCATGCTCAGGCAAAGGATAAGCCACGTAGCTTGCATCTTGCGTCAGGATTGTTGCCAACACTGTGATAGTACCGTCTGAGCTTTTGTGAGGTTGATGATATTGTAGGAGACTGTCGGTCAGCGTTTGCCAAGGGTATGCAAGCCACGACATCGCATTCCAGCCGTGAAAAGAAAGCGAGAGTCCGGATGCTAGTCGGTGGGCCCAACTTGAAGGGGCCGGTCGCCCTCTACCGAGTCCGGTCCGCACTTTGCAGGGATCAGGCTCCCTCGTCCGGGGAAGAATGATCCCAGCATCCTGTGCAGCAGCAGCATCCGTAGTTTTGCAACTTGAAGTGCATGTCTCAGCCCAGCAACAGATGGCACTTGTTCTCGCTAAATCGTTGCAGGGTTGCTTGATGCTGTAACATATGTGCTTGTATCTGAGTGAGGAAGGGCCGACTTGAACGGTTCTAGAGAAGTAAAGCCCGTGACGTAAAGATGGGAACGACAGAATGAAGGAGCCAAACCCCCACGTCGCTGGAAGGACGATCTATCAACTTGGACGCCTATCGTTGTCACAATCACACTACCGCTGGTCAGAGGACAAGGTGCCAGGTACGCAGTTCACGGATGTAACAGCCCAATGCTAGCTGTTGTGTCGGCCCGCCCCTGGTCGTCTGAGGCTGGCGGCACATTTCTGGTTTCCCTGCTTGTGCAAAAGATCCGGCTCTCATTGCGGGCGCTGTGGTTTTGGGATGACCATCTTAAAGGAAGACCAGTGGAGATCTCAACGCATTTGCACACCGACTCTCGCCTATCTCAATGTTCAGACCAGCGCCACAGGAAATGAGAAGTCTGCCGGAGCAGAGATCGAGATGGCCTGCATCTTGTCTCTGTGCCGGTCGGAAGCCCTGGGACCGTGGCTTTCAGCGGGACAAAATGTCTGCCTGAGCTGGGATCGAGATGAGCCAGGATGATATCCACGCCGTACCTTGTCTATCCACAGGATGTAAGCCCCTGAATCGTCGCTCTCAATCTGACGCAGAAACCAACTATCATCGGGGGGAAGCTTGTAATTTCAGGGTCAAAGCGCTCCGCCACCTGGGTGTTGAAAGGCAGTCGAGTTGAGCACAGCGTCATTCTGCTGGCCGTAGTTACCTAAGTCCTGTGTGCTGTAGTGGCAATGTCTACTTTGCTAGCAGTCACTTTCAGTGTGTCCTAGAAAGTAACAGACACCGAGAGTCAGTGTGCTTAGTCTTTCGGGGTAAGACGCCTACCACCCGGGTACAGTAGGACGGGAACCGTCTTCGGGGGTTTACACGCTTGTTGTTTCGACGTTGATGCTCTGCTGCCGGGTGCTTGAGGGATCACTCGAGCCGAGTACAACCGGAACATCCTGCTGGTGCTGGGACCTCTTGTGCTGACGGCAAAACACCAAACACGGCAAGCACAGTATCTGTTGCTACCAGCATCTTCCGTCACTTGATGTACCAGCAATGGTCTCAGGCTCTTCCAAGAAGTTCATCCTTTTGGCTGGGATACTGCTAGTAGTCGGTTATGTCACCTTTGTCCAAGATGACAGAGTCGGGCAACTTCCACATTTTGGGCATGGCATGGGAAGACTCATTCCATCAAAATCTCAACCCTCCGCCAGTGACCTTTCGCATGCGACCCCTCCCACGAGGAGACCAGAGCTCAGTCCGATAGATGGCCAGCCCAAAGCCTTTCGGCCGACCAGACCAACCACGCCGTCTTCTCCACAAAAGGGCACAAAACAATCTCCAGTAGAACAGCGACCGAGTTCAACTCGGCCGGAGCAAGGCTTACGACCAGGCCTTCTCGATTCTGAACCACTTGGAACTGTGCATTCGCCCTCCGGAGGAGACCCAGGGACTTCATCGCCACCATTGCCTGACGTCCCAGCAGATGCCGAGTCGCCCAAAACTCCAAGCTCGTATCGAGAAATATTCTCTGTGTCGCATTCCAACGGCAGCTACTTTGAAATTGAATTTCCAGGGTACAGGATCTTCAACCCGAACATTCTCCCACACCCAAGCAGGCTCGACACATGGATTGTTGTTGCGCAGAAAGAGCGTGGCGGTGACGAATTTGAAGCAGTCGAGCTGGCCTGTGAGGCGGTGTTCGATGACCAAAAGGAAACCTTGATATGCACAACGACACCCTCACCACTGCCAGTCAAGTCAACCACGGGCGGGCTTTGCAAAGGCGAACTCGAGTGGTTCAACGGGGTTGCCGGCCCGCACGACGCGCGTGTCTTCCACGGACCCAAAGTGCCGTATATCATATACGGGTCGCGATCCGGGTATACCTGCTTCGGACAATGGATCCAGGATTTCCGAAAGCTCGTTGGGCCGGACGAGCATGACACCTCTGCTGTCTCCTCGTCGTCGAACCTGTTTGCCATCGGCACCGAACTCCGTCGACCGAGCTCATTCGGTGAGTTCGAGAAGAACTGGTTTGTGTTCTGGGACAAGCAGGGCCAAATGTACGCGCACTTCGACCTCGCTCCGCACCGGAGCTTTGCCAGGTTGGACTTTGACGGGTCGACTGTTGGCGACGATCTGGGGCCAGCGACTGCCTCGACAGATGGATCATGTGTGGCTCAGTACCTGGCTCCAGATGCTTCTGAACAAGGAGTGGACAAAGGTAGTGGTGGGAGTGGCAAGACATCTTTGCACCAAGCGACCAACTCCCTTTTGGTGACGCTGTGCAACCGCTTGGATCCGACATGCAAGGCCAATGAAGAGAACACTTTCATCATGGCAGTGGTGCAACAGAAGTTTTACTATCCATATCACAATGTGTATCGGCCATACGTTGTCCTGTTCCGGCAGACCGCGCCGTTCGCCCTGTATGCCATATCGCAGAAGCCGCTGTGGTTTCATGGGCACCGAAAAGTCGCAAAGCACGAGCGAAGGGCAACAGGACAAACACATTCAGCCGGGACCGCAGAAGAGCTGGGCAATGAGCCTGGGCCAACACGAGCTGAAGACCAGGAGCTCCCTGAAAACCAGGCCGAGATGTTCTTCGTCACCAGCATGAGTTGGAAGAATCGCGGACAGACGTACCACGGATACTTGGACGACGTGTTGTTTTTGACATTTGGAATCGAAGACAATCGCGCCGGCGCCATCGACATCCGTGCGGGGGACTTGCTGCAGGATCTGGGCTTGTGCGGCGAAGGAATGCATTGAGTTGGACTGTCTTTATACAACGTTGTAGGCTAACACAGGTACAGTCCTGGACCTGCGGGAGCCTATGCGTATATTATGTTGATCTACCAATGTTCACATCTGGCCATGGCTTTCTCTTGCAGCCTTTCGTCGCAACGTAACCCATCTTACTCATTGGCGTTACCGAGCCCCTTGCTCACCTCACTTCAGCTCGGAGCATAGCCCCAAGTCCTGCAGCAAGTCAGCCGCAACAACATCAATGGCTCCCGACCGAGACTGCTCAATCCCAAAAGCGAGGAAAAGAATATCGTCCATGTACCCGTGATACTTTTGCCCGTGTGCTCTCCAGTTGATGCTCCTAATGTAGAACATTTCAGAGTGGTTCTCAGGAAGCGCATCGCTGTCCTGCCAGTGGACATTGCCGCTGAGCCTTGAGAACTTGGATCTCCCCGAAATCCAGAATGGCTTTGCTGATATACCATGCAAGGCAAAGGGCTCCGACTGCTGGAACAGCATCGCATACGGCTCGTAGACGCCGTGGCCGTCGAAGTTGGTCTTGTAGTGAAACAGTGCCAGAATGAACGTGTTCTTGTCCGTCGGCATGCAGTCAGGATCCGATCGCATGCACAACGTGATGGCCAAAGAGTTGGTAGCTTGTTGGACCGCAGAGGTATCAAGCATGGCAGGAGGCATATACCGAGCCATACACCTTGAATCATTGTCGACAGTCACCGGGGCAAGATCAGGTCCGCTCGAGCCATCGGGCCCAATCCTTGAAAACACTCTCTGGGGAACGATCTCACTGTGCGCGTGGATGTTGCCGACAGTATCCCAGAAGACGAAAAAGTTCTTCTCGACGCCCTTGTATGGTGGCGGACGTTGCAACTCGGTTGGCTCAGTGAAATCTTTGGCCAGGACGGCCTCGATGCGGTAGTCGTCCACAGCATTCTGAAGTCTTGCATCCACATCCCCATACAGGTGTATGCTGAATGCGATCCATAGACAAGGTAAGGCGCCACGGGGCCATAGAACAAGCGAGCATCCCGTGGACCATATTCGAAATTGAAGTGCGCAAGCTCGTCCTCACAGTTGCCTCGGGTTGCTTTCACAGGGAGAACAGCAGGCTCAGCCATACAAATGAGTACATCATTCATGAATCCGGCGTTACAGATCAGCGGCAAAGAGTGGCCAACCGGACTCTTGTTCGGGATTTGCTGCACAATAACAATCCACGCATCAAACTTCGTGGGATGAGGTATAATGGTCGGATTGAAGCCTGCGCTTCCTCCCAGGTGGATGGGAAAGTAGGTTCCGGTTGCTGTCGAGTTGGAGTGCAGGATACGGTATGCTGACGTGTCGATCACCGGCTGGCCGTCGTCGTCAATCGTGAGCAGATGAGAAGGCGCCAGGATATCAACATTGGCTATACCCTCGTTGGGGGGGTCGAGTGATTGTGAAGCGGGAGCATTGTTGTCAGGTTTCGGGTTGTCCACTGGCTGCTCAACGGGTATTGCCACACGACGACGTTTGCTTGAAAGCAAGAGACCGAGCACTAAGATAGGAGCCACAATGGCAATCAGCGCTTTGTAAGCTCGGATCATCATGATGGGGTTGTTGCATCAAATGTCTAGATGAGCTTCAGAACAAGAATGAGGGTGCTGAATTCAGACGATATCCTGTTAGAGGAATCTGGCAGCCGAAATCTGCGTGCAACGACCAGGTCCCGGCTGACGGACTTAAGACACAGTCTTAGTGGCTGCTATCCTGAGACGTCGTGAGGAATATCAACCGCAGGTGGGCAGTGTCTTTGACGGGTACGATCAGGTTGCCGCTGGAGTGAAGGAAACCCCAACTGTGCAGCAGGATCCAGGGGACCAGAAGAAGGTGACCAGCACATATCCGCTTCTGCTGCAGGAGTAAGGGGACCAGGAAAGATGATCGGCTAGCCCAGCCCTTGTGTGAGTCCATAGCCGACGGAGGGCTGAAGTGATTAGCTACCTCAGAGGGCCTGGACGTGCCACAGCGTACTGTGATTGCGAGATGATAGCCTCCGCCATTCACGCAAGAATAGTACAGCCGACAACAGCCCGGTTTGGAATCCTCTGTGGCGTATTTGGCTGGCGAAGGGACATACCTTTGTGTAGGTTTGGTCAGAGTCCACACTGAAAGGCTGTACACGCCCCTCGCTCGACTGTAGTTGCGCCATGATCGACGAATGCCATACTTCGCTGAAGCCCGGCCTGGAGTGTGGATTGCACTGAACAGGGGTCGTGGGCTCTCAGCTGGACTCGCGGTGTTGTGGGCTGGATCGAGTTGTTCCCGGGCGTTGGTAGCGGAGTCTCAGTTTTTCGAGTGTCGGTCTCCACCATGTTACAGGGGTACCCTGCACCCAGCATCTCGGGCTGGTGGCGCCTCAGGAGATGAATCTCTAGTCTAGAGCGCAGAAGTAGAGACCAACAGGTTCCTGCTGAAGGTCTAGACACACCCTTGGTTTGTGGTCGTCTTCCGATCGAACCTCAGCCGGGAGCCCCTCTCAGGGAGGAGCTGACGGTAAAGCATTGCAACGCCTGACACGTTGGCCACCCTGCTGTGTCGACACATCGTAGTTGAGGTAATACTTGTTCTAACCCCAAGAAGCCCGTCGTCACGGGTTTAGTCGACGTGTCTGTGGGGGGCGAGATCAACGCTCTGTCATGATTGTGACGATTGTGGCCCGACACACTTTGGAGTGATGGATAGGCTACAGGGGAGTGTCCCACATGGCACAGCGAGGTTTGCTCACCGTGTATTCCTCCATAGCTCCAGATTGCATGCACGGGTAGCTGAAGGGAGTTGCGCAGATGCGCAGTAGACAAATTCCCTCCTTCAGGGGCGCAAAGCATGCCTGGGGGGCGCTCAAGTGGTCAAAGTAGCATGCAAATGAATACGATAAGCTCCCCAGTTCATTCCATTGGAGACATATCCAATTAAGCTCAAGGTATGGTCAGATGAACCCTCACTTGCCTGGGCGAATAGCTGAAGCGCCTGGTCGGGAATTGTCCTGTGCAGTAAGATAAGAAGGAAGAGGTACCAGCGGCCCTGAAAACTGTTCAGGGATTCTAGCAAGAAAATCACCATTGTTTCCCATCTCAAAGACAGACCTTTGGAGAGTTCGATCCGGTTATTCAGTGACGAGCCTCGTGCACGTCGGCAACAGAAACCAAGTATGAAAGGGTGGGAATAAATACATAGGACATCTTGTCACGACCTGCTCCGGGTTTTGAGCCAAGACAGATACATAGAAAAATACTCACGCCACGGCCAATATCAGCTGTAAGAGTTACAAAACTGCATTTGGCTTGTTGAGACGAACGCAGTTTCAGCCTGTGATCGATGGAAGCGATGAGTGGCAGAGGTCAAGCTGTTTTCCTGCTGAGAGGTCTGGCTTCCAGCATTTGTAGCCATGCGATGTGCAGTATCACCACTTCATTATCGTGTCGTTGGACGTGCAAGAGCTTGGGAGAAGATTTGTTGATGAAGAATAAGGAAAAGATACTCAGACTTCGTCTCGAGGTTTTACAACGCTGTAGATAAATAAACACATGGGAAAACAGCGGGCGACATGACGTCAATGTCAGGTTCGCAAAATAACCTTGCACAGCCTTTGCAAGTCATCTTCAATTACCACTGTACTCTCAGACCACACTCCGCCTTCCAACATGTCGCAGAACACGCATACCGTAGTACTACTAGTAGTACTTCGGCGCCTCTGCAGCGAAGAACTGGGTATGTACCCCTTCTATGGACCGAACTCCCACTTCAGTTTACGGGACATGTGCTTTGGCTACGGTTATGGGCGAACAGATTCATCTAGCTGGACATGTCCATATGCTCATCCAACTACCCTAAGTATAAATACACTCGATGCTCAAATTGATCCAGCTTTTCAAAACGAACAGCTCTCAAGTGATACTCACGACATCTGGCAGCGGCTGAATCGCGCAAATGAATCGCGCAAACGCAGTCGGTGCCGTTTGTTCCGCGAAGCTTGATTCATTGCAACGTCTACCGATCGTGTTCCTTCTCGGTGGTTTTGAGATTTCTGTACATTGTTGATCACCCTTGTGCCTCCTTGACTTCTAGCTTGATGGCCGGCTTTGGCTGCTTGTTTTTGTCCCAGGGTTGGGCGTCTGGGTCCGTATCAGGCTCAGAATCAGCTCTCATAGCTGGCCTCACTGCGAAATCTTCCCCAGGCACCGCGAACTCTGGCGACCGATCTCCCTCGAAACTCGCATCGCCCGCAAACCAATCGTCAGTGTCGTCCATGAAGGGCGCCTGGAATGCAACGGCGCCACCTGGGTGCATGGCCTGGCCTCCGCCGCCTTGAAGTGCATCTCCGGACCTCGGAGCATTTGCATCCTCGAGCTCTTTCATGGCAATCAGTTTGACCTGCTCTTGGGCAGGAAGCGAGTCGAAGAACTTGGTGTTTGCATCCCATAACTTGACGCACTCCGGATTCCAGTTACATTTCTCCACCTCGCCATAAACAGGGTGTTTGTATCGAGGATGGCTTGTAGGCCAGGACGACGCATGAAAGTGATGCTTGATGAGTGCACTCTTGCCTCCATGATTGCCAGAGTCGGAGTGCCCTGTACCAGCTGCAAACGCCTCCACTGTGAGCACTAGAACTCGACCGACGGCCTTCGCTTCCAGCATGCCGTGGAAGTGGTTCCAGTTCGTCTTCTCACCTCGGATCTTGGAGATCTCGGCAAGAATAGCATTCGTGAAAGCGGAAGGTCCAGTACCGCTAATAACCTCGTCGAAATCCAATTCAAGCTCTGAAATGGACTTCCCTTGCTCTTTGGCCATGCTGTTAAGCCAGGCAAGTATACCATCTACGAGCCTCATCATGACCGGTAGCCGCGGCTTACAGATGAACGTCCACTGGCAGAACGATTGTGACTTTGAACCGAGGACAGGGTGGCCCAAGAACCCTGGTTCATCCGTCTCGACCCCAATCACCATGTCAAGATCTCTCTCGTGGAACCGATCCGGAATGAAGAGCTCCAAAGGCTTCAGGGCCTCGACATCGATATCCGCGTACACGCCTCCTTCCGCTGCAAAGGCGAGTCAGGTCAGCTCCTGGTACAAGACAGAAGACAGCGTGCCATCGCCTCTACTTACCATACATAATGAGGTATCTTAGAAGGTCTGATTTGATAATCTTGTCGTTGAGTGATCTGTAGGTATGCACAATATCCGGCCGATTGAGGCCCAACGGACCAAAGTGTCCTTCCACATATGCCATGGCGTTATCATCGGTGAGCACCTCATATCTATAGCCGGGATTCTTGACAGTCCATGTTTTTGCCCGTTCCGAGTCTCTCTGCTCGAACGAGAGGGGGCCGACTTTCCATGACTGCCAAATCTTTCGAGGAAACTTTTCCACGGCCGATGGAGCATTTTCGCCGGATCCGCCGACCACGGCATTGCGGTAAAGTAGGAGGATAAGACAGGCAATGCATAGAGGAACGATTCTTCGGAGTTGCTTGGCAAGAAACCCCTCCGAATGTTGGCGGGATGGCTGGAATTTCATCCGGACAGATAACTGGCACGAACACCGCCGACAGAAAGGAGCGGACGTCAATTCTCTTCGAGAGTCAGAACAAGAAGGTAGGTGAGCAGCACACTTGACACGAGACAAGAGGCAGAGGCTTTGATATTGTCGTTGCAAATGTATCCCAACGTTCTCTCGGACAGCTACTCTATACCGAAATCTTTCGGAAGCCACTCGACTGAATTGGGTCCTGGACTGTTCGCTTATCAATTGCGACTTCAGGAGCCTTATTAGTCGGGACTAAGGTGGCTGATACAGATGGCAGATCTGATTTGATTCAATAGTTCAACTGCAAAGTCAAGCCCTAGACCAGCGTGTCAGAATCAGGTCATGGTATTCTCGGCCTGACCGTCAAGGACATAAGGGCTTTGCAGATTTGCTGCGCGGGTCTCGTTTTAAACCAGGCAGGGAAATTCAACAGGAAGTGCTCTCTGGTCGAGACACGAATGTGAGCCGGGAACAGAATGTCAGCCAGCCTCTGGATCTCCATTCCCTGGGACGGATGCACTAGATGACCTTCCGGTTGGAATTGATTTCAGACGCGGGAGCCCAGAACATGGATATGGGGCGAGCTAGTGGTTTTCGCAGTACAGCTCAATGTTTCTTGCCTCCCAGGATTCTGCCGCCGAACAAGGGTGTGCGGTCTAGGACACTCTTTGTGCTACAAAAAGGAGGCAGCATTACGCCCGAGATAAGCGAAAGAAGGTGAACCGGTGCCTGGTCATGGTTACTCAAGGTTCAGATCTTGGGCTGAGGCGACAATGACCGGCCGGACTTGCAATATCCACTCCGGGCCGGAGCGGCTGCTGATGTTTCGATTGGTCTCCTTAGCCCATGCAGGACGAGGCTGCAGACCCCTGTCGCACATCCAGCCAGGATCCTGGTCCAGAAGTATCAAAGTACTCTTCCGTGAGAAATGTGACACTGGTCAACCACATGGAATACAATAAGCATGTGCCATTATCTCTCAGGGTGAGTCTGTCAACGTGGACAGTCTGTCTCCAACAGCCTCTGACGGCAGCTTTCATTGTCCATACCTTCAGCATTCGCCCAGAGATACTGTAAGGTTGGTCGACACCTACAGAACCTGGTCCTTTTGGGTTGCTTCACTCTTCTCTTGACCTATTCAACTGCAGGAATCGTGCCAAAAGCTGGCTTGAGAACTTGAATGTACGCCAGCAGAACTCTTTGGATAGGTCCACATCCTTTTCCGCAGAACAGCAACATCATGGCAAATCACCTCTCCCGATGTAACAAGCCTGAGAGAATGCCTAACGATGCAGTTCTTGAAAAGGGCTTGCTTGAACACACGGGCTCCGAGCCAAGTTCGACATGGATTAATGGAATCAGAGCAAGCATCAAAGATCTGATCGAACCGTCAATGTGGTTCGGCGCTCACAGACTGAAGAAGCCTCTTCACCGCACTGCGTACCTCGACGGGCTACGCGGCTTCGCAGCACTGCTCGTGTATATATTACATAACCAGGTTTGGGGCCATGCCGGCATTGGCGGCGAGTTCATCCTCGAAAACGCATATGGTTGGGACAAGCAGTTTTATTTCGCCTGCCTACCTGGAATCCGCATCCTATTCTCAGGCGGGCATCTGGCCGTGGCAGTCTTCTTCGTCATCTCAGGCTATGTCCTGTCAGCGAAGCCAATGAGCCTGATCCATGCTGGAGAAACGACCCAAGTTGCTGACAACCTCGGGTCTGCCTTGTTTCGACGATGGTTTCGACTGTACTTGCCCGTGATTGCCACGACTTTCCTCTGGATGACTTCATGGCACGCATTGGGGCTGCGGTCTTTGGCACCCGGTGCTTACAAGCCCGAGAAGACATATCTCGATGAGCTGTGGAAGTGGTACACTGAAATCAAGAACTACAGCTTTGTCTTCCACGAAGACCCTGCGTTCGGTTACAATGACCACACTTGGTCCATTGCACTGGAGTTCAAAGGGTCCATTGCCATCTATACTTGCCTGATGGCAATGTCCCGGCTCAGCAAGAACGCTCGGCTGTGCTGCGAAGCTGGCCTGATCTTTTATTTCCTTTACATTGTCGACGGGTGGTTCTGTGGCTTGTTCTCCATGGGAATGCTGCTCTGCGACCTGGATCTGCTCGCAATCGAGGACAACTTGCCTTCATTCCTGCAAAGACTGAAGCCACACAAGACCACAATCTACTGCACTCTGCTGGCGATCGCTTTGTACCTCGGGGGCGTGCCCTCAATTACCGGCGACCTCGCTCATCTTCGCAACTCGCCAGGATGGTACTACCTCTCCTTTTTGAAGCCGCAAGCAGTCTTCGATCCAAGATGGTTCTACCGGTTCTGGGCCGCTACCTTCATTGTCGCGGCGACACCTCGTATTCAGGCTGTCAAGTCCTTCTTCGAGTCCAGGTTCTGCCAGTACCTGGGCAAAGTTTCTTTCGGCCTATATCTGGTTCATGGGCCTGTGTTGTGGTCCCTCGGCGATAGGATCTATGCGGCAACAGGGCGGATCCGGGAAGCCCATGCTGAGCTTGTTCCAGGATGGATCAACGCCTGCCCTTTCCCCAGTTGGGGTCCGTTTGGACTGGAAGTAAACTTCCTCGTGGCTCATGTGGTGTTACTTCCTTTCACGCTTTGGTTGGCTGAGGTTGTGACGAAATTAATCGACGCACCCAGTGTCACTTTCTCGCACTGGATGTACAAAAGGGCTCGGGGTGTCCCTGAAAAGCGTGACTGGGAGGTGAAGGCAGGTGTGTTTGGCAAGTAGCCATTGTCATGGGCCGTGCTTTGCGCAGTCGTTCTTTGTGATTCAGACCTGAAGTCTATAGGTGCACTAGAGCCTGACCCTTGTACTGTGAAGGTAGTGTATTGAAACGGTGGCGTTGACAAAATTGAATCTGGCACCTTCCGTGACTCATAGCAGCTTCTTTGACAGCTGATAGAACATTCGCATATGATGCTGGCCTATTGAGAAGGCACGAGACTGGAGATCTGCCAAATGAAGACTCAGCAGACATACAAAGGGGCGCAAATACAAACCAACCTGGCCCGCGCTGGCAAGAAGCTCGCTGCACCAGCAGCGCCAACATAAGCCCAACAAGATGAGGGTGTCCCAGTGCCACCAGGCTGCGGATAGCCCTCCGTGTCCGCGCGGGCAGAGCTAATAGGGGAGAAACAATCGTCCTGAGATCGTACTGTGGGCAGTCCAACGAAAATCCATTTTTAGACATTGCATGGTTGTCCATCCCCTAGGAGCGGAGTCGAGAAAGCCATGCTGGGTCCTTTCTCGTGGTCGACACTGGCAGAGAGTGTTTCCCGTTGCAAATCAATAGCTCTCCGACCGGACAAAGCAAGTTCTCACGTCATGGCAAGAGTCTTGCTCCCAAATTAGCACAAGGTCAAAGGGGATCCTATCATGCTCAGCTGAATCTAGAAATGGATTGAGATAGGAGGTGTAATATCAGACAATGCAGCCTAGATGCAAACAGATGGGTTTGCCTCCGCCCAATTATGGCTTCTCCGGCTGGTAGTAGATTGCATGAAAAGCAATAGAGACTTTTTTGACCAGGGAGGACCCCATAATCAAGCCAGGATTTCGAGGGTTGCATTTGGACCAGTTGATCCTGGTCGTCACTGTTTGGAGCACCCCAGCAGTCCCGGTAGAAAACTAGGAAGACCCTTGCAAGCCGACGCAGCATGCGAAAAGCGCTGCTGATTTTAACATCAACGCCATCACCTTGTACGGTTGTTTTCGTAGAGTGGCGCCGAAACATTCGAGCACATCATATTGTTGGCGTCTCGTGATGGGCCCAACAGCTGAAATTTTGCCAGTGGAGAGCACCAGGGGTGGAAGTCTGGGCATGGGAAGAGGTACCGTAGAAGAGGGACAGCCACAAAATTGGATTGTTGTTGAGCAAGACGCCAGTTCCAGAGTCCATAGGGAGCCGCTCCAGTGAGTGGAAGAGAAGAAATGGGGTTTCTTCGATATAAGTCATCAGCTGTCGCTCTTCCGAACCTGTAGCTCAAAGTTCTGCTCGTCCTACACTCAGTCGCTCGTTACGTCTTTCGTTGCTCGCTTCTTTTCGGTCACTCGCTAGACCCCCTTCTCCTGATATTTACTTCTTGACACAGGACCACAACAGAGAAGCCCATTACAGACCTTCTCCCAACAATGAAGACCGTCTTGTTCACTATTGCTCTGGCTGTTGCCGCAAGAGCTGTCCGCGTCCCTCTGTGCTCAGTAAGATTGCTCGCCGACTGGTATGCTCACTCGATGATTGACCGAATCTTCAGGCAATTTGCATGACCAATGGTATTGCTGCCACAGGATGCTCTACCAGTGACACGGCATGTATCTGCACGTCTGAAAGGTTCTTCCCGACAGTCGCGGAATGTGCCGAATCTGATTGCAGTGGGGACAAGTCTGGTAAGCCACTCTGATATGCCATGAAGAGCAAGCGCTGACGGTTAGCAGTTGTAGACACTGCCGATCGGTTTTGTGCAAATGCAGGTATCCATGTGGAAGTGAAGAGATGGGGCGGCAGTGAAAGCCACGGCCAAGGTCAGGGTGGTCACGGTCCTGGTGGTTACGGCAGCCACTTTGGCCATGGCCGCTGGAATGGCGGCCCACCGGCGGGGCCGGGAGGAAAAGGCCCAGGTCCTCAAAGCTGGAAGGAAACTGATGCTAAAGGGGGCTCGCCCGCAACTGCTAATGATGGTCCAACTGATGGTTCGGCTAGAGGCTCAACCCCGGGGACTTCTGGCAACTGGGCGGACTGGTCCTCGGGGGGCTTGACCGATGGTTCTTCAGGAGGTTCCTCTGGCGGTGTTCATGACGGTTCTTCTGGAGCTCCAGTAAATCAAGCATGGAGCGGCGGAAGAGGACGTCCTGTCTGGGGCGGCAACGGCAATCCATGGCAACAATCCAAGGGAGGAGGCAATCCACCCAACACTCCGACTTCCCAGATCACTATGAGCCGCACCCAACTGGACCCTGGGAACCGCCGGTGACGGTTATCTGAAGCTGCATCGAGACGATTGTTAACTCACACTAGACCATTCCCCTTTATTGGCCCAAGATCCGCTTGAAACGCAGCCTCATGCTTCCTTTCTTTGTACAGGTTCTTATCACATGGTCTTCTGTGCAGTTTGTTTGCCAGGATTGATGTGCGATTTCATCGAGTTGCGAAAATCGTGGAGAACTTAACTATAGGATTGTCCGTCGACAACCTCTCCTTAATAGTGAAACAAATGATCATTCCAAAAATCCTACCTTTCTTATGATGAGAGATTCAAAGCACCTGATGCCAATCGTCCGACTCCATGGGTGGAGCTGTTCTCGCCAAAGCAAGATAGGAAGGATAGAATTTGACCAGAAATAGCCCTTTGCCGCACCGGGGCCATAACTCTCAAGGCAAAAGCTGCGATCGAGGCGTCCCACAAAGGTTAGCCGGCGCTGTCGAGTTCGTAGTATATTTGCCCGTCATTGAGAATGCCATGGAATTTCGTACAGGCTGCAGGAGCTCGAGCTGTCTGCTTCCTAATATCTGCGGCCGTGAGAAGTTTGTCATCAAGACTGAAGTATACGGTTCAACCAGACTGTAGCTTCAGACATACGCAGGGTGAGAGATGTGATAGCTTGGATATCGCTCACATATACTCAGCCTGTATCAGAAGTGGGCTTCTGGTCGGACATGAGAGTGTCCAGAAGCTTCAGGCGCATTATCTTGGATGAAACACGTAACATGGTGTAAGGGAAATCATCCCAAGTGCCAGTGTCAATGGTAAACGCGAGGTGCCTATAAACCTTGGAGCGGCAGAACTTGAAGAGGCCGAGTCAGTAGGCGGGTGTAAGATTTTCCGGCTCCGAGTGTGATGATTCGAGTCCTTTCCTCACTTTTGGTTGGGGAGGCGCCACTCAAGGACAGGTGCCAGTGGCAGGACGTCGAACGGCCCATCAACATCATACTACTACAACTTGTAATGTACGGCATTCCACGTTCTTCCACCCATCCATGTTCCACCATCAATCTACGCGATACACTATAGCCGGGAAGAACGACGCATCCTTGTCACCATTATCCATAGTTTCATTCGAGTTACCATACAACCGGATCCTTTGTATCTTTGGCCTGGAACTGTAGCCTCGAGCCTTACAATCCAGGCCAACACCTGAAGCAGTCACACACATTCTGCCAACACGAGATATAGTGCTGGACCGGCCAAGAGCCCGTCTAGAATCACATCATGTCCATCAAGTATGAAATGAGTCAATGCTTCCAGATATTGCACGTACTAATCCTGTCGTTCCTAGTTGGGTGATGTCGGATGGTCATGGAGGCTTCGTACGGCTTCCGGCGGAGACTATCATCCATAAATCGTCACCAAGAATATCCTTTGCACTCTCCACCCCTTCGACGTATCCTGGTCACAATCCCTTGGACATCAACTGCAGTTCAGGCATCGTCTACCTGACTAACCAAAGGGTGGGCAAGAATGAACCATGCATTCATTTTCTCGAATCTGACAGTTGATACAGATAGTATATCTGCCTGACAAGCCCACGGCAGATTTTCAGTCTTTCTCTGCACCCCTCCTCAATCTCCACGATACTCACATTACGGTACCGTGGTTCGGTCCTAATGCCTGGCAAGCGGTACTCCAGCCTATTCCGGGCGGCAATATTCCCGCAACGCACGCAGCGATTGAGCTCAAATTGACATTCAAAGAAGGCGGTGCCACTGATTTTCATTCCAAGTTTGAGCAGATCAAAGAGCGACTGCAGCAAGTTGTATCGGTTGCGCGGGAGCACAATTTGACTGGACGACCGAACGAAAGCTTCTTGGGCAATGTACCCCTGGATAATGTCCATCTCGATCAGTTGCCATCGTACCAAGAATCGGGTCAAGACAGGATAGCGCCAGCCGACTCCGTGGACTCCAGCACCGCCATTGGTTCGCCCGGGACAACGAGTCCTGTATCTTCTACGAGTCGAATGAGGTCAGCCTCTCCCGTGGAAGACATGGAGCCACCTCGGGAGCCACCTCCAGGATACGAGGAGGCGCAGCAGCAGAGTATACAGGCAGAGCTTGACCGGCTTTCACAATCTCAGCAATAGAACTGCATTGACGCCCAGCAAGGCGTCCTCATGATCTTAGAGCAGGGTGTTCCGGCGCCAGAACGTGTTTACCACGCCTCCAAAGACGACGGTGTGTGTAATTAGGGTGGTTCAGGGTTTGCTTGAATGTTATTTGTAACCTCTAACCTAAAACTACAGCAATCCTTGTGCTGCTGCCTCCGATTATATTGATGTTGCGGGACTTCTGTTACGATCTAGGTGCCTGCCTGGTAGGTAGGTAGGTGTCGTGCGAGGTGTACTAGTATCACTGAGACATTGTGTGTATTATGTAATCATTGCCCAGTGAGCGACTGTGAGCCAATCATGCTGGGTCAATTCCAAGTCACCCAAAATCGGAGCTTGAGCTTTCGTCCCGATCAATCTTCTTGTATTTCTGTCGACACTTCGCGCAGTCTTCAACGCAAAGCCAACAACACCGACTTTTCTTGAGGGAGGGCTATATTCTCACCTATCATCCCTCTGGAGTGCTTCCCGCCGTTCAATTCCCCGTCCGCGGCCGCGCTACGACTTTGACAATGGGTATCACCGATTTCTTCTCGGACCTGCTGAGCTCCGTTTCCTTCGTGCAGGAAGTGCACGCCGAAGCTCCCGCCGAAGAGGAAGACTCCAACGAAGGCAGCGAGGACACAAAGGAGGAAGAAAGCGGTGACGCAGAAGAAGAGGAAGGTGGTGAAGAAGGTGGTGACGATGAAGAGGAGGAAGAAGAGGAAGAGGAAGAGGAGCCGGTCGACCCGAAACCCAAGCTTGAGGAGGGTATGTATTTGCAGGCGTGCAATGTGGCCGCAACCGCCGTGCTTCTGGGTCAAGATTTGGGTAACTAACTTCTACCGTTCAACCTGACAGACTGCGCCCGCTCTGCCCAGTGCGCTGGTTTTAAGCATCACTTTGACGAATGCGTTGAGCGAGTCACCGCTGCCCAAGAGGACCCCGATCACAAAGGCCCCAAGGAAGACTGTGTTGAGGAATGTACGTTGCCTTCTCGCATGCTCGTTTTTGGCAGATGTGGTACCCGGAGTTCAAGTGCGATGCTGACACAAGGCTAGTCTTCCATCTTCAACATTGTGCGACGCAATGCGCTGCCCCCAAGCTGTGGAAGCAGCTCAAATAGACACGTCCTTTCCGCCACGAAAATCTACCGACAAGCCGCACTATTAGACTACTCCGAGTCATACCGAACAAAATAGCCACGCGGACCTACGGCACGAATCCCGGATTTCATCTTGGATCTTGGATCTTGGATGAGCATGGAAGTACGGGGTACTTGTCCGGGGATTGTTCTGCAAGATCATCCTACCCAATAAATAGTCCAACATCCACCTGTACAGCTACGCTTTAAATGGAAAGACTTTTTCTCGCTCAGCATTAAAGTCCAGGTTCATTGATTTGCAGGGTAATAGACGGCTTACACAACGTCGTCGCTGACGGGAATGGTAATCGGCAACTAATTTGAGGAGACATCCATGAAGTACCTGCTCGTGCGAAGGCTTCATGGCATGCATATCTGGCGGCATGTTACTTCTATGCGTCGTGAAACTGTCTTTCAGTTCGTCTTGGTCCCTTTGCATTGGGTGCACGTCACCATGCAGGTTGTCTCCCACGGATTGGGTCTTTCATGGCGCTTCTTTTTCAGCCAGCCACTCACTTCCCGCTATATACCAGAAACCCTTCTTTGAATTCTCGCATCGTCCTCGATTGTTCTTCCACCTACTTGAGTTCGAGCGTTATGATCCAGTTGTCGTGCCTTATCCCCGTGGGTTGATTTCCATTCCGGTGCCGGTGTGTTACACACACGACTGCAGTGCCTGTCCGACCCATAGCGTCCCGGAAAACCTCCCAGCTGCCAGCACCAAATGCCCGTTACTGTTTGCTATTTGGTCGAAGCTGTGTAAACTGCACCTGACAGGCTGATGGCATGAATGCCAGTTGATCTAGCTAAGCCATGATACTTCCATATCTCAACTGGGCTCTCTTGAGTGTTCGCTAGGGCGGGGATGTTGTACACCCAAGATCTCTCATTCAAGTCTATGCATCCTATACACCTTAAGCACTCGTTGCGTGTAAGACGTCCATCCTGCGCATCATCAATCGGCCCTTCCAGCATGGGAGCCGCCCAGCAACTGCCGGCCAGCGTCTACGTCAACACTAATGACATGCTCAAGCCCATTCTGGTCGACCTCGAACCTGCGTCGTTTAACATGTAACTGTCGGCCAAACCAACCGAGACACATGGCGGCCGGCATGACAGCGACGGCCAGGACGGCCTGAAAGATGAGGGCCCTCTTCATGTTGGCTGGAGGGCTCGCATCACCAGAAGCTTTGAGTGCGTCCATGACAACGATGAAGATGCCGCCCAATATTTGCCCTCCACACCAGCACAAGGTGCTGCCCAGCTCTGGACCGAGTGGGTAGTGGATTTCCACCAGAAACTCGAGAGCGACCGGAACAAGGCCGAAGCTGGCGGCCCCAAGAACGGCGCAGACGACGTCGACATATGCCAGGGAGCGTGTCTGCGGAGCCCAGGTGAAGATGAGATACGAGATGGCAATGAACGGGACCGCCACCTTGATATAAGCTAGGTAGAACTTATATCGATCCATGATGGGAGAAGAAATAGCCGCACTAACCAGGCCGACAACGATCAAGACAGCGCCGGCAATCCCTGCATCTGTCTCGCTGAAGCCGTAGGGTTCCAAGATTTGATTGATCAAACTGGAGAATGCGTTGAAGAACCCCACATACACGGCATACGGGACAAATATGAGATAGAATTCGATCGAGCGCGACAGCGCATGTAAGTCATGCTTCAACGACGTGCGGTCCATGTGATCTGGTACAGACCCAGCTGAAGGAGGCGTCGGCGGTTTCGCTGGGATGAAAAACGCCGGGACGCAGGCCACGGATGAGATGATGGCGATATATAAAATCATATTGGGGATTTCGTGCGGTTGGTCGGCCCAGAACGGTGAGATGAGCTGGCCCAACGCGGCGCCAAACGGGTTGGCTAGCGACGCCACGGCAGTGGCAGTGGTGCGACCCTGTGGACTGAACCACAAGTTGCTGTAGCTGGTAGGTGAGGACAGGACGAAGGGCTGTGCGAATCCTATCACCAGCTGCCCAACCATGACACCGGCGAAGTTGTTGGCGCGGGTGGCTCCATACTTGATCCAGTTTCCAGCCAGAATGAGCGCGGCAGCAATGATGATGGCGACTCTGGGGCCGTATTTGTGCAACACGAGGAATGTCGCCGGCGTCGTTACGCAGAACGCGAACAGGAAAGCTGTTGATACCCAGTTGATGTTGCTCTCGCTTGTATCAAAATATCTCGCTGACGTGGACGACACCGGCGCGAACGCGATCCAGTCCCATGACACAACAATGTTCAAGAGAACCAGCTGCGAAAGCCCAAAGAAACGGCGCTTGTATACTTTGTACTCCGGTGCTGAAGTTGTCGAGATACGAGAAAGAGTGCCACCCGCTGCATGGCTCCCATTCGCCTCATACCCGCCATGAGACAGCGAACGTTGTGAGTCCATGGATGGATTGCCTGCACCGCTGGGCCCTGCATGCTCGACCCTCTTCGAGTCCGTCAAGTTGCCCATCCGGAGAGATGTTTCGGATAAGGTTCGAATACAGATTGCAACTTTGCTGGGCCGGCGAGCCCATTGGGGACTCAGATATGAATGTGATTGTTGTCTTGCTAGAGGATCTCGCTGCAACGGATGGGTTATGAGAAATATCCAGCCAGCATGCCCTGGTCGCTCATGGCGTGCGTCCACACAGCCAGTACAACATCAATTGATAAGCGGCGTTCAAACTCGGTACAGCGAGCGGGGAGACGAGGTGAAGTTGCATTCAATCTAGCACCAGCACTAAAGAAACGTCGCTGATCAGGTTGCAGTTCTGGCCTAGCAAATGAAACGCTACCTACTCGTAGTAGACTCGGATTCGGCCTCAGCCTTGGCAGCTAAACAAGGCTCGGTTGCTCCAGGACATGGCGCTTCAAGTATACATAAGTATGATACGCTCGTCGCATGCGATCATTCAATAAATTGCCATCTCTTTCCAGACGATCAAGAGATGCAACATGGCCTCGTGAGCGTATGACTCCAAAGTCTGGGCAAGTGTGCTGAAAATTGAGCTCTTGCGATGGACGCCCAATTAGCTGAAGGCAACAATAGGCTCCGGTAAGACGCAGCTTGTTACTGCGTTGCTGAGTCTGGTCTGAAGGAAGCGCTGTCTTGTCCGGCCCAATAGGGACGATAGGGTTAGCTTTGCAATATCAACAAGTTGGATAACTGCAAGCAATATCGGTCTCTGCATTACTTTGGACGGGCCATCAGTGCACGTAAGCCAGGGCGCTTTCCGCAAAATAAAAGACGGTTATACCGCGGTAGGCAAGTTCTGCCTGCAGTAGTGCTTTATCAACCACTTCTGCTTAAAAGTTAGACGTTGTCAGGCGTTATGTACATACCTACTTGGAACCTTAAGGTACCTATGCTTCTTGAGTTTCTCATGAACTGCCAATGCGCCTGATAGCCATTATTGGTCCAACGAACACAACGGAGAAGACATGCGTGCCTCGGCGTTAGAGGCGAGACACGGACGTCAGGTGCTCCCCCAGCGTCTCCCATCACAACATGTGAAACTTTGGCATCAGCTACAGTATGCCATTTCCCAAAATGTGCATATAGTAGATTACTGTATGCCATGAAAGGGATTATGAAGGCATCTTGAGGCCAGTCTTTTTGGTGTTTCGTCTCTACTTGTGGCATCTTGCCATGGCAGTCCAGTCCAAGTTGCTGCCTCCCGGGCGCAGCGTCAAACAGATCATCTCCGAATTGACCTCCCTCTATCTCAGGCACCGGACCAAGATATCCCGGACCGTTTTCATTACCCTTGTAGTCGCCTTGATCCATCGAATTCACAATGCTATCTCCGAACAGAAAGCCGCCGCTCGCAGACAAGCGGAGATCCGAGCCCAACAGTCCGCCACAATAGGAGACGCCGATGCGGCCAGTCAAGAACACAAGAAGAAGAGGGTGGAAATCAACAGAGAGTTTTTCCGAAATCTTCTTCGGCTGCTGAAAATCGTTATACCGGGATGGCGCAGCAAGGAGTTGCGTCTGCTTGTCAGTCATAGCGTGTTTCTGGTTCTCCGAACCCTCCTGTCGCTCTATGTGGCCGAACTCGATGGCAAAGTCGTCTCTGCGTTGGTCAAGGGACGGGGCCGAGACTTTGTGCTTGGACTTGTATGGTGGATGCTGGTGGCCGTTCCTGCGACATTCACCAATTCCATGCTCCAATACCACCAAACCAGGCTCGCCCTGGCCTACCGGACACGCTTGACGAACCACATCCACGAGAAGTACCTGAACAACATGACATTCTACGCACTGTCGGCTTTGGACGACCGAATAAAGAACCCCGATCAACTCATCACCGTCGATGTGGCACGGTTCAGCAACTCCCTTGCTGAGCTATACTCGAATCTGGCCAAACCTATCCTCGATATGGTGATCTACAATTACTCTCTGTCCAAATCCGTGGGTGGTGAGGGCCTCTTCGCAATGGCGCTGCTGGTTCAGGTATCGGCCAACGTCATGCGCGCACTCACACCGCCCTTTGGCAAATATGTCGCGGACGAGGCGAGATTGGAAGGTGAATTTCGCTTCCAGCACACCCGATTGATTGATTATAGCGAAGAAGTGGCATTGTACTTCGGACACGAGGCCGAGAAGGATGGCTTGGACAAGGGCTATTTCACCTTGATCAAGCATGTCAATCGGATACTGCGGCGGAGGTTCTACCATGGCCTCATGGAGGACTTTGTTATCAAATACTTCTGGGGCGCTCTCGGGCTTATTTTATGCTCGCTTCCAGTCTTCTTCAAGATCCCGGGCCAGAGTCTGCAAGCTGCCGGTGATCACACTGAAAGCTTTGTCAAGAATCGGCGGATGTTGCTCAGCAGCTCTGATGCGTTCGGCCGCATTATGTTCTCCTACAAGGAAATCACCGAGCTGGCAGGCTACACTTCCAGAGTTGCTGGACTGCTGGATGTCATGGACGAGGTCTCTGCCGGCCATTTTGAGAAGAAGCTGGTAAGCTCTGCAAGTACCGAGGAGAATGCCGAAGTCTTGAAAGGTCGTGGGACCATTGAAGAGAGTGAGAACATTGAGTTTACCGACGTCCCCATCGTCAGCCCCAATGGTGACGTGCTTGTCAAGAAGTTGACCTTCCGCATCAGACCGGGAGACCACCTTCTCATCGTGGGTCCTAATGGATGTGGCAAGTCGAGCTTATTCCGGATTTTGGGAGGTCTCTGGCCTGTTTATGGCGGGACAGTGAAGAAACCCAGTTTTGAGGACATCTTCTACATCCCACAACGGCCCTACCTCAGTCGCGGTACACTAAGAGATCAGATCATCTATCCTGACACTCTCTACGAGTTCCGGGCGAAGAACGGCTCGGAAGAAGAGTTGAAGCAGATCCTGGAGGTTCTGGAAATCGAGTCTGTCCTCAATCGACCCAACGGCTGGGATGCTGTCGAGGAATGGAGAGACGTTTTCTCTGGCGGTCTGCAGCAGCGGATCGCGATGGCGCGGCTATTCTACCATAAGCCCAAGTATGCCATCTTGGATGAATGCACCAGCTCGGTCACTTTGGAAATGGAGCGCAAGATGTATGAGACTGCCAAGAGTCTTGGGACCACCCTGATGACCGTTTCGCATCGCCGCAGCTTGTGGAAGTACCATAGCATGATCCTACAGTTTGATGGTGAGGGAAACTATGTCTTTAGCAAGCTCGATGCGGAGAGGAGGATCAAGCTGGAGGATGAGAAGGAAGAGCTCGATGCTCTGCTCCGTGGGGTCGAAGGATGGAAGGCCAGGCTCGCCGAACTGGAAGGCTGATATAGTGGGTGCTACTTATCTGATTCAAGTTTCAAGGTTGAGGACTATCTCCCACTTTCGCAGGGCGATAGTGCAAAGCCTTGTCTTCTCAGACTTGCCCCGCACGCGCCCTTCGACTCGGAACGATCGTGGAGCTCGTATAGCATGATGACACACTCCTCATCGAGGAATGTGAATGAGTATCATTTCACATCGAGCGTGGTACCTAAGCAACATTTAAGCGTTTTGACTCTGAAAACTTCACCCAACGAGCGGTCCATATCAAGGTTGGGAAGAACCAAGCCGAGCCAAACACAATGCAAACAAGCGCATATTCCACCAGCAAAACATGGGCCGCGAAGGGACAGCCTGACCAACACACTCTGAGGGTTGAGTGTCACTGCAAACTTACCTCGTTCTCGCTGTCAATCCCATCTTCTTCACTTCCACTGAAATCGGCAGTCTGTCATTGCACTTCATGCCGCCACGCGACTGGACAACTCTTTGCCACGTTTGCCGTGCTACCGGTGGCGTTGCCTGAAGGGGTCCTCGAGTACGGGCACCTAGTGAAGTATGACTCTTCTCCTAAATGCGAACGATGGTTTTGTGGGAGATGCGGTGCTTCTGTCCTCAACTTTGACAAAAGTGGCGGGCCTGGGGCAGAGGAGTGGGAGGTCTGCACAGGCGTAGTCCAGTTTGACAGTGGAATAGAAGGCAAGTTGAATAGGGTACAGCTATGGGTGGAAGACGTCGCCGGAGATGGGGGCGCCGCAGTCTGGATCAATCGGGGTCAGTTGGCTGGGATGGACAGGCATTGGAGAGATCGGGAAAGCGAGATGGTGAAGGACGGGAGCATCCGGGACATGATGACACGGAACACTGTGGAGTCGGCTGACCAGCTGCGAGCTCACTGTCACTGCCGGACGGCCAGCCTGACGATAGCAATGCCTTGTCAGGACAGCCACTGCGCCCCACGGAACAAGTACGAGGCAACCTTAGAATTCGGCGGAGACACTCGGCTTGTCTCTGGCTTCGAGGTCACAAGCTGGGTGACAGTCGATGAAAAGCAGCTGCCGTGTCTCAACTCACCGACCCTTGACGCCCTCCCTGCGGACGCCAAGCTCGGACACTATCAAACTTCGTCCGAAGGTGTTGAGAGTAGCTATTACTTCTGTGGAAGATGTGGTGCAACCATCATACACCGGCGCTGCGAGTACGACTCATACAGAATCATGATTGGAGCGGGATTGCTGGATACCGGAATTGCGAGGAAAGCTCGAGTCGAAGATTGGCTAAGGTGGTCCCCGTCCGCGGGTTTGGAGACTGGAGAAGAATCCCAACGGGGTACAACAGACCATACATTCGTGAAGCACATAATGGAGGGTATGAGGATGGCACAGAGGGGCTTGTAACTGGGGCGGGAGCGATGAAAGTATCCGCTTTGACGCGAAGGGGAAACAGGCAACGCAATTGAATATGCTTAACGAGATTAAATGGGTAACTGGCGTTCAACGTCAATTGACAAGCCTTCGTGCAATATTAGTCCGATTGAGTATTCACAAGATGTACATATGCCCAGCTTATGTCGCCATCTAGCTGCTGAATCTCTTCTCGGCCGCCTTCCAGTTGATCACATCCCAGATGGCATTGAAGTATTCCGCCTTGCGGTTCTGATATTGGAGATAATACTATTATCGTAGTTAGTCAAGCGGTTCTCTTTCTTCGGCAGAGAAGGGGTTTCTCTTACAGCATGCTCCCAAGCATCAACACCCAACAAAGGCTTGTATCGTCCAACCACGGGGTCTTGGTTGGCATATGTCTGGATGCCGATGTTGCCGGTCTGGGTATCCTTGACCAACCAAGCCCAACCACTGCCTTGAATACCAGCCAAAGCAGTGTTGAACTTCTTTTTGAAGTCTTCCAAGCTTCCGTAGGTGGTGTCGATGGCCTTGGCCAGCTCTCCAGAAGGAGGCTCGCCGCCACCGTTCTTCTTCGGGGCCAGGTTCTCCCAGAACAGAGAGTGGTTCAGATGACCACCACCGTGGAAGTTGAGCAAGGGCTGCAGGGCGATCTTGGCAGCAATGTCATCTTTGGCCTCCGCTGCCGCGAACTTGTCGGACGCCTCGTTGTACGAGTTGACGTAGGTCTGGTGGTGCTTGCTGTGGTGGAGCTCCATGATCTTGCCGGAGATGGCGGGCTCGAGGGCACCATAGTCGTCTGCACGACAGAACGTAGTCAGCACATACTCCAAGCTCCAAGTTTGTCATGATGATGGCTACAACGTACATGGAAGGTCTGGGAGAGTGGCCTTGGTACGGACGAATGTTCGATCGGCAGTGGTCAGGCTGCGCAACGGCTTGCTGGCCGTGGCCGCGGCCCGGAGAGCTGAAGGGCGAGCGACGGAGCGGAGGAGAGAGGTCATTTTGGGCGGCTTTTTACGATGAACACGGGACTAGAAGCTGACTAGAAGACTTGGAATGGACGCAATGGATGTGCACAGAGAGGAGAGCTTGTTATGCAGAGTAGAATTGTAGAAGCAGAGGGAGACAATTGATATAACTACTTCGTAGCAACATCCGGAGTCTCGGAGGAACCTCGCGGCGGGCATTGGAGAGGACAAGCGGGCACTTTACGTCACGCTTTGACCCTTCTGGAATCAACAACTTGAACTCGATTGCACCATGCCAGTGCCAGGCTGAGTCAGGGAGACTTTTCTACTAACTTCGCGGATCTCTGATCTTCCACCCTACTACTGTTAGTACGGACGACTCTGTACCCGCACGTTGCATGTGCCCATCTCTTCCGCGGAACCTCCCAGCTCCTAAACAACACCGAAGTACCGATAGAGAGCGGGAGGCTCCACTCATCCACATTGCTCTGCTATTGGCCGCCTGGCGGAGAATATTGTGATCTCAGACACATTGTCTACTATGTGTAAATGCAAAGGCAACACTCTCACAACTGCGCAACGTTCCCCTTGCTAAAGTCCTTAGGCCAATATGAGCGATTCCTCGGACGATGACCAACTCTTCAATCTCCGCGACTACGACGATGACGATACCGACGATGAAAGGCCCAACAAGCGAAGAAAAACGATGAAAACGTTGCGCAGTCGCGGTCTGGGTTTTGTCAAAGCCAGCGAGCAAGATCAAGATGGCAATGAAGAAGATGATGACGAGGATGTCGACGACGAGAGACCTTCGATGGGTTTGGGGTCAGGGCAAGGATTTGGGATGGGTGGATCGCGCAGCTCATTCAACATCGGCCAATACAATGAGGAAACGCGGCCTGCAAGTCCTGATCCAGCACCAGACATGTCACCGCTCAGACAAGAAAAGACTGGCGGTACTGGGCCTTCGGCTTTCGGGAGAGGGGGCAAGATCCAGAAGAACTCATTTGCAGCACGGATGATGGCGAAGCAAGGCTACGTTGAGGGCCAGGGACTCGGAAAGTCAGGTCAGGGTATAACCGCGCCAATTCAAGCCAAAGTCTTGCAAAACCGCGCTGGTCTGGGTCAAGGGAGTGGTACACCTGAGCCTCCGCGCAAGAAGACGGATTCAGGACGCGACAAGACCTCGTCAAAGGGGTCTACTCCTGGAGTCAGCACGCCTAAAATCAGAGCGCCACCCAAGGCCAAATATGCCGTGACCGCAATCGAAGCCCGAGGCCTGCATGTGCCGGAGGCGATGAAACAGATCATAGTCGACGCCACGGGCGCCGAGACCAAGACCGTGACCTCGTTATCCGGCTTCTCTACGCCGACAAGACAGGGCACGCCCGATCCTGGCTTGGAAGTTGCCAAAGCAACTGCTCGCATCAAGCTACAATTGCAGGCATTTGCGGATGCGTGGGACGCAACGAAGGAGCAAGAGGCGCATCTGGAACTTGAGGATACACAACTTGGCGCCGCATTGGCGTTGCATGACGAAGAGATCCAACGGTACAACGACATTATATCCGCCTTTGAAAGGGTTTCGGTCGACGATTCGAACGAGTCACGCGAATGGGAAGCTTGTATCGCGCGTCTGCAGGAAATTCAGGCGCAGTTTACAAATTATATCTCTGAGCTGTCATTGCCAGAGTTGGCAGTGTCGTGTTTGGAAACGCCTTTCCGGCGGCAAATGGCAGATTGGGAGCCTTTGTCGAACCCGCAAATTCTCATCGATTCCTTCCAATCCGTCGGGCAGCTCCTTGAGCTGGAGAAGACTACCACATCAAAATATCGCAAACGGACGACGCACTTCGAATCACTTCTCCTTTTGCACTGGTATCCCTTGATCCGCAGTGCTTTGGCCCGCGAATGGGATGTGTACGACCCGGATCCAGCGTACAAGCTCATCACCGCGTGGTCGCCCATCCTACCAGCCTGGCTCATCTACAAGCTCCTCCACGAAATAGTACTGCCCAAACTTATTGAAGCCGTGAGACGGTTTCCCAAAATGGCAGAGTCTTCCTCTGCCGGCGCGGAGCGGGGCATTGTGCGCAAGTCGTCCAAACGGTCTGCTCCGGACCTGCATACGTGGCTTTTCGACTGGTGGACTCTGCTGTCATCAGAGGATCTCGATCTCGAACGATTCAGTGAGCTCAAGTCCCTGGTCAAGACCAAGGTCGACAGCAACAGCTGGCCGACATGGAAACCTCTGCTGGGATCGCGTCGGCCTAAAGCGCTGCCCTCGACGAGGGAAGTTCCTTCTGCGGCGCCCGCAGATCTCGCTAGTGCAGACATGGAAGAAATTTCCTTCAAGTCGTTCGTGGAGGATTGGGCCAGCGAAAACAATTTGCTACTACATTCGTCACACAAGTCCGATGCCTTCGGCCGGCTGCTGTACCGCCTGCAAGATGCCGAAGGGCGCAGCAGAGGCATTCTTGTATATCTGCAGGACGATGTCGTCTTTGGCGAAGACGGCGAGCCGTTCGCCCTGGATGATCGTTTAGTGAAACGAGCAATGGGGCGGTCGTGATGAACACCACGCATAGTCAAACGGAGTCATCTCAGCCTCAAGAAGAGGTACGTAAGGTATTGCTTTTTTAGACAGTCGATCACGACTGTGTGGGTCAGAATGTAGATCGTCTCTTGATGGACGTGTAGCCCAAGCCGAAATGAAGAGACAATATCTACTGTACTATCAGTGGTATGAACTACCAAACAGGCTTCCACTTCCCGTTCGCATTGGTACCCAAGTAGTATATGTCATATCAACCATGATTCTGGCCATGATGTCGTGGCAAGGAATTAGGAGACGAGGTGAGACGTTTCAGACACACCCAAGAAAACGGCGGTCCGTGAGCAAGTGACAGGAAATTGTCGAAGACCTTCAGTAAAGCAACTAGACAGAGCATGTCTTGATTAGTCTTGTACATCATCGTCAGGTATGTTCTATTACTATTGATTCAAAACATGTTTTTTATGACTCTGCCTCATCCTCGTCGTCTTGCTCGTCTTCGTCCTCGTCTTCTCCTGGAGCGGCCTCACAGGCTGGGTCCAGCTTCGCCATCCTGATCATCCCCCTCATTCTCATCATCATCCCATGCATCTGGAGAGACCTCGATCTCTCCTTTGATGTCCCATCTGTCCCCGGCGGCGGCTTGGCTGACATACTTGACGAACCTCAGCGTCCCCTTGTCCCTCAAGACGATACTGACCCGATTCCATGCGGCGGGATTTGCAAACAAGATGCCGTCATCCTCATCCTCACCGTTGGAGGACTTGTAGATGGCTGGATCTGCTTTCTTGCCCACGCTGGGCAGAGACTTGGAATGGACAGATGCTTTGTCGTCGTCATCATCATCGTCGCCAGCCATGTAGACTTCTTCGCCACCAAACTCGATCTCGGTGGACGTAGTGACCTGCACCCTTTCGACTTCGCGGGCCTTGCCTTTCCCCTTGCCGCTGTCTCCGGTTTCTGTGGGTTTCGACGAAGCACCATTAGCACCAGCAGATCCGTAGGGCTTCTCCACGGCCGACTCTTCTCCATCAGCCTCTTCGTCGTCGTCGCCATCATTCCTCTCCCAGCCCTCACTGGGCGTGATTGAAATGGTAAATTCTAACTGGGGCTGCTCGCCCAGGAATGGGTTTGCTAAGGCATAGTCCTTGCCATGACGAAATCTTCTGGCAATCATGTTCTGCCGCACCAGACTCCTGGGCTTCAGACCTGTCACCAAAGCCAGCCATTTCTTGAAGGCGTGCGAGTGCAGAAGATCAGTCAGTATACGCGATATGGGCGTCTTGTCCCTATGGAGGGCCTCTGATCCCTGAAGATATGCAAAGCGGTGCTTGTGTGGTGGGCGTGCAACTGCCCAGTTCGCGGGGTGCGACTTTGACGATGATTCGCTTTCTGTCTCCACCTTTGAAATGTATTCCTTCAGTTCAGCAGCGAATTTGGGAGCAAAGAACTGTTCGAGCTGGAGCACCGACATCTCTCCAAACGATTCTTGAAAATCTTCAATCATATCCGGCGTCAGGTAACTGGGCGAGATATAGTGGAGCAAAAAGGTCAAGTCTTGCTCCGTCAGCATGTCTTCGTCTGGGTCTTGATCCTCGCCTGGATCAAGCTCCTTCTTGGCCGCATGACTGTCCATCACCGCGCGAGGCTCGTCGAAATGGCGGAACACCAGCTGCGGTTCGTCGAACTCGGTGGCGGCGCTCTTCAATTGCGCGAGAGTTGACCGGTGCGCCTGGGCTTGTTCGATGCCTTCCTCGAACCCATCCTCGCCCTCCTGCGGAATGTGGAACCAGCCACTGATCGCCATGCGGATTCGTCCTCCATCAGCTTCGAGGTTGGGGCCATAGTACACTTCCTCGACGTCATGGTAGCTCTCGCCGGGGCGGACGGCGAAGAAACTCAACTGTCCAAACGCGGGAGGAATGGTGAGACTATGTTCGGCCAGGGGCACCTTGATGTCTTCTCCTGCTTTGTTCTTCTTGACCTCGGTGGGAAACAGTCGCAAACCACCACCCCACTCAGGTTGCCATGGATGATCCGGATCCGTCAAGTACAAAATATAGCTGACTCTTCGACTCCCAATCACATCGTCATGGCACAATAGGTAGCTGCCCGGCGTGTAGACGTTGACCGCCATATCTGTCTTTTTCCCAGACACTTTGCCCGCGCCCGTAACCGTGGACACCCATTCTCTGAAGTCCGGGCTGTATAGCGCATCTCGGAGGCGAACTAGGTTGGGTAAATGTTTTAGAGACTCGGCGTCGAGGTTCGAGAGGTTGGCAAGATCGCCGGACTGGTGGATGCGATAGATGTCCGTCTCCTTTAGCGTGAAGTGGATATGGCTCATGATCTCGCTGCGTACGGACCGTAGAAGAGGTTCCTGGATCAGCGAGGGAACGACGGCATGAGGATACGGCCCGGCGACCTCGTAGCTCTTCCGGAAGGATTCGACTGTTGTGTTCTCAAAAAGATCAGGTCGGAATGCCGCCTTGGGATCATTGGGCTGGTCGCTTGCGACATTGCGTTTCTTAGAGGCGGTATCGCCGTCTTCGTTCAGCTTGCGCTTCATTTTTGCAAAGGCACCGAAGATGATGTGAGAGATTCCGTGGCGGCCACGTACTGCGTGAACACTTTGCAAAGAATATTATAAAAATGTTCCATTGATAATTGCGGAGAAAAAAAAGAGCATGTTGCGGTCGCGGCGCCGGCTTTGGCGCCGACGGGGCTGCTCACGCCATGTGGCCCACCCGTGGGAAAGGTCAGGCCATCATCATCATGATCATCAGCCTCGCATTATTGTTATAACGAGCCGTAGACTTTTCAATAATCGTTACCACGGTCTGAATGGACTATTTGACCAACGTTACATATCTGGAGCGCTTCTACCCTCCACTGAACGAAATATTTCCGTCACTGTATCTATGCTCGCAACCAGTTGTCAAATTTAGTGTGGATATATTTTACGCATCTAAAGGGTTGCTGCGGACGCTGTTGAGGCTCAGCCTAGTAGTCTGCAGTGTAATAGATATCATCGTCGAGGCTAATGAACTCTCTGTTCAACGCCTTTTTAGAGTGCCAAATCTCCAGGAAACATATCCTACCACTTCAAGACACTCCGCTTTAGTGGATATGTGTATATGGATAGGAGGCCATTACACCCCGACATAGACGAACATATTGGCAACTAACTGCATGGGCAGCAACATCTGCTCGAACTTTATTCCAGAAGTCCGGAACTGAGTGCACGATATATGCGTGCCATAGTAGAAAGACGACCAAGTGCAAAAAAGTATTCGTGACATAAGATCCGCACGCACCGAAACCTGACTCCACGCTTTCATTATACACATCAAAAGTCATCTATTGACTTCTTCATCGCCCGTCCGTGATCATGTCGACATAAATGAAAACTTTGAGAGACGAATAATAAAAGACATCCTTTCCGTCCTTCTCACACAAGGTCCACCGGGAATCGGGGACGAACACTAGTTCATCCTGGTGGTGAACAAGCCATCCACATGCATCCCCATGGCGCATGCGCTCAGGAGAGACCTCAACAGCATGGCGTGGTACCGGATCTTTTGCCTTTCTAGAAGGTCCAACAGAGCACGCAGTATCCTGCTTGTTCTCGCACTGTGGCGGATCAGGTCGCGGACGCTTGACGGCCTCGTTCCTGGCTAATTCGTCTTCAGAGGTCTCGGAGGAGCCAGCTACGAAGGTTGACCCTGAGGGACGTCGCTCCGTACTTGTCGTGGCTGGGCGGCCAGGTTTTCGATCGAACTGAGTGACGAGGCTCTGCCCTCGTGATGACCGTCCTGTGCGTCGGATTGGGGTCACTTCATTACGAGCCAGCTCGTCTTCGGAAGTGTCAGAAGCCCTGGTCAAAAGTGTCGACTGGGAAAGATTTTTGTTCGTGGAAGGTGGCAGTTGGCTGGCCCGTTGGTTGGCCTGTTCAATGAAGGTATGCCGGTACGTCTTTGCCAGGTCACGAGCGTTGCGGTATGTAGTAGCCCCTTCAATGAACGTCTTCTTGCTGTCGGTTATATCAAACCCACGTATTTTGTTCATATGATACTCTGCTGTACCGCCGGCCGTCAGTGGTTGCGTGGGATGAGTGGCATAGATCTGAAGCGCGCCAGTAGCAGGATGGTAGGTGCTGCTGAAGCAGTATGCATTGTTATCGTACACAGGCTCTTTGGCTTTGTAATTCTGGAGTTGGTGGATGGCTCGAGCGCCTGTGGCTCCATCAACCAGGGCTTGTCTTGTCGCCACATCTGCTCGTCCTTGGGCGCTCTTGCCCTCGAAAAAGAAATTGGGGACAGCCGGACGGCTAGTGTCGGCCTTAGACGGAATGATATATTTTCCCAGATCTGTGCGTACACGGGGATGAATAGCAGAGGCACTGGCTCCGTGGTACAAGTCTGGCTTGAGCTCACTGAGACCTTTGTCGAATGGTGCAAGATCCTTTAGTGGGAGGTCGGCCTCAACCCGATGACTTATTTCGTTGCCGGCGACGAAGGGAAGCACCTTGAACAACGTTGTAGTCTCCCTTTCGGCCCTGTTATTCTCTCGTTTGAAGGCTAAATAATCTGCGTCTGTAAATCGCGACGGTGAGAGAGATGCTCGCGGGAGGGAAAGTCTAGCCCGAATGTCATCAATATTGGCCGGATCTTGTGGTGGACGTCCATTCTGATGTTCGTGGCCAGGGGGATAGATGCCATTATCAATCAATTTTTGCTCAAAATTGCGGCTGTACGTGCTTGTCTTGGAGCCACTAGGTCTCGACGAGGCTGAAGACCGCTTTCGACTTTGCCCTGAGGAGTAAGGGCTCATCGCCTCGGAAACAGGAAGAGGCAACTCGGAAAACTGTCCTCAAATACTGTAAGTCGCCGTGGTTCATTTCAATATAGAAGAGACTTACTCCTCGAAGGTGTGACAGATCCGGCCCGCCAACTCGAGCGAAGCTCCTGAGCTGTTGTAGTTTTTGCCCTTCTGGATAGTCAAGGGTCTGGGTTTGGGCATTTGTGAGGCACAACGGACTCTTTTCTTGCCTGCACCTACGATCGAACTCCTTCAGCGCACCCCGGGTTAATCGAATCTTGGAAAGGGTATCCCAAAAGCAGGCGCGGCGTTTATGATTCTGCGACAGCTTCTCATCAGGTGTCAATCTCTGTTTTTTGGCAATGAGCGACCGCTCAAGATCCACGGATGAGGTCGCGACACGTCGACGTTTCCTCGACGGAGGTGATTCCAGCATAAACATGATGGCGGCAAGAGAGGAGAAACTTGGGCCACGAAGAGGTGAGGGATAATGGCTGTCGCGTTGTCAGCCGGGAGCTGGAAGGACGTTGCAGGGGCTGTGGCACGCTACCATGCCTACCGCCTGGTCGGGCATTGGTTCCCAGCGTTCGTCGCGCTGAGGTTACTGAGTGTTTTCTTGCATGCCTGTGCTGTAAAAGTAGCTGACCGCTAGTATTAAGCGGCGAGTGGTTCTTGGGGTCAATGGGATGGTACTAGTAGTAGCGTCAAGACCGCGTTCCCGGTTCGTGGGGGCGGGCCGTTGTGGGGAAAAGGAAAGTACTTTTACCACTTCAAGTTCCAGTGGACTCCTGCAAGACAGGAATCAGACTATAACTCCAGCAAATGAGTTAGCCGGGAACCCAGAGAAGAAATCAGAGAGGCATCTGAGGGTATCTGTCACAAACTTGCTGCGATAATGACCGTAAGGCACACATGCTTAGCGAAGAGAAGCTACCATACGGCCTATATTGGCTTCAAAATCCGGCACCAAAGCAAGAGGTTGGTTAGACATGAAGAGCACAAACCAAGACTGTACTGTTTGATGCGACCAGACATCATGCTCCTTGCATTATCCTGGGCGACTCCTCGACAACGAGTACAAGCGCCCAGATTCAGCTCCGATCTACAAAAACGAAGCGGGAGGACACTGATGGTTCATCAATGTCGGTGTCACTTCCCACATGAGAATGCGGGAGCTTTCGAGGCTTTCTAATCTTTGTCTCGCGACGTTTGGCGTCTGGTTCCAAGTACGGACTCCTCAACAGAGCGATGCAATATCGCTTACAGACATGCGAAGCTTCTGCTTGTACTATCATCGCATAGTTCTGCGTTTCGTGTACAAAAGAACTTGTTGATGTAGGGATGATCCGATCAAGCTCAACTTGGTTCTACCTCTGCCTTGTAGCCAACACCTTGCGCTTGACCTACGGATGCTGGGTGCTTTTCACTCTGCCCTGTAGCAGGTAGGATGCCATGGGACTCTCGCTGAACCATCAAGGTGGGCTTTATCCAGAAGTTGGCACGCGTCAAGATCAACAATAGCATAAATATGCCCAAGCAATTAGGGGCATGAAGGTTCAAATTTAGAGCGGCCAACGATGTCTACCATGGAAAGGATTTGATTGCTAATAAACACTTTGCATAAGGTACATCTTATCCCTGTCGACGTTCAGGATCATCCTTTGAAAACCATCATCGACTTTTACTACAACAAACTGTAACTGTTGGAAACCGTCCTATTGAAACCGTCATATCGATAATACGCTACGCCAGGCATTCGCATCGCCCTCCCTGGCCTTTTGTGGCATCTTGACTTGCTCGATTTTAAATTTCATCAAAATTCGTACACGCGCTAGCATCGGCATCGTCGTTGTCCACCCTGGCTGGAAGATATGCATGTAGATCATGATTTGTTTTTACCCTTGTCTTTGGTGAAGAAAGACAAAGGCTTTGGTAATTTGGAGCGTGAAGCTGGAGCCGTGCGTTGACTGGCTGCAACAGCAGGCTTGGGTTGGCTCTGAACGGGAGGTGGCTCCAAATCCTGAACTTCCCAGGGCGTGACCTCTTCCTTGACGACCTTGTTTGCTCGAGGCCCAAGCCGGGTCCGAGAACTGCCTGGTCGCCTTTCGACCTCTCGTCGTTTGGAAGGGGCTATAGGACTCAAAATGCTTGGATCCGGTCTGCCATGTCGCTGATTCGTGCCCGATGATTCTGTCTCAACGGGACTAGCGTCGTGGCTGGGATGATACGCGCCTCTTCCCTCGCCGACCAAGCAGGAAGCAGCCGTCAATCTGGATGAATCTGGCTTTCTCGCAGCCGGTGGTCCTAGGACACCTGGGCCAGACGACAACAGGATGGGGGTTTCATTCGATGGACCGGAGTTTCCGGACAGACCGACGACAGCATCAATCCCTTGGGTGATTGGGGAGCGCTCTCGAGAACTGGAAATAGTTGAGTCCGCGTTCCTTTGTTCCTCCGCGGTGGAGGGGATCATCTCTGGTTGAACCCACGGCAACTCATTGAACGTTGTTTCATCATCCATAGTCGATTCGCCGTTCTTGTCACCAGCAAATCTCGCTGATGGCCCGCTCGGTCCAGAGAGGGTGACACTAGCGTCTAGTGGAAGATTTGGGATCTCCGGTAAGACCTCTGGTAAGGAAAACTTGGGTGGATTGCCGGCGGACACCGACCGCAAAGGGTCTTTCCCCGCAAGAGACCGGTCTTTGCGCTGTTGTGACGCCAGATCGCCGGAGGAATTAGCTGACAGGACGTAGAATCGATTGCGGGTGGAAGCAGTATGAGAACCACTCGAACGGCCACGGCTTCGCATGGAATCTGTCGTCGAAGATGATTGTCTGCTGGCTAGACTTCCTCGTTCACCGTCCTTCCCCTCGCGGCTGGTAGTCCGTGGGTCTGTGCTGCTGGAGGCGTCTCGTCGAGATGTTTTAGCTTTTCCTTTTTCCATTTCCTTCTCCTTCTTCTGCCGCTGTTTGACACCTTCAGGAATGCCGTCCCATTTTGAATTGACCTTAGGTACGAACTCGGGCATCTTTTCCAGTCGTACATTGGGTACTTTAGTGGGGCTAGTTGAGCCATGCTGAGCAACTATTTGTGCAGCTACCTGGTTCAGTGCCACCTGTGTTGGTTCGCGGACCTGGAAAAGCCCACCCAAAATCGAGGGCTTCTTCTTTTGCGATGGTGGAGTTGCCACGTTATTCTGGGATTCTTGTTTTGCCTGGGCCTGAGCTTGGATCTTGAGTTGGGCTGCTTCCCGTATTTGTCGAATTGTAAGTCGAGGCTTCTCTGCTTGCTCACCAGGAGAGTGTTGGAACTGTCCGGGCTCAGTCTTGACAAGAGAAGAACTCGCTGGCGTAGTCTCATTCACATTATCTATCTCGCGAAGCGGCTGTTGGGGCGCCTGACTCGTCAAAGACGAGCCTCGGTGACCTGGTGCCGACAAAGCATTTGCATCCGAGTCTGGCGGCAAAGCGCCAGTTGTAGCTTTCTGCATGGCCTAGAACCACTAGATAAATAGACAACGGAGCCGTTCAACCTGACATGGTGAGAGCAGCTAAAACGCCCAGCTCGTTGGCTGGAAAAAGTCCACACAAGGTGCAGATATGGTGGCGTTTGATGGATTGAATGTTCGCCGGATGAACTGTCAGCAAGGGTCCTGCAGGTGGTTTGCCAGACCATTCAAGACGCAATGCAAGCTGCTGTAAGCTTGTCAAAAAGAAATGCTTTGACTGGGAGAACTTTACGGCTATTATACACAGGACGGTCGAGGATGAGGAGAGAAGGGTCTCAATCGAAGCAGACGAAGGCTTAGCAGGTAAAATAGTGCTGTTCGCTTAGCGTATCTGGAGATCCGAGTCATGATCCGTGAAATCTGCGATCGCGTGGGCTCTGGCGTGGAACGTGGTAAAAGGCGGGTCTTGCCGTCAAGTCAGGTTGCGGAGAACGGCTGCCATCGCCGATGTGGAATGCGGCTGAGCTAAGGGTGAGGGAGAATGCAGCCAGCCAGCATTCTTTTGGCATGTTCCTGAATGCAAGGAGGGGGAATCGACGCCAGAAGTTTACGTTAAGCGATGGCCTTAGCCCTCGGGCTCGCCTCTGCCCCCTAGTTGTAGACGCCCGCCATATCCTGCGGGGTGTCTTGTGATGGTTGTTTTCTGTTCGTATAATCTACTAGCTGTACTTGTGCAGACACCGCCAGCCACGCCTTTCAAGCCATCCTAGTAAGATTGCGAGATATCCTACTATCCCTGGCGAGTAAATTCCCAGAGGTAGTGCAACAACGTGCACGGATACACCCAGGTAAGGGATCGCAGACGGCGCTGGAGGGCTTATCTGAGAGTCCATGTGGGCGAACATTCCCATCAGCTTCAAAGGGCGGGGCTTGTACTGCCAGTGTTGATCTCGATCCACCTGATTCCCGCCAGCAGCCAAGTAGCCGTGACCTCCGCTGTTCACTACCTATACAACATTGGACGCACAGGGGACAGGGGAGTGGAGGAGGATGTATTGGTACGAGGCAGAAGGCAAACTCCAATCCATAATTACTACACTCCTCCTACCACCAAGTCGGTGGAGGAACGTTCCTGAAATCAACACATCCAGCCATAGCTGAGCCAGACGCAGATAAGTCGGTTGTGGAGAAAAGAAGAGTCAGGCACTCGGACCTCTAAGAATCCAAATGGCAATTCGAGGACCAAGTAAGCGCGTTGCTACAGTAGGGTCTTTAGCCAGACGTAGAGAATGTGCCCCAGATGGTACCATCATGATGCAATGTTGAAAGAAACAGTATGCGAGCGCAGATGATCTCCCTGGCGCATGATATTTACCTAAGTACATGGCACCTAGGTGCTTGGGAGGACAACCGAGACACAACCAACATCGTCGACCGGAAGGCCGGGCGTAACCATGTCTGTCAGGCAATAGCTCAGAGCTGTGGCCTGGGGCAGCAAGTTGTGCCGAGCCCATGCTTAACTCTCACTTGATGGGTTCAAGGTCCATCCTGGGAGAAATGGGATCGCGTCGATGTGGGCCAAGACGAGTAACTCACGCTGTTGTGCAACCTCGCCACTGGTCTGGTCTGGCCCAGGTACCTACCGTGTTACCTAGGTAGTACCTAGGTAACACATGAGTGAGCGAGCAAAGCACAAACTGTAGCCGGGAGCGACATGCGCAGTGCAGGAAGCGAAGACAGGGTCAGCACCATAGTGGTAGTTGAAAGCAGCACCGACACTGGCATAGCAAGGCAGTTGAATAGGCTGGCCGCAGGAGGCATCATGGTGTAGAAGTCATCGCAGCCAGCAGTGCTTGGTGGCCTCGAAGCACGAGGTACTTGTCCTAACGACCGACTACTAGTGGTCGTAGCAAGACGCGAGAGGGTAGTACCAGGGGGCTTCTAGGCGATGCAAGTGCCAGTGGTTTGCTGACTTTCCGGAGCATCAAGCACAGTTGACACATGGCCCTGAGCGGCTTCTGAGCCAGCCAGCAAGAGAAGCAGTGCCAGTGGACTGTAACATGTGCCAGTGGTAAAGGCAGCACCAAGCCTGCAAGGGTCGTGCATAAACGACGTGGAGCAGGCTGGCTGTCGCCTCCCTCAGCTGCACAAGAGCTGCCGGGGGAGTCGTGGCAGGCACACATTGTCGGCGTGGGAGACCTCTTGGGTGTAACTCGTCCTAGCTACCAGGTACAGTACCAGCCAGCCTCAGGCTCTCCCAGGTTACAGTGCATCGATCACCTGCATGCAGGTGCACAGGGGCCGCTCAGCTGAGGCAGACATTTGAGCAGACAAGGCCCCTCAGAGACAATACTTAAGGTATCTACCTAGGTAGGTAGGTAAGGTTAGGTAGGTAGGTACTGCAGGCGAGAAATAACATATGGAGGGGCAGCGACGAAAATGCCAGCAATGGCTCAAGAGATTGTGTCACGTGTGAATCCATACTAGAGAGAGTACGCACGTGACCATAAGAAAAGATCCCAGTCTGACAACTCAATTATTTTTGTTTTGGTGGGGAATTTTTGCATCCTACATAGCATCTGCCGAGCTTTTAGTCTGACGCCGAGAATTCTCGGCGCTGAGTAATATGGCCCATGAATGGCTCTGTGCACAACGCTAGAGAATTTGCGCACTGGTGTGCTGTGGGAAGTCAGATGGTTGGCCAGTGATGGACTACTAAAACATGGAGCCCATCAGTGGCCCCACACCGCAGGGCAGGGAGGTGATGCAATAATTATCAGCCAGCCAGCCAGCCACACACTGCAGGCAACACTCACTGCACGCCACAGCACATGTCCCTGTCTGCCCTCAACACCCATGCAATCAACAAGAGTGACAAGCAGTCAACAACTTGAAGCACCGCAGTAGGCAACAAGCAGCAGTCAGATTCAAGGCATTGTTCTTGCCATTGTGAACGTTATCTTCCCAGCACCGGAGGTGTGAAGGTGGCATCAATACGAGTCTACCGCCAGCACCAGCCAGCACTTCAGTGCCCTGGAGGTGCATGCCCGGTTCAGGGGGGCGACAACCGTGGCAGAGTTACAGACCCGGCATCTTGCATGCAACCCTGAGAGACCACTGCAATCGCACAAGAGAGTCGTGGGAAGGGTAGCACGTTGCAAGCACTCTCCCGTTGATGCACGCCGAGCCGTACCCAGGACATGCACCGGAGCAGCCTGCTTCTATTCGCTTGAAATTGATCATGCCTGAGCATGGCAATGACCAGCGGCAGAGCAGCAATGCCGGTGCAAACCCAGAGCATGCTCATCAACGAGCACTTGAGTCCAGTGGCAGCCCCCAACGGCCTTCTTACTCGCCGGTAACCCCCACGCTATCTCACACAAGCCTTCAGCATGACGATGATCAAGTTAAACTGCCACCGCCGGAGTTCATGGAAGAGCCAGATCCCTTGCCAGTTGATCTTGATGATAATCCGGACGCCATGGCTCTGAGAGCAACGTTGTCCGTCTTGCAACTCCAGCGCCAACAAGCCTTGCGTGATATGCGAGAACTCGACCGAATGAAGCGAGCGGCGATGGAAGATCCTGAGCACTTTGTGAGAGATCTCCGAGAGGGCAAATTGTCCGCTTCTGCCCGGCAGGGTGTTGAGGTCGACGATATGGAGGGGCCGACGGACGGCTCAGCGGCTGCCGCTGGCTCCAACTTTGGCAGATTCCCAAGCCCACAGAACGTGATGCGCTGTCCGCCCGTCGAGTGGGCGAAGTATCACATCGTTGGCGAGGCGTTGGATCGGGTGCATGAAGTGCAACAACATTACCCAGGGTACAGCGAAGATATGGGAGCACGTAACGAGCGGCTGCAGCCACATACATCCGCTGCTCCGTACCGCCCGTTTTTGGATCGCCTGGATAGCGCCAAGGGAGATTCGAAACCACGAACTACTGGATCATAATCTCAATCACATGTCTCTACTGGGGCTGCTAATTGATGCTTTGAGTACCTAGGTTAAGGCCATGGCTCTGGGCAACTCGGCTGGAAACAAGCCCAGGGACCGTCATGGGACAGCTCCCAGCACTCTGCAGGTATGAGCTTCTCCTCGCCTCCACCAGGTACTTGTGCCACGGTCGTACACTTGCTGCAATACGAGGCCCAAACTTCTCGCTCTGCAGCTCTGATGCCTTCGCGGAAGATCCCAGCACTAGGCGAGAGCATAACGGCGTGCCAGCTGCTTGAACTTCTTGTGAGCTTCCTTGTGGCTGGCCAGCTCGAGCTTGTCGGCCAACACACAAAGAGCACAGCGCGGTCCTTTTCTCATTGCCTTCTCGGTCATCAGGCCTTGATCCACAATATGAGTACTTCCTCCCCAGTTCCCATTGTTGGTATCGTCCTCCAGGTTGATGTACTGAATGCAGCGGTAGCAGAGTTGATATTTAGCCGGGACCCAAGATCGCAGACGGACCAGAACTTGCAAACGGTGGGACTTGGTGGTACGTTGTGGCTTCGGGAACAGGAACGTCTTGCCGTCCGCCAGTTTGATGCTTTTGGTGGCCTCGAACATAATCGCAGTCTCTTTACAAGTGAGCGCAAGCGCCAGGCGATCCGCCACAGTGGGAAGGAGTTTCCAGATGCGATGCTGGAGTTCGGAAGGGAGCTTGAAGAAACCGTTGGTTTGGGCGGCCTGCTTAGCTTTAATGACCTAAAACGATGTCTCAGTGCTTGGAAACCTTCAAGTGACTCGGCAGAACTCACAGCTTGACTGATGAACGGCTCTTTGAGGCGGTAGCGGACTCTCTTGACGACTCTGTTTGCCCGGTTGACAGTGGCCACTGCCATCTCCAACTTCTTGAGCTCACGGTCCATTTCTCTTTCGCTCTCAAGGATTCTTTTGAACTGGGTCAGATATATGCCGGTGAAAGAAGTCAGGTCACTCACGAATTCAGGCTGGGAAGATCCATGCTGTCTGAGTGACAATGAGCCTGAAGTGAGTTCAAGAGGGAGCAACCACGTGATGACAGGACTCACGCTAATGGTGTCTATCAATCCCTGGAATCTGCTGAGTTGTTGGTGATGACCAACTGGGATGATGTTGAAGAACGAAGAAGGATGAAAGAATTCTCACTCCGTGAAAGCTGAATAAAAGAAACAGGCCGCGGAACCCATAACCTTTAGCCAAACTTTAGGGCAGGCGCTGAATCCAACCAAATGCTCCCACGCTTTTCACTAACGCTGAAATGTCTTGTGAAACTTGACGTCGTCGATGCTGTTGTGTTAGAACGCTGGGGGAGGAGAGGGAACCAAGGCTGGCATGTCCATCGACGCACAAGCGCATGTGGACTACTTACAACAGACAGTACGAGTTGCTGCCTGTGCTTCAGTTGAAGACCTTGTTAACTCTCATTCAGCCTCCATCCCCGGGCTGTACGCTCTGGCTTTGAATACAGCACGGGAAGATACCCCTTTCAAGGAGTCTGATTCTCAGCCTTCCTTACATAATTGAGTGGACAAGGCTGTCCTGGACGATCACGCATGTTGGAGTCTGGGGCCATTACGTCACTGGGTTGATGAGAAATGGGCGTGTTGTGAATGCTAGGGCACCCAGAAAAATGGATGACCACATTAATCAAGTCACAAAATATAGATAGATACAGCAGTGAGTTGCTTAAACTTTCCGCTGCTATCTCTGTCACCGAAGAATTCTCAGTTCAGCTAGGGGCAGAAGAAGGCTTTACTTGGATAACACTCCGGAGCCTACCTACGATCTTGTTCTTCCACTCCTGCAGTGATTACCAACTCACTGCCGATACTGTTATCGAACCCGGAGACTATAGCTATTTATTCCTGGGTGAACATCTGAAAGATCCCTGCTCTGTAAAACGTTCAAACCCAAGTGCTCCCTTCTGCAGAGACGAATATGTCGGCACTCGATCCAAACGCACCCTCACAGCCAACCGAGCAGGCTTCGGTCAACCAGGCTGGCAACCCTGCTTCAAAGACCTCCGCCGAGCAAACTGCGTCCCACGAAACCCCGAACGCTTCCGACAAAGTCATTGACCGCCGCACCCCCCATGATGTGCCCTCTCAACATGGCGAAGCTGCACACCCAGGCGCTCGAGGATCTGGAGCCCGCGGGCCACTGACAGAGAAACTGATTCCAGAATCAGATGCGCAAAACTACGCAAAAGGTGACAGCAACCTCGAGGGTGAGCAGATGAGGATGCCAGGGGAGGGCGATGTGGCGCGAGCTGTACGAACAGGTGGCGGAGGCGGGCACGGCGAACAAGACTCCCTGACTGAGAATGTTGGCAAGAAAGAAGCCGATCATGCGCGCGAGCTCCACAAGCGAGGGGAACGGACCGGTAAAGAGATTGAAGAAGAGGAGAAAGAAGACTGGACCGGCAGGAAGGCAGACATCGCAAGTGCCCTGGGTGACGGGAGGGACGGGTCACCGAAGGTTGTTCTCGCACCCGAGGAATAGGCGGTTTACCTTCTGTCCGCTCCACTGAAGGAATGTTTCTGCGAATGTCCGCTTCAAGGAGATACCCAAGGAGTAAAATGGGAGTGAATGTGGCAAGGAAGTCGAGGATTTCATGGTATCACGAATGTCAACATCAAACGGCCATAGACCGACATCAACTGATGGTGATGATTTCAACACGACCGAGGTAGTACCAATCTTCCTAACAATATCTTCCACATTCTCCTTATTTGTGTTCGATGTTACTACTTCCTCTCAGGCACTACAAGCCCCTTCTTTGGGCCACTTTTGTTCTCACCACCAGCAAATAAGTTCTTTTCCGTTGCAAAGTCGAGTGCTCGCCCGCCAGGCATCTCATCGAGGTGTGCTTCTACTGTTCCCTACTGGTATCGCAGCTTCGGCCTTCTGCTGAGGCAGTCACACAGAATTCACTGCTCCTCATCTCGAGTAAAGTCATGTGCGAACAACACTAAGCAAGCCACATCTGCATGCTATGCGCTCCGGCTATCTTCGAATGAACAAAGAAACAACACCAAGGGAGACCCTTCATTGAAACCTTTCTGCCGTGAAGATGGACCCTTTGTTCCCCGCCGAACGCGGGTGACAAACAACAATGGACATCACTCCCACCGAGGAGAGGCATTGAGTGATGACAAGACAAAGGGAAACCACCAAGATCACTTGATCCTCCGCCGGCAGTTGATCGACTCGAATTGCCTGGTCACTAAGGGTGGAAGTGTGCAGAGCTATTTCATCACTTTTTTCTCGACTCGGTGGTTCTATGTTCATTTGCAATGCATGGTTTCAATCTGTCTCGCTGCCTTGATACTGAAACAAAACATGAAAGCGACTCCGTGATACTGATACTCGACTAACGTCCCAGGTTGTGCTACGTGAGGGCTCCGATTTGAAACCACAAACAGGAACCAATCGAAGGCAAGGTCGTAGCAGTCATACTTTGGTACGGTCCACGCATATATACAGACGCACAGCACACATGTGCCACTACTACAAGACATATATATATCAGGTCTGCGGGCACGTCAGCGAGTCGATCACGCCAATTGCGAAACGAGTCCGGTGTCCTCGAAAGGGAAAAGAATCGCAATCCAGATCTACACTCACCAACGACCCTGTGGGCTTGTCCTCCTTGCAACATCCAACCTTGACAAACGAACCAGTGGATGGCGACGAGACGTGCAATACTAGCAATCATTGCAGTGGGAGCATCGTTAGGAATGCAACGGTGCCGCCACGACCACCACCGGCAGAGACAGAGGCAGAGACAGCAAGAGAGACAGAAACGGCAGGGAGAGCGAGAGATGCAGAGGCAGCAGAGACGGAGCCAGCACCCGCGGCTCCGTGCACTCAGCGCCTAAGGCACCCCTTACATACCATCAACATCAACGACCTGTGTCCGGAATGCCAGAATTCTCGGGCCGCGCGGATTGAGTTGGTTGAGATCCACCACCACGCAACCAGCAAGGACACCGTGCACCGGATCTCTACGCGGGCGAGTGAGCGCAACTCCAGAAGTTTCGAACACGGAAGACGTATCTATCAAGGCTCGCGTGCGTTGCCTATGATGTTGGAATGTGGTAATGTCAACAACAACGATAGTGATGTCAGGAACTGTGACGATGTTGATTCCAAAGGGCTGCAACCGAGCATACATGAACAACATCAACATCAGCCACATGACAAAACGAAAACGGTCGAAACGTCAAGCCTGCACAACTGGTTCAGAGACTCGACGTCTAGTATATCTTCTAATTTCCTGGGCGCCAGCAGCAACGTCTCGGGCTCGCCGGGTTCACGGGCTTCGATAACGACAATAGCGACGAGAACTTCGGTTACTGGGGAATCTAGCGCACACGCTCAAGGTGACCGGCGCAGGAGCTCGAACCAGTCGTCTTCACCGGTGGTGGCACCGACTAGACTGTCGTTTGCGGCGTTCGCTACTGGGGATTCACACGGCACAGGTATTTGAGGTTGGCAGGCTGTTACTCGTGAACATACCTACATGTTTCCAGAGGTACATAGATACGGCAGTATGACCATGACTTATCGATGTCTTGAACGCTATGCATAGAATATTAAACATAACTTAACATTATCCTTGAGGGTGTCGTGTGAGTCGATCGGATCGACAGGGATAAAGATTGAGCTGAAAGCATGGAACACTCGACTAGTAGCGTGTGAGAATAAAAAGGGTTTGCTATTCAATGTCTATAATGTGAGGGGTATCATATTCGTCTATGCAGTAAAGGGATGAAATGCTTTTCTCTTTTGCTGTGGTTGCTTCAAGCCCCCATCATCCATTCCAACCTATCTTGTTCCTAAAAAAGGGGGGAACCACAGCAGAGGTGAAATCCTGTGGGAGGGTCGCGAACCCGGCTTCTCATTCGGTTCGTACCATTTATGTTGTTTCAGATCCTGGCAGCCGCGATATACTCACGATCGATGAATTCTGTGCCACTGTCCTCGTCGGTCCGCCTTCTCTCCAGCACCCAGCGACCATCAGTGTCTCGAGCGTAACTGACGCTCTCAGCACCACTACTGGTCCGGCTGTGGTGTCCCTTTCTCCTGTCCGCGCCAGCAAATGGTGCTGGCGACGAAGGCATTTTCTCTTGCGACGTAAAGGCAACTGGCACGGTCGGTTTCTTCCGCGGCGTGTTCTGAGTCAACGTCGCCCTTCCTCCTTCATCGTCATCTTCTTCTTCCGACTCCGGGATCCCGACTGGCGACGACCGGTCTTGCATCATGGACGAGGACATTCGACCCGAGCCAAGATCCGTCGGGTACGCGAACGGGTGACTGGACACATGAGCAAGTGGGGAAGTGGCAGGATGTCCGCTTCCCAAGCTGTTCACGCTGGAGGAACTACCCCCGAATGCTCTGCCACGAAGTTTCATTAGAGCGCTAAAGCTCATGTCGTCGTCGTACGCAGGAGAATCGAGTTCCAGAAGCTGCGCAATCCCCGGACTTGGCAGGGATTGTGCTGACCCAGGAACTCCGCCCGGGAGTTGTAGCGATACTACCGAGTTCCTGGTACTCCATTCGCTTCGCTCGGTGATGGGCGTCAAACTTGGTTCCTGAAAGTTGGCTTTGCCACTATGGCTCCGCTTGATACCACTGGAGCCGCGTTCAGCGAAATAGCCGCCATTGACCATCTCCGCCGTTCCCTTGCCAAGTGCGCGGCCGTAAAACCCAAATTCCTGTCCGTAAAAGCCATCGTCGTCATTGGCCAAGACCTCGGCATTAGCCTCGGCGATCATGGGGTCGTCGTCGAGGTCGTCGTCAAAGGGAAAGCCATCGTCCTCTGCAATAGCTGAACTGAAATTGTTGCTAAAGCGGCTCTCGTCCGAGATCACGCCTTGCTGGCTGGCCCCAAGTCCGGAGACTGAGGACTCATCTGATGTCTGGCTGAAACTGACTTTGCGATCAAATTTGCCATTTGCAGCTGCTTCGTTTGCGGCTAAAGCCAAAGCATCGTGATACGCGGCGAGATTGGTTTCGGTCAAGCCGGCGACGTGGCCCTGCTGATTGTGAGAAACTTGGCTCGCCGGCCGAAGATCGGCAGAAGCTTGGGTATCCTGCCCAAACCCGTGCTCTTCAACGGCATCAGGTCCGCCAACCCAGGTGGAGAGCGGCTTGACTTCACCATTAATGCCGGCCAACTTCTGGGCGAGTTCGAATTTGCGAGCATTCTCGGCGGGGATATCCCGGATTTCTCCTTGGCCATCGTCAAAGATCTGTTCGTCGACGGTCTCCCCGGGTGGTAAGGCTTCCACATCGCCGAATTCTCCATCATCGAAGTACAAGTCTTCGTCGTCAAACACCTGACCCTGCGGACGAGAGGTAAGCTGCGACCGCCGCCGTCCCCGCGTTTCTGACGTTGTAATACCAAGGCCATCAAACATGGAAACCATTCCATGGTCGATGGGCAGGTCCTTTGGTCCAAGCTCGCGCTGATCTTCTGGGTTGAGTCCTCTGGCATCAGCTATCCCGATGGGGAATCCTTCTTGATCTCGCGGAGTAGGCTGAGAGGCGTTGTTCGTGGAAGCAGGACTGAAACACATCGATTGTGGTGTGAAATGGAAATCTTGTAATGACGGCCTCTTCACTGTCGTAGAATCCACCGCCGCATTCGCCATATCCTCATGCTCGGTGCTTTGAGCAGCATATCGGGCTTCTAAAGCGTTACCGGCGGGGACATCAGAGAATTCATAGTCTTCAAAGTCGGCGTTGACGCCAGGGATCTTCTCCTCCAGACCGTCATCGTCATCAAAATCGAAGTTCGCAAAGTCGTCTTCATCGTCTTCCGCATTCGGCACGGACAACTTCTTCGTTGCCTGGTGTTGTTTATGCTTTTCCTCAAGCAGCTTTTCTTGCGCCAAAGAGTCCGCGCCACCGATCTGAAAGCTGAAGCGTGAGGATGTACTGGTCATATGCTTGGGAAGTGTTGCTGGAGGCGGCGCGTCGAATTTCGGTGACGGTGTTCTTTTAGGAGGCGGTGTCGGCGGAGCAGGGGAGGGTTCCGCCGGAGGTATAGGCAGATCCTTCGTACCAGCCGTCTCGGTTGTAGAATTCGCGCCTGGTTGAGGAACTGTTGAAGGTAGTCTTTTTGCAAACGCGGGAACATTCTCCGCGTCCTCAGGACTTTGCGAGGCACCGAGAGTACTGATGTTATGTAAATATCCCGTCCGATCCGGTTGCAACGATGGCCTGTCGTCCTGGAAGTGTTCTTTGAACATAGGACTGTGCGGTACATTTGGTGTCCCAACAGAAGCCACTCGCTGATGCGTGGCGTCGCCAGCCCGACCGGGATCAGGACTGTAGGCAGAGCGCAAAGCAGGAGAGTCCGTGTAGTTGATGTCATTGTGAGAATACAGTCTCCGCGTTCGCGGAGCCGAGAAGTCATGGACAACCTTGCCTCGAATACTGGGGTCGAAGTTGTCAGGCAGAGCGGGTACGGACAGGGTCTTTATGCTCAGATTGACATCTTCAAGCTTCTGGTTTTGTGACGCCCTTCGTCGAGCCAACAGGCTCATGGGATTGAGGAGATTTAACCTGCTCTTTTTGCCTCCATGGCCCTTTGAAGGCACGGAATCCTCGTGTGCGGCACGATCGAAACTATGGGTACGAAAAGTTGGCGATAAGGGATTGTCGCCCGGCTTTATGGAGGGATCCAACGATTTTCTCTGGTAGTATTCCGGAGGGCTCGTCATGTAGGATACCGGCGGAGGTCTGGGGGAGGTAGATTCGGACGCATCTGCTGGAAGCCTTGTGCGATTTGCTGCGTGGTTATGATCGGCGGCATCACTCGTGGCCGGGCGTCCAGATCCATTAGAAGTGAAGAATTTCGGTCGGCCCGTCTCGTCAGAGGTTCGCTGAAAGGATCTATTGTCGTAACCGAAAGTCTGTGTTGTAGGAGGTGCGGAAGGCAGGGCAGCAAAGCGATCGTAAGAGGGTGAGCTCAGAGGGAGCCCGTGCAATGGACTGTCCGAGTCATCTGTGCGCGGCGTAACTTCAGATGGACTCGACCCATCGCTGGGCTTATTGGGACGGTCGAAGAAGCGCCTGGAAAAGGACGGTGAGGTGGGAGACACATGATCGGACCTTCGTCTGTGCCTCTGTAGGGGCTGGTATTGTATCTTGCTGTTGCTCATTTTGGCGGACAAGCGCAGGAGGATGAAGAGGAGTGTACATGGGCGACAGTTCCCTGACGGCTATTGCGCATCAGGCCTTGAGATATGCTGGACACCGACACATCATTGTGAGGAATAGGTATCTTAGTCCTGTCGCCAATCCGACGTTGTACGGAATGGGTCAACGTCGAATTCGTGCTGTCGTCCCAGGAATATCCCGGAACCAAGCGATCCCACTGGCTCCCGCTACGAAACGGGAACGATCATGCACAAACCCGGCGTGTCTGGTCGAGTACAAGTCGAAGGTGATTTTGGAAACGTATGATATTGTCAAGCTGCTTGCGATGTTCAAATGATTGAGATAAGTGTCAAAAACGCAATGTGATGATGATGTCTCGTTAGTATGGGGAACGTCTCAGCATGCGAGACCGAAACCTGAAGAATGACCAGCCAATAACGAGGGGGAAGCTCACATGTGCCGCAGCTGTCAAACCGTCTCGTGCTGGGGGCGCCATCAACAGTTGGCGGCGTAGATCTACAGCCATTGACAAGAGGCGCCTGATTTCGCTGCTGTACATTGTACGTTGGCCTTTAGGGCGCCCCTCTGGCTTCGCCGTCTGAGAAAGAGGGCTAAGGAGCCAGATTCAGCCCGTTTCGGCTGGTTGCCGCCCCTAAGGCCTCTTAAAGCCGGAACCTCCCACTCGCAGGAGACGCCTATAACGAAGCCGGCTAGCTGGGCCTCAAACACTACTGCGTGGGCAAGGCTACTTCGAGCTCCAGCTTTGTTTACAGTATCTGCAATAATAACGAGGGCGCAGTGAGTTGCTGATGCACAGTACAACAACCTGGAATCCAGGAGAGAAGCTCTGAGAGCCGCCGGTAAAGTGGTATGGTGACTTCTCAGCACATCTTTGTTCCTGGGCTGCCATCTACTCCCAGCTACTCCGGGAGGCTCCAGATGGCCAAAAGTATGAACAGCGACCTCTGTCTGCCACGGAACCAAACCGTAGGCCAAGTGCAAACCAGCAAACGAAGGGCCTCCGGATTGGAAGCACCGGTGTTGAGTCACACTGTTTACGCGTCAGGTCCCACGACTGCTCAGAACCATACGATGGTACCTAGGTAGAAAAGAATGGGCGCTGTCATCTTCCACGAAACCAGGCATGCAGCAACTCGCAGCGGGCTGCGCGTCCGGCCAAACAGCCGGGGAACAAGAGCGGTGGCTCAACCATCCCACAAAACAGTGGCAGCGTGCAAAGTTAGATAGAGGCTATGTATTCCTCATAGGATTTCGACAGGTTTCCAGTTTCAGAATTCCAATGGTGCTCCGGCTATTTTGCGCCAGGCTGAGCAATGTACAGTCTGTTCATCTATCCGTGGTCCACTGCAGTCTGGACTTAGCGGGTGTCGCGTGCCTTATTCTTCCGGCTATGGCATATTATTAGGCCATTCGGACAATGCGAACGGACCGATCAGGGTCAGCAGCAAGGCGACGAGGACGAAGGATGACAGTAGCGCTAGCAGTCTTCTATATCTGTCCAAACCTTCCAGAAGAGCAACAAACTGTGCTCAGCCTGATATCGTAGTGACGAGGGCAAGATCATCTTTTTCTTTGTGACATTTTCTGGGCCGCGGCATACGTCCAAACGGTTGTTCTCATTTTCGTGGTGTTCCATCGAATCCCGCGCCCAAGATCTGGGCTGGTCCTCATTTTCTGCGCCATTCCCCGCACGTCTATTTTCAATCACCATCGGGAGAAACCGCGTCACGAGCCCGGACGCCGGATCGTCCTTGATAGCATTTTCGGACTGGAAGGCGACGACGACGAAGACTGTATAACAAACTATTATTACCTTGTACCTAGTACCGAGTACCTATCTACATACTCTGGTCACTCATATACATACCTAGACAGAGTGCCCCTGTCCTAAGGTTACAGCATTGGATGCATCCGATCCATCAGTCAGTCCACCGTTGCCGCCGTCATGAATTGTCCTTCACGACCAGACAATGTCGAGGGTCATCTCGACTGGAACCAGAATCCACACGCCTTGAGCTCAGATTTGACGACGAGGGCCGACCTTAATGGGATCGTCAACCTACGCGAACAACGACAGAATGAATCAGATCTCCGCGACGGCGACGAATATGAGTCAATACGAAACATCCCGGTCAACGAACCGGAGCCTGGTTTGGAGGCCAAAGACGCCTCCGCTGTCAAGGTTGATCCGATCATGAATACGGGAACGAGCGATCACTGCTCTCCCGCTGACCATACGGCCTTTCAACAACCCGCCGCTTCGCGCGGTTTGAAGCGATACAAGTCTCCGTCAGCGATCATGAACAAAGTCCTCGTCACGCTACAGAAGTATGCACGCTTCGTGGGCCCAGGATTCCTCGTTGCCGTTGCCTACATCGATCCGGGAAACTATGCCACCGACGTCCAAGCCGGGGCTGAGACCCGTTATCGTCATCTGTTCATCATCCTGATGTCCAACCTGTTTGCTATATTCCTACAGTCCCTATGTATCAAACTGGGGAGTGTCACGGGATTGAACCTGGCAGAAAACTGTCGCAAGCATTTGCCCAGATGGCTGACCATCATCTTGTATCTCTTTGCGGAAGCAGCCATTATCGCCACTGATATAGCCGAAGTCATTGGCTCGGCCATTGCGCTGAACCTCCTCTTGCACATCCCCCTCGTCGCGGGCTGTGCCATCACCCTGGTGGACGTCTTATTGCTTCTACTCCTATACCGGACGGATGGCTCCATGACACGAATCCGCCTGTTTGAATACTTTGTCATGGGCCTGGTGCTTGGAGTCATGGTGTGCTTCTGTGTTCAGTTGTCTTTCATCAAAGATACCTCTGCCGGCGAGGTTTTCAAAGGCTACCTTCCATCCTCCGCCATTGTCGAGGACAATGGAATCTATCTGTCCTGCGGTATCATCGGCGCCACGGTCATGCCTCATTCCATCTTCCTGGGTTCGGGAGTGGTGCAGCCACGTTTGAAGCATTTCGATGAACAGAACGGCCACGTCAATCTTACCGACGAACCCGGCACCGAGGAGAAGTATGTGCCGTCCATCTACGCAATTCGGGAGTGTCTCAAGTACTCGATTGTGGAGCTTGCTCTATCTCTTTTCTCGTTTGCCCTTTTCGTCAACTCAGCCATCCTCATTGTATCTGGCTCGGCTTTATATCCACAGACAGAAGCCACAGAAGCCGATCTGTTCGGCATCCATGATTTACTCAGTAAGAACCTCTCCAAGGCAGCAGGGACCATCTTTGCGCTTGCTCTTTTGCTCTCGGGAATATCGGCAGGGATTGTCTGCACCATGGCTGGCCAGATGGTGTCTGAAGGCATGCTTCACTGGACCGTGAAGCCCTGGATGCGGCGACTGATAACGCGGTCCATCAGCATCATTCCCAGTGTCATCATTGCGGCTGCCGTGGGTAAGGATGGCTTGAACAAGGCTCTCACTGCAAGTCAAGTGGTCCTCAGCGTCATCTTGCCGTTTATCACGGCACCATTGGTCTGGTTTACGTGCCGGAGCCACATAATGACGGTACGGGACGACCATGCCGGCCCAGGTAATCAGCCAGTCAATATGCGCAATGGTTGGCTGACGACGGCGCTTGCTGTGATGATCTGGCTCGTACTGGTTGTCATGAATGTTGCATTGCTGGTGTTGGTAGGCCTCGGAAAAGCCTAGAACGGGATTCGCACTCCCAAGGGGAGTAAAAGCAAGATATCTGACTACGAGGTTGTGAAATTGGGCGGCATTGGCGTTTAATCAGCTGTAGGCGAGTTTGATATATCGTCGGCGCGAGCCAACTTCTTCTTCGCGTCTTCCCTCAACTTGTCGGCTTCGCTTTTGGTAGCATCGGGCAACTGGCCAAGTCTACCCAGCTTGTCGAAGAACCATGCGCGGAGCTGTTTGTGAAATAGACGAGTTAGTCGGCCCAAGCAACGTTGATCATACGCAAAGAAGAGGATCCATATATGTTGGAACCAGAACTTACCCCATCAAATGGTGTACCCATGCCGTCACTCGGCTCACAGATGAAGATAAAATATATCAATGTCAACGTGATCAGAGTCTGCTGTAGAATCTTGATGCTCTTGTTCCATGTCGGTCTTGCCCACTTCAGCGCGGCTCGACGCCGGTATGTCTTCTCCAGATGGAACTGATGCTTCGGGTCGAGCGTGCGGAAATCTGGCGGCCACTGCTTGCGCGCCCGGTACGGATTGTTGTTGACATGAATTGGCGCCGGTTTGAAGGTAGGTGTCGGACGCCAGCCAAACATCCATTTTACCCAGGTCCATGGTGTTAACCGTGTCCCGGGGATCTCGCTTATGGGGGACCTCTGGGCTTCAGGGTATGCGTAGCGAGGGCGGCTGGCAGGAAGGGTGTTATTGTTGCCTTCAAGGCTGGGGCTTGAAGACGCTGGCGGAGCGGACGAAGACGAGGCTGAGTAGGAAGGTTTGGCCACCGGCTGGGTGAAATTCGCGGGTGAGTATGGCGACGCTGCGCTGGCGCTGTCCGACGAAGAATAACGAATTGAATGGAGTGGCATTGGAGTGTGGCGTATGCGGCGAGATGTATGCATACCTCCACGGCAATACTGCATGAAGAGCACGGCCCGAGAGGCTCTTGAGGGGTTATAGGTAGACATCGAAGGCATAGAAGGATTCCAGTGGTGTTAGTCAGTGCCGCGTATGTTGAAGTTCACTTTCCAAGTCGTTGTTCCGATCAAGCTGCAATTCACTTTTGCGGAAGATTCGGAAAATCGTTCATCCGAGTGCGGGTTGCCCGCGGAGGCTGTTTGTCAAGAAATTGATTGGCTGCTGACCGCGACATTGGCTTATGGACAATACGCAACAGCCTGGAGTCGAACCACGGCCGTTTCATTGCGGCCTTGACTTGGAGCCTACCTAGGTACTTGTGCGAAATAACAGCTTACAGGATCTCACACGCAAAGACTTCTCAATACGTGAGTGGCCGATTTAGAAATGTTGGCTGTCGCCATTCGGAACTGCTGCTTGACCAGGCCGATGGTAAGAACGATGACAGACTTGCTTGAAAAGGTAAAGCATCAATGAATCGAGCTTGCGTAAATTTGGTCGAAAGGCGAGGTGATATTGGCTGTTTTCGAGGTTGCGCCTGTCTAGTTATCGAGGCTTCAATGGCGGAACTCGTTCGACAACGCCTAGGAGCTGTGACCATATTGGCAACAAATGTTCCCTCCGACTTTCCCGCCACGGTGATTACAAACATGCCAGGCAACCCTTTCAGATCGGTGCTGGAGGCGGGGTATAAGAGGAGCCCAAGGAATCAACCGACCTCAGCTGCTGTCAGTTTCCGACAATACCATGTCGAGTTTGCGCAAGAACTGCTTTGGTAATCGAGACAAAGATTCCTGGCCGTTATCTGAGGCCGCCAACTTGAGCTGGAACAGAGATAGCCTGGCTTGAGCTAAGGAGGAAAGATACGGCCCCAACGAACTTCCCTGGGTGCAAGCTGTGTCCCGTGGACAGCAAGTTCGCCTCCAGGCAGCCCAATGCCTTTCGATGAGGGGCTGCTTCACTTGTGCTAGTGTGGGATGAGACATTAGACGCCTGCATAGGTGCATTCTGCCTGCATCGTTGACTGGAACCCCAGGGTATGTGGTTCCGTTGTGCCATGAGCAAAAGGAAGTCCCAGTCTAGCTAGCACTTGCAAAATTGTTGGCACTAACGCAGTGCCAGCGCCGGGTGCAGGGACGAGGGTATAACCATGATAGATGGCCGGTAGCCAGCGGATAGGGAGTAAGTCTCCTTGATGGCCATTTTCAACCAATGATGCCGGGCTCGAGCCAACAAGTTTCTTTGTTCTATTTGCCAATGTGCAGAAGATACGAACGGCCCTGTGGACCAGCGATGCTGGCAGATCTCAGTCCTCCCAGCGGCTGCGTTGCCGCTCGACTAAATTCGCTCGAACTTAGTCTTGTCGTTCCGTCCAAGTCTATTCTGCTCTTCTAGACCATACGGGGACGAAAAGTGACAGCTTTCATGTTGGCATGGCAGTAAATCCAGGCTCGACCGACAATTCTCTCCTTTATCTACTACCAGGTACGTATGATAGTACTTGTCTGTCAGGCTGGACTTGTCAAAACTATCCCAACCTGCAGGCTTGCATGTTGCCGGCCCCTTCTACAGGGGTCAGTGAGATAATGCTGCGGGGATTCGGGACTTAGTCTGACCACGCGCGAACTGACCAATATGAACCCGGACTTGAGAACAGTACTTCCACTGGGCTTCATGGCCAAGTCTCATGCTGTGACCAACTGCAGAAATTCCGGACAAGCGATTCCATCCAGGACGAGTGACCAGCGCATCAATCTGACCAATTATGCTATGCTGCCACGAGGCGCATGTTGGGCACCTTCACGCCCCGGAAGTGCCAATCGCCCTATCCGTCGAGTGAGGTGGCGCTCAGTATCCGGACGATGATTGCTTCTACCAAGTCATGAACCATCCTCTGACTCCTTGATGATAGGATACCACAAGTGTGGCTTGCTTTGCGGTGAGCGAGGATCAACTGCTGCAGCATATAACAGCTCCTGAGTACGCCAAAGACTCTCCTTCAGAAGCCTCTCCACACTCGATCTCCCACTCTACCGCCCAGGATGAACACTTTCAAGATCCACCATGGCCGACTCGAGAATCTTGACGATATCACAGGCTACCGCAGCTATACACATGATATTCTACCACATCAAGAATCCTCAATCAACCCTGGTGTGCGAGATGCTAAGTATGTGCCTCTGCCACCTCTCCCAGTGAAGCCGCAAATGAACAAACGCGAGCTTCGTCCAAGGCCGCGCATGAGTTTGCCGGCTCCTCCGCAAAGCCAGGGCTCCCGTGGGGAACCCAGCAAGCGCGTGCTTCGTCCCAGGGGTCGCACCAGCTTGCCGGTTACATCTCAAGATCAGCGCTCTCGCTTGGATCTCAGCAAGCTACCAAAAGATGCTGGCTCGAACAGCCTTGGTTTAAGAGCTCACAAGGACTGGCTTCCGTTTTTATTGCCCGATGAGGATCGGCATATCAGCATGGAGACCATCGCCCAGGAGACCCGACGCTTGGAAGCCTCCTGCCGTCGATTCAATAAAGAAAAAAATCAGGCCTTGAAGACGACCACCAGCTGGGTCTGGGACAAAGAAATACCTTCAGCAGCAGCGAGAATGTCCGAAGCGATGCCCGGCGTCGCAATCTGGCACGTTGGCGATCCCTCAGAGGGCATACAGCAGTCGGATAATGCGAAAGGCAAACAACGAGCCTCTGACTACGATCCAACGACTCCTACCCAGCGCAGTGTTGGACGATGCGGAGAATCCTACACTCATCCTAACACTAGCATGCAAGAGAGAGCGGCACAACCTGACCCCCTGCCCAGTTTTGAGAGCTTCGTACAGCAGACATTTGCTGGAATGGAGCCACCGAAAGACCAAGGTCTGTTGGGGCCGGCGATGCCTGATGGGACACAGGCTTCCTATGACCGTGCTTATGCAAGAGTGTTTCCCGGCCCGCTGAAGAGTCGAGAGGAAATGCAAGCAATCATCGCAAAAAGACATCGGGAGTTGTGACTGAACGTGCAAGGCCGATGCTGGCGAACAAACAGAAGGGTATTGTGGTCAGTATCTCTCGAAGGCATCCTTCATTTCTTTCGGTATCTCTTATGTAAGCAGGCAAATATTTTGTGAAGTATTCTATCAACCCCTAGAGTTTTTGAGCGATAGTTTGCCCCTTCCAGCACCCAGCCGACAATGGCAGCCGCGGGTCGTCTGAACTCAGCCCATTGCCTATGAAAGCCATTCCAGCCCAAGCCAGGCCATCAAGCAGCAGCGTAGAACCGCCCTGCGACATTGATTGAATGCGCTTCAACCTGCCGAGTCTCCTGCTATAGACAATGGCAGGTACCTGGTATGAACTCGATCCAAGTCAGGCATCAAGCCTCAATGAGCCAGATCGGACTTTGACAATGGGGTAGGCAGTTGTGTTACACTCGGGTACTGGGCTCACCGCATGTCACGCCCTGCTGCGGCTCACCAGGCCGGAAAAGTGTCATCGCAACTGTGGCGTTCGAGCCAGCGCGGGGGCATTGGACAGGGTTTGCTGTACTCTCTCCAGGGGTGGCGCTCGAGCAGGGCTCGGCTGCATACGACCGTAGCCATCCATGAACCGCGCTTCCCATGGCGTGAGGCAACCCCCGCTGCATTGCACCAGTTCTCCCTACGGCCAAATCTTTCTTTTAGCGTCCAGGTCAAACGGGGTTGGGAGGGCGACTCAACATCAAGGCAGTGCAACTCTGTGAGGCATGCCACGCCGGAACTGACACTGGATGGCTTGTCACAAGGCTGAGCATGAACTTCAAAGTTCACGGGTGATGGGATCGATCCGAAGAAAGGGGGCAGCTGATTGGTCGAATGGGCTGACGTCACCAACATCCGAAGCTGCCACCCACGCGGCGCGAGGTTCGAGAAACCTGATCGGTACACGGCGTTGCTGCTGCTTGATTCGACGCTTGCCCTTTCTCCTCTCCCAATGGAAGCCTCCAACTCATAGCATTGTGCATTTCCGCGCATTTTGATCCTTGAAAATAAGCAACCATCTCTCTGACAGATCGCTGCCATGGTCCAATGACGATGCCGGCGAAGCCGGGCAAGCTTTCTCACCAACGTCGCCCTTTTCTCAGCTGATCCTTTCTCTCGCCTTTGTTGTCCCCATTTCCCCCTGCGAGAGGAGAGAATACGAGAAGCTACACCGCCGGCCCGTTGAGCTGCACGACGCCTCGGCCCACGTCGTTCTGGCGTGCTGACGTCCGAACATTTGACAGGTGTGTCAAGGTTTCAGTCTGTCCCAACACTGCAGGCGACACCGCTACTACTAAGCCATGCTTTCTCATCCTTTCGGTGTGACCTGGCGCAAAGCGTTAGTCAGCCTTCCACGGCTGGTCCCCGACTTCGTCCTCCAGTTCACGAACCCAGAGGGTCCTCAGCCGGTGGTTTTTGACCTTCCTTCCAGGGGGTCGCACTTGATCCCTGTCTACGTCTTCATACCGCCATTGCACAACTCGCATCACCATAGGTTACAGACCCAAGGGGCCCATCTCAAGGATGCTCTGCAGCAGCATACCCGGACCCCAGAGCATGGAGACGAGCACGTGAAAGTGCCAGTGCTGATCGACTTTCATGGCGGGGGATTTGTGCTGGGATCACCACAGGAACAGGCGCCCTTTTGCGCGCAAATGTGCCGCGAGTCGAATGCGGTGGTCATCTCGGTCGACTATCGACTGGGCCCCTATGCTCAGTATCCAGCCGCCAACTACGATGCGGAAGATGTCCTTCGCGCCGTCATCGAGCCCAAAACACAGGCCTACAAGACACTGCGAGAAGGTATCCGCGAGCAGCTGGAGAAGGATGGGCGCAAACCATTTGACCTCGACGAAGCGAGAATTGCCTTGTCCGGGTTCAGCTCAGGAGGCAACCTTGCGTTGAATCTCGCGCTAAGCGTCAAGGACGACCCGACAATCCACAAGGATTGGCCGAGTCCGATCCCCTGGGACTTTCAGAACGACATCCCCGTCTTGTTGTTCTACCCCAGCCTGGACTGTCGGCTTCTTCCACATGAGCGGCCGCGGCCCGAAGGTCTACCCCCACCATCGGGGATTCTGGAGCGATGGGCGATCGAGAAGGAACTCATGCCGACCTACCTTCCAGTCGACTGTCGAGGCCATCCTCGCGCTAGCCCCGGCCTGGCCGACCTAAAACCCAAGCGTCCAGGGGAACAGGCGGGACTGCATCCGAAGGCCAAGCTGTGGTTGCTCCTACCGCAGTACGACACGTTGCACTCTCAAAGTATCGTCTGGATCCAGAAGGTCAAGGATGAAGGCCGCATGCATGACCTCACCGTCGAGGAGGTCAAGGGCGTCGTGCATGGCTGGACGCAATTTCCCGACTCATGGATCAGCGAGGAAGAGAGGCGGCTGAAGGCCGAAACGTTTCGGAAGGCCAGATGTTTTGTGGAGGCGTTTTGGGCGCCCGAAGTCAAGGGAGTCGCTGTTGATCCCGGCCGCAAGGAGGGGGATGCAGCGTCTGCCTCCATGTCAAAGACAGATCCTGCAGTGCGGGACAAGTCAGAACCAGTGACAACCTGTTGATGTTTGACGTAAAGGTCCGGATGGAAGAATTGACAGGGAACAGAAAAATACATGCACGGATAGAAAGGAACTGACTTTTGCTTGCTGGTTGGCGTAGCCAGACTGGTACATATGCATACCACATTGGCACTGTCAACAGGCAGACATTGGTACAGCTTCGGCTCCAGCCTCACCGGACTTTTTGGCCCGATTCTTGATGTGGTCTTCTTCCGGCTGTGCAATAGCACGAATGAGAAGCCAAGCAAAAGGTATGAGTGAGGCATCCTTCGGGTTTGATGAGGGTTGTATGGATCCACGTGGGATGTGTGGCTGTCGCCGACGGCTGGAGCCGACCCATGAGACGAGGTGACATGCACGGGAAGGCGAAGGCATCGCCGTGGAATTGACCTGTGCCAACAATCAATGGCACGGATGGGACGGATGACACACTAGCTGGGAAGTTCAAATTGTCGGTTGTGCTAATGCGCAAGTTCCATGCTACTGTACTTCGGAAGTACTAGTAATGCACCTGTCTGTGTACTGGTTACTGTTGACCGTTGAGACTGGCAGGGGGCGGTTGGGATTGGGGGTTTCTGGTGGCGAACCCCTTGGGCCTTTCAGCGTTTGCTATTTTTTATTTCTCATTTCTCATTTCTCATTTCCAGGGATCAAGGGTCCGAAGGCTTGCCAGTAGCAGAAATGGGATCCTGGGGACGGCGAACAAGCGGTGTAGGCATTGGGAGTTGTTTGACAGCTACATTGTACATAGCACAGTAGTGCACATATTGTAGGGATGACAGGACCTAGCACAACATGGCGATCCTGTCTACGTTACGATTGAAGATGCACGGTACTAATGCAAGGTTGACACCTCGCACCTCGCCAACTTACCGTATGCCACCTGGTTAGATTGTCTTGGCCTGCTCTGCCCTGCTGGACCCTGCGTGGTCTGGTCGGTTGTGGGCACTGGAATCTGAGACACCGAAGAAGATAGGAAACCAGAAAATGGGACTGAGACAATGACACTGATGGGACTGGCACTGCAGAGGTAAATACTTTGGAACGGTTAACCTCCGGGGATTTCAGCGACTGATGGTATGCCCCCTGACGTGCTGGCACCAAGACCAAGGGCACTTCACAGAGGCAGCAATGTGTACATGGCCCTCCCAAGTGGCTTGTCGAGTCGCTCCTTCACTTGTATAGCTGGTCTGTGGACATCCCTTTCTCTCTCCGAAAAGGGTGTAAAAATGGAACTGCTGAGTAAATGTCAAGCGTGTGCGGGACTCTTAGTCTATCAACCACCATGTGGTGCAAGTATCAGCATAGATTGGGTCTGCCCAGAGTAAGAGTCCCTAGTAGTTGTGTCCTTGTCATTATAGCTGTTATTGTTGTTGCTGGTCCGTCGCCGCTCATGGCCATTCCCCGGGGCGGATCAGTGGGAGAGATACGTTGCAAACGAACGAGATCATTAAGAAAAGCAGAGTGCAGCAAAGGGGACGATGCGACCCATCAACAGTGGACCTTGTGAACACCAAACTCTCCATTAATTCAGAAGCCGCCCGCACCTCGAACGCGTTGTACAGCACCAACAATACCCTTAGCCCAAGCGAATCTGCCCGGGTCAACGCCAATTGCACCTTCGGCCTGTTGTCCTGTTTTGGGGTCTTTCCAGCACCCAGCATCCGGGCCTTCCTTGACCACTTTGCCATATAAATGGGTGTTCTGATTTTGTCGAATGCCTTCCATCCATTTACCTACCACCAATTCGCTGTCGATCATTATATTCACCTCCTGGCTATGATACCAACTCTGAGTGTCTTGGTTTCCATTCCCTTGAATGCCGATGTGTCCATCAACAATCATCAATTTGATATGAGCCGAGCGCTTTTTGAATTTGTTGTGTATAGGATGTACTTGGTCCTTTGCGACGTAGGCGTAAATGTCGAGGTATTGATGATATTCCGGCTCCAGATCTCGGTATAGGCCGTTGGCCACCATCTCGTTGTGGCCTCCTTGGAAGGGTAAGAGTTCACCAGCGTCGTTGTATCCCAGGCAATAATAGTAGGTGACATTCACGCCGCGTCGGCAGGCATTCACAATCTCGGGGAGTAGTGCTTCGGCGTTAAGGTCAGGCGTCTGGATGAACACCGATCTGGTTGCATGTCGGAGAGCTGATATGAAAGCCTCATTCTGCGGCGTGTGCAGAGATTGCTTGTTGGGGGCACCCCATGGCTCTCGGCAGACCATGGCGACTGGGAAAGGTTCATGTGGAGGAATTGGAATCAGCGGCGTCATCGAATCGCTAGGGCCAATATCGGGGGCGCTTCCCCTGGTATCAGGCTGAATCGTCGTGTTTAGAAGTCGTGTAATCGCATCAATACGTCGTTCCCCAGCACGGGGATTCAGGGTGGCCACCGCTCGCAACACTTCGGACCTGATATCTGGATCATAATGAGGGTCCTGTGAGGTATGCTGGGGCAGATCCAGCTGTGACCCAAGTTCTGCAATCTGCGGTAAGCTGTGGTCGCCTTCCGGGACCGGGTTTGTTCTGGGTCACGATGAGTCAAGTACTTCAGAGCAGTGGCAAGGAATAACTCACGATTGTTGCACGGAAACGGGCCGGCCATTCTTGTCGAACATTGTGGTATAACTTGCCTCTTCAAATGTCGGGAGAGGCATGCCGGTGGCTGGGCGATTGAGCAGTGGCAGAGGAGGATTGAGCCGGTTATGCCATGAGATAAGCGCAACTTCGTAGAACGAGTCGACAATAGGTCCCTCCCATTGTGTCATCATCTCAAGGTTATCAATATCTTGGATGTTGTTGCTCTGCAAAATGGCTATCTTGCGGTCCACAACCATATATTTGGCATGAAAGGTTCCAAAGACTGGAAGGTGGAAGTTGATAACCTCGAGGTCGATGTTGGGGAGATCATCCGGATGTGGAATTCTGACTTTGCCGCTAGGATCCGAGAACTCCTCTGGCGACACCGGAAGGTGATTGTTGATTACCTGGTGCTGTCAGAGACAAACATCTAGGAAGGTCAGGCTGCATACCTGCTTGACACTGCCGCGGTCATAGATGATCTTGACAACAACTCGCTGGCCCCTCTCCCCGGCTTTCCGCGAAAGCTCGCGCAGTGCGTTGGTGATAAGCCTACTTGGCTCTGAATACATCCAGAAGTTCGTCGCCAGGAACACCTCGTGCTCGGCTCGAGCTATGACATTGGACATGTGCCGACAGATGTCGGGCACCGTGGCGATAATGGTCAGTGGGCACACCCCGGTGCTACCCATCAGAGATGGTGCGCAAACGCCCACAAGAGGGTTTCTCTCCAATGTGCATAATACATTGTGATATATCTGGTAGCTTATCAATACAGGTCTGATGGGAGGCGGATGGATACCATACCTTAAGGAAAAGATCGCTTGGAGTCGCATTCCCCCATTTCCCACATCTCCGCGCCTGTTCAAGATCGTCGGATTCCTCGTGTGAAAGGTCCACCTTCTTGGTCACGACCTCATCCTCAATGTCAACGCCAAACAGATTTTTGCATGCCTCATGAGGGGCCAACGTGGGATTAGTGCTAAGTTCGGCTGACACTGACTTTCCACTTTGGCAAAGGTCATACACCTTTTTAGGAATCATGACTGAAGATTGTTAGCTAGGTATGCAGCAGCAGACGGATATGGGTCGTTGTTTCCTAGCAACCTGTAGAACGAGAGTTGCAAAAGGACATTCAGAAAGGTTGATTGAGATGCGATGCGAGCGTTAGAGCGGAAAACACTGGCATGGCAGAGGAAAGCAAGGCGCATCACGTATATGAGAAAGCATATATCGTCACATGTGCCATCTTTGCTAGGATGGCGTCGAAAGCAGAAGGCCGCGCAATCCCGCTACTACCCAAACGCCATGATGGCCCTGAACATCAGCCTTGAATTGGACGAGATTCACACAGTCAGCTACCAACCAGTCCATCGTGCCGGGCACAAAGTTGGAAGGAACTCTCCCACGCGGCGCCCCATGATGTCACACCAGCACCAATGCGGGGCAACTAAGCAGGCGAAGCATTTTTTGCCTTTTCGGCTCAAAGCTTAGCTGAGCTTCGCCTGGCAGGGGACTGGTACCGGCACTTCAGGTGTGCTTTCAGGCGACTACCATGATGACATCGCACAGAGGGCATTGGACTAAACATTGCGGTATCAGGACAGCAGGAGCGAGAGTCATCGGAAGCCATATTCGTGTTCGAAAACATCCCATTTTGCGCCGAAGCTGGCAGGTGCTTTCTGTCGTACACCATGTCAGCGCAGTCCCCATCCCGATATTGATGTCATCGGGCTGACATCTTTGGTTAGTGGTAATTGGTACCTCTACCAATGCGCTGCAAGAAAACACCGCTGTCATATCCTGAATTAGTATCGGTTTCCTGAACTTGTTCCTGGAAAGTTAGCACCGGTAAGGGTAAGGGCAGGTCCAAGGGTGTGCTACCACTTTATCAGATCAGGCTTCAGCGCATCCACACCCCAATCGGCTCAGATTTGCCCATGCCAATTGGGCGCGATCGTAGCATTGGCGTCACTGGTTGCTATCGCAAATACTATGTATGTCTGCTGGTGATACACAATGCGTGGATCAGGGAACGGCAGACTCACACCAGTCCAACCGAGCTTACCAACTCCTCTCTGTGAAGGCACTTGTGAAGAATTGTAGTGCCATGACGTCTCATCAACGTGGAGATGGAACGGTTCTTCATCGACGTCGCCAGGGTAGTGATGGAATTCTTGAATGGCACCCATTGGCCACCAACAGCGTACGGCGCCAGCATTGGCGAATGTTCAATGGAACGCGATCATCGGGGGAGGCTCCTCCACGTGCGAGGTTCAGTGCAATGCGGAAACATGGATTGACTGTGGACAGTTTTGTGGGTTCAACTCAGGAAGCCTTATATTTCTCAAGATTTCAGCACGGTGCAAGCTGTCACTGCTGACCATCCAGTCAACGCACCAGGGCCGAGCGCAAAGCCGGCTGAAAGACAGAACCCGCGATTATATCCTCTCGCCTTGGAGCAGAATGCAGGTCAAAGGCCAAGGGTTAGCAGGAGGCGCGTCCTCAAATCCAGGAAAATTGTCAGAGGAGAGTACCCATGAAAGCTGTGTGGGAAAATGTGAGTCCGTATCAGTTGAGACAAGTGTCAATTCTCAGAAACTGGCGAAAGTAAGTTTAAGTAACATGTGCTGAGCGCAACGCTGTATCCTCGTTGAATACGATGAGCATCAGAGATGAACACCAGGGGTTACTGTAAAAAACTGTTATGAGTTCGCCAGCCAACATTGATGACTTGCAACCGAGAACGATCCGACAGCGCAACGTGCTAAGAAGCTCACCCGGCGCGGCAGTGAGATTCTTCCAGCATGTACGCTGTCAAGCCTTGCCTCAAAACCCCCTTTTCCCCGTCACCCAAAGGCAAAGTAAAAACGGTGATCTCGATCGTTCTTCGTTCTTCCTTTGCTCGGTCATCTATCTGGGGGTCAGGCGACATCAGCAAGTCCAGCAACCCTTTGGCGCAAGATGTTAGCGGCATTTACCAACCTCAACTGGCATTGGGATGGTCCACGTTTGCTGGTGCTGGAACTCGCTAACAAAACCCGCGCCTGGACATGTCACCATTGTACTCTGCAGATACTCACTCGCACCTTGGCCCGGATGCAACAATGGGCCAGCCCTTAATCAAGTGCACACAGTGTACATTCGTATTCCCATCCGCTTGCTTCCGGTTTTGCGCGGTTAGTAATCACTCCCGGCTACGACCAGGTTGCGGTTGGCTCGAATGCTTCTCGCGTCTCAGCCACTTCGGGAACCCTACGCCTGCCAAGGAAGAATATGGCGCTTTGTAATGCCGACTTGCAACCCCTAAATAGTCCATGATACCTAGACGAGGATCTTACAGCAGGGCTGAGTGGCAGACTATCCCCGGTATCCGACGGTATACGCCCTCGCGTTCTCATAGAAAGCGAGCACGATGCAAGACAGCAATGGACATCTCCTCGGAAGCAACTGGTCGGGTACAAGTACTGCAGGTATAAAAACCAATTTGGTCACAGCCATTAAGTGTGGGTGTTGTCACAGATCCAAGCCAAATATCCCATCTCTCAAGCGATCAAGCCATCAGCGGCTTCCTTCAATATACCATGTCTAGCACAACCCTCCCTAGCACCATGCGTGCGTTGTTGCACAACCAGAAGACTCAAAGTCTCGGTATCGGCTTCACTCCTCTGCCGAAGCCATCTGCAGGTCAATACCTCATCCAGCCTGATGCGGTGGCATTAACTCAGGGTGAACTTCTCTGGCCACGACCAGAAGACCTGACTGTTTCCAGTCCAGGGGTCGAGTTCGCGGCACGCATTGTCACCTCTCCTTCACCGGCATCCAAGTTCCAGCCCGGAGACCAAGTCTACGGTCGTGTAACATTCCCACAACCCGGGGCTGCTCGAGAATATTCTGTCTCGAATGATGAGGAGCTTGCACTGCGCCCAAAGAGCATGTCCATCGCGGAAGCTGCCACCGTCCCGGTCAGTGCACTCACCGCGTGGCAAGCCTTCTTCGAGCATTTCGGTTTAACTCCGCCCACGGAGCCACGGAGCCACCATCACTATTCGCCGCCCCGTATCCTCATCACTGCTGCGTCAGGAGGCGTGGGCATTTGGGCGGTTCAGCTTGCCAAATTGATCGGTGCGTATGTTGTTGGCACCTGCAGCACTTTAAACCTTGGATTTGTCAAGGACCTCGGAGCTGATGAGGTCCTCGACTACAAGCACACAAACATTCGAGAATGGGCTGAGGAGGACGAGGCACGCAAAGTTGATCTTGTGCTCGACTGTGCGGGACGCGCGTCACTCGATCAAGCATGGTTTGCCGTCAGAGAAGGGGGCAAAGTTCTGACTATCGTACCACCGGCAGACATGCAGTGGAAGTTTGTCCTTGACCGGCCGGAGGGCGTGAGCGACTCAGTTTCTGGCAACTTCTTCGTAATGCATCCGTCTGGCGACCAGCTGAGCAAAATCACAGAGTTGGCCGAGCAAGGTAAGGTAAAGGCTGTGGTAGACAGTGTTTGGAAGTTTTCGGAGTATCAGAAAGCTTTTGAGCGTCTGAGCTCGGGTCACACAAGGGGGAAGGTGGTAGTCACCATTGATAACGAGGAATAAGCTTGGGACATCGAGGCATGAATAGAGTGAATAGACTTATATATGTTATATATAGGCCGCTCTACTCGTAGAACACCAAGCATCGCACCTCAATGCTCTGCCGCCCAGGTGCATCCGCCGGCGTTTCAGGATCCACGAATGCTGTGTGTGGCGTGCAGTCTGCCAAACCAGGCCGGCCGCCCGGGTTAGCTTGGCTGAAAGAATCAAAACATTTGATGAACATTGCCTCGTCGGGCGTCATATCTTTCTGATAATAAAATCTGTGGTTTTCGTTGGGCGCAATGGCATAGGTTTCACCCTTAACTTCATAACCAGCCGTAGACTCGAAGGAGTTTGGGTCCGGAAGGACTTCTTTGCCACGATCGTCCTCGTCATGCACGCCGTTCGTGGTATTCGCTTTTGGGTATAAGAGGTCCACTTTAATAAAATCAGAGGAAGCTGTCGTCCGCCAGTCGATGACTGCCAAGGGAAAGTCTGAAGCTGGATGACCGATTGGGCGCCACACATTGATGATTTGATACCGGCCTTTCAATAATTCTTCCGCCTCCTGTGGCGGCAAGTGTCTCCTTACGCGCACCTCGGCAGCACGAGGAGTCTGATCAACGTGCACCTGTTGCACGGGTTGTCTGGGGGACGTCTTGTCCCTTCTTCTGATGGTGTGATCAAATATCACAACTTTCTTAATACCAGGGAGTTTCTCGCGCAGCAGTGATTCCACTTCGGCATAGTATCCTTCACGGACTTTGCCATCGTCTGTGAACTCCTTCTCTTGCGCTGGAGATTTGTACACGGCGAAGCCAGAGGTATCGACGGAAAACTTGGGTTCTTGTCCCCGAATGTTTTCCACAGACCGCTTGCGCTCGATCAGTCTAAATGAGGTGCCCGGTCCATCCACTTTGGACCATGGCTTCACGAAAGGGACGTCGCTCTCCACATAGGAGCCGGGATCAATGTACTTGAAGTTGCCTGTTGTCATGTTGGCCGGTCGAGTTGCACTTGTCGTGAAGAGTCGAGGCAGATGGGCAGCAGCGGCCTGTCGGGAGATTGCCTGTAAAGAATATGTGAACAGTGCCGGCGCTCTGAAAGACTTCAACGAAATAGTGGCTTGCATAGGATAGCGGCTTGAATAGGACAACCGAGCGAAAAGGAAGTCAGCGCTCACTTGACTGGGAAACACCGCAGAGGCACAACTGAATTATATACGGTTCTTGGCCTCGGGGACTTGAATTGTCAGCAATCGGAGACGATGAAAACAATGACGTGGAAGCGACATATGTTGCCGCTCATCGGCATATACCAACGGCGTTGTATTACAAAGACAACCCGGCGATCATCCCGGGAAAAACTATGCCAAACACTGCAAATCTGCCAAGATTCCAAAGAGGCTTATGTAATCTTTCCGCGCGTGTTTAGTGACAAGCCCGCAGTGCTACGCGCCGCATTTGCACTTCCAGACGCGTCAACCTGCAACCCCTCGGTCAGCAAAGCCAGAATTGTCAGAAAAACGCGTCGTGAATGAGGTTGATTGAGATACAGACGTACAGGACCCCTTTGCATAGAATACCCATGCTGTCTTAGACTGCGCGCACCTTGACCTCGACTTTGTTGCTGTGAGCCACCATGGCCACCGGGAAAGAGATTTACTCAGCGACCTACAGCAATGTGACTGACCTCACCCTGTTATGGTTGTGGGTAGATGGCTGACGTCGGCTGCAGGTACCCGTCTATGAGCTCAAAATCGGCAGCGACCATATTATGCGACGTCGCTCTGACGACTGGATCAATGCTACCCACATCCTGAAAGTCGCAGGATTCGACAAGCCTGCCAGAACGAGAATCTTGGAACGTGAGGTGCAGAAGGGAGTCCACGAGAAGATTCAAGGCGGATATGGCAAATATCAAGGCACATGGATCCCTTTGTCGGAAGGTCGCATGCTTGCCGACAAGCATGGAGTCCTCGATCGCATTTCCAACATCTTCGACTTCGTCCCAGGGGATCGAAGCCCACCTCCGGCCCCGAAGCATACAACTGCTGCCTCTAGTCGTCCAAGACAAACCAAACAAGCGGCGCACTCCAAGAAGGTCCCCGCACCCCAACCTGGTAAGGGACAAAACCTGGTCATGCCGATCGAGGCTCACAAGCACCCAGTGCAAGCTTATCAACCAGCCGAGAGCTACTACGACACTGCTAGCGCTCAATACAATGGAACAGAAAGCCGAGATCCGTCCCCAGAGACCGCCTCCTTCATGGCTGAAGACGACTTTCTCCCTCTCTCGCAGAATTCGACCGCATCCCGCAAGCGTAAGCGTGACCGTGACATTGAAGAGCCCATGAGCACCGTGTCCGAGCTGGAACACACCTGGTACGGCGATGAGTTGCTTGACTACTTTGTAGCAGCTGGTGATGATTCCGCTCCGTCACATGGCCCACCTCCAGTACCTCCCGCGAACTTCGACGTCGACCGCCCCATCGACAATATGGGAAACAATGCTCTGCACTGGGCATGCGCTATGGGCGATGTCCGAGTGGTTCGCGATCTGCTGGCTCGCGGTGCTAATGCCGCTGCGCCCAACCAGACAGCCGGAGAAACTCCCTTGATCCGTGCGGTACTGTTTACCAACAACTACGACAAGCAAACCTTCCCCAAGATCGTCCAAGCGCTTGCCGGAACTATCGTGGAGCGCGATTGGCATGGTGCGACCGTTTTTCATCACATTGCCGAGACAGCCCGATCTAGGAGTAAATGGAACTGTGCGCGGTACTACTGTGAGGTGTTGATCAACAAAATGCAGGAAATGGGGTCGAACTATGTCCAGGCTTTACTAACCTCAGTCGATGCGTCTCACGACACAGCTGCCTTGTGTGCCATCCGTAATGGATGTGTAAAGGTCGCCACGTTTCTTCTCAACCATTGCCCTGAAGCAGGTGACATCCAAAACCTGAAAGGCGAAACTGCGAACGAATATCTTCGAGCCCTGCGAGAGAAGAAAGAAACGCTCCAACAACCTGGGTCTTCTCCGCCGCATGCTGGTGAGTCATTTGCTGCAAAGCAGCTTCGGCGCAAACGCCAAAAGGAAGCGGTGTCCCGGGCAGGCTCGGTAGTTCTCAGTAAGCTCGGTGCTGTTCTCGACGAAGGCAGTATGAAGCTGGCGGAGATGTACGATTCACAGACGAAAGAAAAGGATATGGGGATCCAAGAAGCCAAGCAGGCACTGTCTGCCTTGGAGGCTCAGCGACACAAAGTCCGGCACGAGACCTTTTTCCTTATGGCCAAGGCCGAAGATGCTTCGCGAGTTCCAGCTTTGCGGCAGGAGTATCAGATGTTACTACGCGAAATGGAATCCTTGTTGGAACAGAAAGAGCATCACACCCTCCAGAAGGAGGTGTTGCAGCAAGATCAACAGATCAATCCTCAAGCCTTCCGCTTGACCAATCCTCGATCTCTATATCCAGATGAGATCCGCGCTTCGCTTCCCTGGGCGGCAGAGTTGAATGACCAGCAACACAAGCGGAGAAAATGGGTATCGGAGATAGCACAGTTGCTCGCGGAGGCCGGTACCAGCGAAAGGGTCGGCAAGCACCGAAAGCTGGTGGCCCTCGCAACTGGCTTGAAGGAAGAGGATCTGGATAATATGTCTGAGGAGCTGTTGGAGAGTTTAAAGGCTAGCCAGGGGAATGGCACCCAGACACCACCTCACATGATGAATTGAGTTTCAGCAGCCATACTGGCCTGCAGGATATTTCTGTATTTCGGCTTTACGACGACTATGAGTTATGAACTAACTGAGCTGTTTGCTTTGTCTCCTGAGAGACGACCACAGCAGCACACTGCGAGAGTTATTAGATGAATAATAATTATTGAATTTCGAAGTAATCTTGCTGTGCCCATCAGCGAGCGCTGCAGGAATGGTTTCTGCTTGTAGGTCTATTGCCTTTGTGAGTAGTCGCCTACGGGAGTTATCGAAGTCTTCTGTGTGTTGTCTTTGGTGTTCGCCCTGGACTGCAGGAGCACGCCATGGCAGGAAAACGGACTCCAGTAAGACATGCATGGAGCGGACTCACCCCAAGGTGAGGCGGGATATTGTTGTTCCACCGATCCAGGTTCCTGTCTAGTGACAGACTTCCCATCCAATCATCGTCCAGACCTTGCGAGGCTGCCACCCCTGACCCACAATTTCTCATTCCTGATTGCAACAACATCTGTGGGTCGGTCCCAAAGACCCAGGTGGTCTTTCAGGAGCATATCGCGAGCCCTGATCTTCCTGGCTTTGTCCAGCACAGTCCAACTTTGTCCTTTTTGTCTTCATTCTTTCAACTCATAAAAGTCTAAGAGTTCTTGAACTTGTCCTTGTGTTTAATTCCTGCTCAGCCTGGGTATCCGGCAGAGGGCATGGCTCCTTGGGCCTGGTGTGGTTGATCTTCAAGATCTTTTCTATACGGAAGCTCCAGAACCATGTAGAGTATCGTTGACATGGGGTTTGGTCGCTGGGCATACGACAGCTGGAAAGCACGTGGATAAGGGTAAATTGAGTCTGTATCAGAGTCTTTCGTCAGTTCGAGAGGCTGGCCATTGCTTTTCATCGATGATAAACCTTGTTTAACAATCCCATAGGACCTGATCAAATATCAAGTTTTGCTTTGGTCAGAATCTAGGCTCGAAATGACATCTCCTGGACTCCTGTCTAACCCTCAGAATACCGTTTCTGCACGAACGAGTATTTTTCTTGCAACACTGATGGCCTGAGAAGGGATATAGCCAGGTGTCTCTTCTGCCTATGCGTGACCAAGGGATAGAGACGCTATTCTGTCAAGGTTCGATTGTTGCAGAGACAGCTTGCTCTTGGAACCTTCTGGACTTGGTACATTGAGATACAGGAAAGTAGAGAAAGTTTCGAAGCCACTGAACGAAGGAAGCATGTTCAACTTTGGAAATAGTCTCAAACCATTTTTTTTTTTTTTGAGACTCTGGAGCATAGAAGAAAGCCCTGTGCTTGTGACATAACAGTTACAAACGATATTGAGCCAGATTGGAAAGAGAGCAAAGGTTAAAAACCGCTAGGGTCATTCTTGAGGATAAGCCACACCGTGAATCGGTTACTAACCTTCAGGGCGCGCCCGCGCCCCTACACTTGGACCTCTTTGTCTGCTTCCTTTGATGCAGTGGTTTCAGCAAAAAGGACGAGGACAGACAGTTCATCTTGTGACGTTATGCCATGATCGATTGCAGTATCTTGGACGGTATGTCTTTCAGGTCAACGATGGATCTCGCTGTCTTTCACATACATAATTCCTTGTAGCAAGCGTCTGTAACTTACTTACGATGTCTACTCTATACCAGGCGTTCATAAGACCAAATTGTTCTGTATTTGATCTTTCGACTAGCAATTACGTATGATTCAGCCACACTTCTTTTGTAATGCCAGCCAGGATGTAGCAATGTTATGAGCTCAGAGCACATTCGGAGCCATGCTCAAGCGCTTAGTCCATGACATAGCACAACCGTCCACTGATCGCCACCTTGCTCTGTATTAGCATGTCCACACAATTGCATAGCTCCGGGAAATGCCTTTCCAGCTAGAAAGTGATGTCTCCACCGCGTTTTTTGTATTCAGCAATCTCCAGGCCCCATCCCCACTTACACAGCCAACCTGTCCCATCATGGCAGAAACAACCCTCACGCCTGGTTTCATGTCGTTTCATGGGTCAGCATAGTACTGGCATGCTGAAAATGCTGACCCCGTGTCGAAAGATGGTTGTCCCTATGGTATTATTCCTCGTCAAACTCAGGGATCGGGCCCATGATATGTCCCTCACCACCATACATTGGCGAGTTAGGTAGAATGCCATGACCCAGGCCGTATGGGTACACGTTTTGCGCCGCAGATGGAGAAAAGAGAAAGCCAGGAGGCGCCACGTCTCTCAAGGCCGAATTGAGTGGGGTGGTATTTGTGTACGGTGTATCAGCCTGCGAGGAGTATGACAGCGGATGTCCCTGACTGTAGGCACCAGGTGGGGTCGTCATCTGATTCATGCCGTACATCTCACGGCCGTTGTAGCTCATATGTTCGACATAGTTTCGTGGAGTATTCTGGCGGACTGGGGTGTGAGGAATGTAGCCCATGGTGCGTTGCGGACGACGGGCCGAATACTCCTTTGGCTCGATTCGAAGCTTGGTTCCAAGGAAAGACCGCTGTGTTATCGTTAACCAGAACCTTAATAGTGAGACTTGATGGAAGTACACTCACCTCTGCCAAGGAAGCACGTTCCGCTTCACGAGGATTGCTGAACTCGACGAACGCAAAGATGTTGACGCTGTCTCCTGCTAAACACAAAAATGTAAGTTTTTCCTTAACGGGCTCTGTTTCCAGCATTCCAAGTCAGCTTACCAAAGTTCTTTCTGATCACATTCACCTGCACAATATGCCCAAATTCTCTGAATATGTTCTCCAAGTCCTGACGAGTAGTGCCATCGGGTAAATTTCCCACATAGATAGACTTCTGATCAACAGCCGACCGAGGGGTAGAGAAGCCACGAACGACAGGAGATCCATTGAAAGTGCCACGGATGCGTGGTTCCACCGATGGGGCCATCAGAAGAATGTAGCCCTGTGTGTGGTTTCTGAAGTTCTGTTCTATTAGATTGGTACTCAAAAGCACGAAGAGGCCCAATACTTACTCGAAGGGCATCACGACAGTCGAGATAGTAGGCAAATTTCACATAAATTCCACAAGCCATGTTGTATCTGGCACTGTCCATCGTGTTTGTTGGCGCACAAAGCTCAATGGGACCGAATTTCGAAAGCAACTGTCGAGCCTCCGATTCTGAGATTGGTCGACCGTCGTGTTTGCTGAGTATTACGGCTCCTGTTACCAGATTAGCGGATCCTCGGCCACAACGAAGCAAGTTGAGCTCACTCTCAGCTTTCGCACGCTCAACACGGATCTTGCGGCCATCAATCAGCATGTCGGACGAAGCACTGACTGCGGCATTTGCACTGTCGACGTTCTAAATCCCTCATTAATTCTGAATGGAGCATTATTGCCTTTCCACGTACCTCAAACTGCACGAATGCAAAAGGCTGATGATTTTTGTCCTGTCGGACCTTTATATGACAAGGACCGAACCTGTCAAATGTCTGATGGCAGGAAAACTGAAGCTGATCCGCAGATCGTTGGTTTGAGAGGCTAGAGGATGTTAGTAAGACTGCATCCTTGCTGGACGGGTACTTACTTTGCTACGAAGATGAGAGCATCAGGAGGGTACAATCCCTGAGCATTGGCAACATTTGGGAGCTGAGAGACTCTATCAGGACGCGGAGTAAACCCTTTATACTCTAGCGGCATGCGTATACTGCCAGAGACGTGTGTAGAAGGTACGTCTTCAGCTAACTCAACGGCTGTAGAAAGACCGAAAACGTCGTCTTCGACTGCAGGTTCCATCTTGGGAGAGCCCAGGGCTTCAGATGTGATTTGCACAGCAGGCATTTCGGAAGTAGTATTGTTAGAGGCGTCTGCTGAAGAGAATAGAATTAGTAGCCGTCGAAGAGTGTTTGGAAACCATTAAAACCAGGTTCGAAGACACGCTTTTGTCTTTGTATGGCCAAAATCCAAGGGAGATAGTTCATCTAGGCAATTTCGTACTGGTAAGAAGCCAAATGATCACATATCAGCACTTACCAGGGTCCAACTGAGAGTCTCCAGTCTCTCCTGAAGAGTTGAGGATGGTCAGACCTGTCAAGCGAGAGGAAATACCCTCAATCTCTCCCTTAGACGAAGCATTCGAAGGTGTAGGAGTTGTAGAACGAGTAGCTCTACCGGGTACGGGCAAAGCAGGCATGACGACACGTCGAGGAGGGGATTTGCTGGATGAAGCGAGACGAGAAGACATCTTCAGAGGCTGTATCTTTCCCGTTCTGGAACGTTTCGAGTCAGTAATCGTCCAGAAATCAGCTTTCGAGCTCGTTGAATGCAATACTTACCTCTGATGTGTCTACAAGCACCTTTTATGTAGGAATATGAGGTGATCAAGCAAGAAAGAATGCTGCAAACGAATAGTAGGGTGATGTAGGAAGTGAGGTGAGTTGAGACAGGATTGAAGCGAGTTAAGTATGTGGGGTGGGGAAACGGAGGATTCACAGCATTCACCTGCGTTGGAACGAGTGACACTCATTGTCGGCTTGCTTGGCTATAGTCTCCGCCGCAGCCCTATCGTTGGACGCTTCAGGCACCGACCTGGACCAGTGTCTGCAGGTTTTGAGTTCCTGTTTGTTAGTTACAGCAGCGCTCCAGACCCTACTATGGAAGACACGCTGTTGAAGCAGGAGTGCGCATGAGCCAAATATATCAAAGCACTCCTGGACTAGAGCTGTTAGTCCTGCTGGATATGTGTGTAGTGTGCTACTGTATACAAAGAGCACCACTATCCTTCAGGCTTCACATACAAATAATGGGACACTGAGTGAAGAATATGCCCCATACCTTGATGTATACATGCCGACTCTCCTAATAAAGGAGGACACATATCCTGAGAAGTGCTGAAGCCTGCCAGTCTCATAGTAAAGGGCTTCAGAGTGTACCATAGTAGTAAGGGCGTGCAACAACAGGTTGTGATAGCTGGGGATAAACTTCTAGGGTTAGGGTACGCCTCCCCATATAAGGAAGCTATATCGTATTTGGTATGGCGTCCGCCATGTACCCACTATGACATATTCGCAATTTTTTTCATTACTTCCGGTGTGCTGCACGTATATCGACATACTAGTAGGTATACATCCTGGCACAACATGGCATTGGTCAAGGCTGATCTTGGTGAGGCTCTGCCTCTCATAGCCTCCGGAAAAGTGCGAGAACTCTATGATGTAGACTCCAACACCCTCCTGTTTGTTGCTACCGACAGGATCTCTGCCTACGATGTGATTATGCAGAATGTGCGTCCAGATTGCTCTCGATGTTCACCACAATATCCTAACAAACCTCTATGTAGGGCGTTCCTGAAAAAGGACTCATCCTCACCTTGATAACGGCGCACTGGTTTGATTACCTAGAGAAGAACATCCCAGGCCTGAAGACTCATTTCATCTCCCTCGACCTCCCACCGGCGGTCCCTCGGCATCTCATCCCACAGTTGAAGGGACGTAGCATGCTTGTGCGCAAGCTCAAAGTGTTCCCAGTAGAGGCAATTGTCAGAGGCTACATCACAGGATCAGCATGGTCATCCTACAAGAAGACTGGAGAAGTAAATGGGAGGAAGATGCCACAGGACCTGCAGGAATCTCAAGAACTACCGGAGCCTATCTACACGCCGAGTACAAAAGCCGAGCTGGGCCAACACGATGAGAACATCTCTACGGAGCAAGCTGCACAGATTGTGGGGGAGAAATACGCGAAGCGTATTGAAGAGCTGTCCCTTAGCATCTACAAGGCTGCAAGAGATTATGCAAAGGAGAAAGGCATTATCATTGCGGACACAAAGTTTGAGTTCGGACTTGACGAGGCCACCGATGAGGTTGTACTAGTGGACGAAGTCTTGACCCCCGACAGCTCCAGATTCTGGTCCAAGGAGACATACAAAGTCGGGCAAAGCCAGGACAGTTTCGACAAGCAGTTTCTGAGAGACTGGCTGACCAAGAACGGGTTGAAGGGCAAGGAGGGCGTGACGATGCCCCAGGATGTGGTCGATGCTACAAGAGCGAAGTATTTGGAAGCATTCAAAATTCTTACTGGCAAGACTCTAGAAGAGACCTTGCAAGAACTGAAATAATCGAGATCATTCAACATAATTTTCATGCCCGGTGCAGTGCAACGCGGAAGACATCTGCTCGACGATACTGTCACTCTCCTGCTTCCTCATCTTACGGCGGATCTGTCGTTCGTGCCCACTTTACCAAAATGTGGCACTTTCTCTCGGAAGCTTTTCTTTTCCTGTGGTAGGTTTCTCCTCTCTTCAAGCTTCTGTGCAAGCTTCTCTTCTGTCACTTCACTCAGTCTCGCACTCCCTTGATCCCCTTCTTCCCAACCCGTTCGCCCGTCTACCTGGCCCCTCTCATTCAGGTTCGTGGCCCACACAGCTGCAATCCCGAGTTCAAACGGACCCGGTTTCCTGTCAAGGAGTCCGATCCCAACGCTCTTCACTTTCTGTCGCAACATTTCTGACTGCGGCTCGGTGACGACACCATGATTGGTGCGAACAAATTCATGCAACCGGATCCAAACAGTCTCCCACTGACCGGGATCATCTGGTCCTTCGGCGCCCTTGTGATATTTCGTATACAGTCGATGTTGATGTAGATCTGATTCAACAATCGAATCAGTTTGAATATTGACAACATATTTCCTTCCGTCGCTCTTCACCCGTAGCGCCAGGTACATGTAAGAGTCGACATTCCAGAAAAGCTCGCCGAAGAGTGTGCGCCCACGATCCTTATTCCGCCACGCCGCATATCCTGTTCTTTGGACGTCCGGTCGGTTTGCAGGAAGCTTCGTGGATATATTGCCACGAAACAGTACATGCGCCGGGGTAGGAGGGTGTGAGGAGGTGTCGGCGGGCATCTGTGTCAACTCTGCGGTCGAGAAGCCGCCCACTGATCGATCGGTCATGGTTTTTAAGGTGCTGATGGTTTCTGGGTCTGCGAAATCAAATATAGGGTATGGGGCAGTGGGTAGTTGCAGACCCTCGAGATTCAGGGCTGCAGATATTTGGTGTTAGTGATGTGGTCATGCTGTCGCTAGTGGTGCTGCGATTGTCTTCCATCTTGCACGTACCGAACTTGGTCGCTCTCTGGAATTCCTGACCAGTCTTCTTCCAGAAGCCCGGCGCACAGCGCCTGGCTGTGGGCAGGAGCATGTTGGTTGTCGGCTACCTAGTAGGATATGATCAAGAACGTGTGACTGTTGCAATCCTGCCTCTGTTTTCCTTACTGCGCATGTTGCCGTCGTCTGCTTGACATCATGCGATTCGCTGATGGACGAACTCCGCCCTAGGAAAGTAACCGCAGTTATTAGTACCACTGTAGTCCGCAGCCGCCAGTAGATCTTCACCTTACTTTAAGTTGACCAACACATACCAGCTGGCCAATCATACGGCAGTTTTCACCCAACGCGTTGTTTGCAACACCGTTCAAGTTTATAGTCCGGACATACTGAAATGCCCTCTAATTAGGTCGACAAGCAACGAGCTCTCTCACCCCTGGCGCGCGCATACGGAAGCCAATGTACAATGCGCTTTAAGCTGTGATCTTGGGGTCTCACAATTTCGCGGCCTTTACAAATGTCCACAAAGACAATATGAACCGTTTTCTAACCCCCGGAAAGGTTGTGCTCCTTGTTGTGGCTCTACTATATGCGGAGGATGTGGTCCCGACGGCTCAGACGACTTCCATACTGACCTTCCTCATGGGACATGTCATTCCCATTAACAGAGAGTCCTGTACAACGGACACGAACGCCGGATCTGACCATGCCTTGCCGATATCAGCTTTCGAATGGGCACTTTCTACTCTCCCGTCTTCGCGGCCTGGGCGGTCTTTATACGACCTCTTGTTAAAAAGACTCTGGATGATTGACTGTTTCCATGCCTTCGAGGCGTTCATCACCAACCTTCCATGTCTCCTGGCCAAGACGAGAGAACAGATCCTCCGAGAGCGGGAAGCCGATGACGACTCTGAGATTTCAGAAGATCTGGTCCATGGTCCCATCCTCAGGACTTCGCCTTTGGGTGCTTTCATCCGCCGATGCTATCTTGAATATATGAGACTTCAGTTCCAGGACAGCATTGCTCTCTGGCAGAGTTTCATCTTGTACAGACTGCCTACCTGGCAATCTTACGAGAAGAAGAACATTGTCCATGAGGGAAGTGCGCTTGATGTCAGTCTGGACAGTCTCCGCATTGGCCCTTCACATCAACTTGCCCAATTAGTGTACGGTGGATTGGCTGAAGAAAAATCCAACCATCAGGGCGCTTTCAGCACGTATGATCTCGAGAAGCTCATGGAATTCCAAGTCTCCGAGCTTCAAAGGATCGGAGGGCGGCTCCCGGACAGCATGAAAGCGAAGCTCCAACAAGTGGCAAAATCAAGCAATATCATTCCAAAACTAGGATACTACTTGAGGTTTCTCGACTCATGGCGAGCACGAGATTATTACTCGGCCTTCGACAATTTGCGCCGATATTTCGATTACGCGATGCAGAGCAGGGAACGAGCTTTCTATCAGTATGCGCTTCTTAACCTTGCAATTCTCCAAGCCGACTTCGATTGTTACGATGAAGCGCTCCCAGCCATGCAAGAAGCTATCGCAACAGCTCGCGAGAATAGAGATGTGACCTGCCTGAATTATTGTATGAGTTGGCTCTATCATTTTGGAAGGTCGTTTCCAAATAAACTGAGTACGCAAGAGGGAAAGGGAATCCTTGGGAACGAGGTGGAAGGCCTGGCATTCCTGAAATCCAGGGCAAAGGATGCCGAAATGTGGAGTCTTCTGAGCACCACCCTATTGAGCGAAGCCAAACTCGGGCTGCAGTATGGGGACAACCTTGCAGTCGTATTCGAGAATATTGCAAAGGCATCGCACTTGAATACCATCCGGTCGACGCATAGCATTACCGGGTCCACACTGCTAATGAAGGGCGCAGCATACAGCAGGGTCGGTATCGCCCATCTGACTTGGTTGTGTGGACAGGCCTTCCTGCAATGCCACATCAAGGAGGCGCCGGTGGAAGATATTCTCAAATGCAACTGCAGGATGGCCGGTTTGTTGGTCCAGCGAGGCCGATATCGTGAGGCGGACGAAGTTCTTGACGGCATCCCGATACACGTCCGCCGGGTGCCCAAGTTTCAGAACTACCTCAACTTCTACCACGGGTTGTTGAAAAGTCGAAGGTTTTTGCACAGAGACGATCTCAATGCTGCAGAACATCTGCTCGTCCGTCTACGCGGCCAGGCTCCGCCCGATGTCGAGATCAGATTCTCCCTATCATTGCTGGAGGTCGAGCTTCTGATACGGCGTGGAAACTTCAGCGGAGCTCTTCAGAATATCGAGGCATTGACCAAGGGTAAACACCACGAGATCAGTGATATCGCAGTTCAAACACGGCTGTTGAATCTGAAAGCCAGAGTCCTGGCTGAATGCGGACACCCACTCAAAGGAATCTCTCTCGTGATGAAAGCAGCACAGATCGCGTATCGCGGCCGCATCCTGCCGTTGCTGTGGGAGTCGATCGGACTTCTCGGCAGGATTTTGAACGAATTGAGAGAGTTTGCTGCGGCTAGTGAGATACTTGAGTCAATCATGCCACAGGTCTTGCAGAATGAAGACTGTGACCTTACAGCTCGGTCATTCTCCGTTCTCGCAGATGCATACATGGGAATGGCAGGCTTGGAAGAGGACAGACCAAACAAACGGAAAGAGTTCATCAGCAAAACAATGGAGAACATCGACCACGCCCACCTGCACTTCAGTCGCATAGAGGACTTAAAGGGGCAGCTGGAGATGTTAGAGAAGAAGGCCATTCTGCTGCACTGGAAAGGGGACCCGGTTTTGGCAAATGACGTTGCAGCTCAATACCTCGAGCTTCAGAGGAAGTATGAGTCTGAGAAAGTTTGAAACTTGATAGCCGAAAGTCGTGGCACAGCCTTCTCAGTCGGCCATGCGTAAGGACGAGGACATGAAATCTGACCTAAGGGCCGATGCATGGCAGCGCTTGTTCTTCCCCTTATTCACTTTGTATGTACAGCTGGTAGATACTTTGACAGCTCCACCACTACCGAGGCATTCGAAATTCCTCCCAAAATACATGGTCAAGTTTGCTTGTCCCTCTTGTGGTAGTTGACCTTGTCGTTCCAGAACAGAGTCTGTTGCGGTCGTTAGCGATGTATGCGTGCACCTCCCACAACCGAACCAACCTTGTCACCATCTCCCCAGAAGAAGTTCTTTGTTCGGAGGTTCTGGTATGGGTACTCGACCCGCTCCTCCAGCGGAGGCAGGTGCTTCCAGTGTTCCCAATGCTCGTTCCACAGGTTCCAAGCGTTGATTGAGCCCAGGATGAGACAGGGGATGACAACGCTGCGATTGTTAGAATGTAGCCTTGCAGATTTCCCTTCTTGATTGGAGGAGGTCATACTAGATCGAGAGTTTGCGCCAGAGATCTATTGCACGTCAGCCTCTCTGTGAGCCATCCAGGTTTCTGAAGAGTTGAACTTACCACTGGTAGCAGCAGCGTGCGCCTTCACAGCAGCTCGTTCTCTGTTGAATGCATTGTCCGCTGTTCCGACCAACTTGCTAGATCCTTGACCAGGTGGTGCCGGAGCGCTCGCAAATCGTCGCTGGAAGGTCGATCGGAAGGCTGGAGAACGCAGCTGCTGCGCAAAACGCAGACCAACACGCTGAAAGGACATTCTGAGTCGGTTTGAGTGGAGAGAGTTATCAAAGAGCTTCAACTCGTCTTCATAGAGAGTCGAGAAGGTGGTACCACGACAGCGCCAGAGCTTCAGTCAACTGCGCGGCTTGGCGAGTGAAATCAGACCCATGCTAAGAAGGTCACAATAAAGCGCTGCTTTAGTGAATCGTAGCCTTTGTCTGACGTATCTCAGGCTCTCATTGGAAGCTGACGGTAAGAGAGCGCAATACTTTGCCAAAATGAAATAAGCTCTTGGCACCTTCGCCCAATGATTTCCTATCAATTTGATGTATCACGAGAGCTCGAGTAATGCTCATGAAATGACGCCTGTATCAGAGAGAAATCTGCCATTGACGTTGGTCATTACTGAGTAAATACGATTGCGCTTGTCATCGTGATCCCAATCCTAAACTGGAGCTTTGGCTTCGACCTCAATCTTCAACTCGACCTCTACGAACAACGACCTACAAACCTCTCCACTCCCCTATATCGGCTCTGCAGCTGTAATTCAGCTGGCTGTCGTTGGCCAGAGAGTATTCCGCGTCTCTAGAGCCTCAACCGCGACCATGTCAGCAACAATGTTCCGAACCACCGCAGCCCGTTCGCTGCCGCGATCCTTTCCCAGTTTGCAAGCTCCTACTCCGCGAGCCAGCCTGTACAACCACGTCCTTAAGGCCTCTTTGAGAACCTCCGCAAAGTCCGTTAGACCGTCGCAGCTTTTGGCTGTCACAATTGCGCGGCCTGTCCAAAAATCGATGGTCCGCTACGAATCCACTGCCGGGCAGAAAGCTGCTCTATTCGACATTAAGAAGGCCGAAGAGGCGATCCGCAACAAGACTCTGCAGCCGATTCCTGAGCTTGTGTCTTCATCATCGAGTGTTCGGGCGATTGCCGGCGAGGCGCAAGCTGAGGAGCATGAGCAGGATGTGGACATGATGGCAGGCATCCGGAGTGATTTTGTGCGTCACAACTACCACACTTTGTGTGTTTGAGTCGGTTGCTGACAGTAAAACAGGAGACTATCAAGGACACCTTCAGCTTGCGCGATGTTCCTCGCGAAGCGCTGTATGTCGGTCTGGCAGGTGTTATCCCTTACCTGGCTACCTCTCTTACCACAGTCTATCTTTCATTCGACATCCAATATGCCGCTACCCACGGTACTGGCTTTTTCTTGTCTGGCCAGACTGCCGAGCAGCTGTTGCACATTTTGGAACCAATTCAGCTCGGCTACGGTGCATCGGTGGGTCTCTCTTGTTATATACTTGTTTCTCGCATTATTTTGCTGACTGGCACTCTGAAGATCATCTCTTTCCTCGGTGCCATTCACTGGGGCCTTGAATGGGCCGGTTTCGGTGGATACAAGGGATACCCCAGATACTCCATGGGTATCGTTGCCACGGCTGTCGCATGGCCGACTCTCCTGCTCTCCGCAGAGGTCGGCTTGATTGCTCAATTCCTTGCCTTCACGTTCCTGTACTACAACGACGCCAGAGCGGCGGCTCGTGGCTGGGCTCCTTCGTGGTACGGAACCTACCGATTTGTCCTCACTTTCATTGTCGGGGCCAGCATTGTTGCATCCTTGATTGGCCGTGGTCAAATCGCCGACTTGGTCACTCGACCCCCTGGTCCGGCCGACCGCATGAGGGCTCTCCGTCAACAACAGCTTGAGGAGCTTGGCCCTGAGCCCGAGGCGTCTGAGCCGGAGGAAGAGGATGAGGACGAAGAATAGAGTAGCCTCACAATGCGTCAGTTCGGGGTAGTCCGGGGCAAAGGTTTGCCGGACGCTTGCAGCGTCAGTCATTGTACATACAAAGGCAGAAAATCAAGATATTGACATCTTCCTGCTTGTGCTTGGAACAGAACTCCTCGATGAACGCGAGATATCTCCGGGTCTAGAACTGTAAGACTAGACGTGCGGCCCGAATCGTCTATATGCCTCTTGACCTCCTGACCAACTAGGTAGGTACTTGTGAAGCCTTACAACCAGACCCTTGGAAGGCCGAACGGGGTCTCCACGGGACATAGTTCTTGTTCTTGTACTAAGGGCTTTTCCAACTAGTAGGCTCCTTCGGTCTGCACCGTACATAACTCTCCGCCTGCCGGATGCAGCGGCAGGTTATGTCTTTCGCAGATTGCTCGGTGATTGCAAGCCCGAAAAGCGTGTGGGATTCGGCAATCTTGCCCACTGCGGTTTCGGCAGAGTGGGAACGTCACTTTTTCCTCTGTGCGAATGACGAGTTGCATCATAGCTTCACGCCTGCTTCGCGATCACTGGCGATTCCCTGCTGTCCCCGCACCCACATCTCGTGCTAACTACTGTGGTACTGCTAACTGCTCTGTCCCAGACTCTGCCATTCCCACGAAGGAGGACACAGATGAACCCAATGCTGCTAAAATCACCGACCCAGAAATTCCTCCCATGCCTCCCGCAGTGCCAGGCGCGAGGGCCAGCTCTAGCTCCAGCTCGCGGGAGCCACTAACTTCCCATGCCCACGTTGCCTGCGACCCTGTTATATAATATCTCGTGCCGCCGCTTCTCCCTGCCCTGTTCTGCCCGCACTTTCTGAGGCTCCTCGTTCCATGCCCTTGCTATTATCCCACACAAGCAGTTGAGTATCCTTCTCTCAATACCTGGTCCAAGATGGTATGTATCCTGTCTCTCTACGAGACCTTCTCCTCTAACCGTTTCACAGGCCGGAACCGGGAACAAGACCTTCGTAGGTGCAATCGACAATGGCACGACCAGCTCGAGATTCTTGATTTTCGATCAATCTGGAACCCCAGTAGCATCGCATCAGATAGAGTTCAAGCAAATACACCCCTATTCAGGGTGAGCAGCACTCTTGCTCCGTTTCGCCTCACGGCAACGTACTAAAGCCTCCCAGGTGGCATGAACACGACCCCAATGGGCTTGTTGACACCGTCAAAGAATGCATAGATAAAGCCTGCGAAGAGTTCGAGTCTAAAGGATACTCACTCTCAGACATCAAAGCCGTTGGGATCACCAATCAACGAGAGACAACCTGCGTGTGGGATATCAGAACTGGCGAGCCACTTCACAACTGCATCGTGTGGACGGATACTCGTACGCACAGAATCGTCCATGAGTTGCAACACCGCGAAGGGGCCGATGAACTTCAGAACCTCTGCGGTCTCCCCTTATCGACGTACCCTTCATCCACTAAACTCCTCTGGTTACTCAAGCATGCCGAGAATGTGAAGAAGGTCTATGAGGAAGGTTTCCTTGGTTTCGGCACAGTGGACACTTGGCTGGTCTATAAGCTGAATGGTGGTACCAAAGCCAACGTCCACGTAACAGACCCGACGAACGCCTCGCGAACGATGTGGATGAACATCCATAAGCTTGAGTATGACGACAAGCTGATTTCCTTCTTCGGACTGGATGTTAAAACCCCTAAACTTCACCTTCCCAAGATCGTCCCATCTTCCGACCCAGAGGCCTATGGCAAGCTTGACAGCACGAAACTGAAAGGCACCAGGATCACTGGGTGCCTCGGCGACCAGTCGGCCGCCTTGGTCGGTCAGTGTGGCTTCACCCCTGGCCGGGCAAAGAACACTTACGGTACCGGCTGTTTCCTACTGTACAACGTTGGCGAGAAACCTGTGATCAGTAAGCACGGGCTGCTGGCAACTGTCGCATACGATTTCTCATCCCAGGGCATCAAACCGGTTTATGCGCTCGAAGGCTCGATCGCTGTGGCTGGATCTTCAATCAAATTCCTCATGAACAATCTGGGATTTTTCCGCGACGCGCACAAGGTATCAGAACTGGCACGAACGGTGCCAGACAATGGAGGCTGCGTTTTCGTGACAGGCTTCAGCGGCCTGTTCGCCCCCTACTGGTTCGACGATGTCCAAGGAACGATCTGGGGCCTTACGGCTTACACAGAACGGGGACACATTGCACGTGCGACATTGGAAGCCACGTGTTTCCAAACGAAAGCAATTCTCGACGCCATGGAGAAGGATGCCGGCGTCAAGCTGGCCGAGCTTGCAGTTGACGGCGGCATGAGTAATAGTGATTTGTGTATGCAGGTGAGTGTTGCATTTCCCGTCTTTTCGTTTTGCGCCAGCTTGGACCATCCAACTAATCGTCTCGTCTTGCTCAGATTCAATCCGATGTAGCCCAAATTCCCGTTGATCGACCGCGCATGCGGGAGACGACCGCGTTGGGCGCAGCTATTGCGGCCGGCTTTGCGGTGGGAGTGTGGAAGTCATTTGACGAACTGAAAGAAATCAACAAGGAAGAGCGATTCGTTTTCAAGCCCAAGATCTCCCAGAGAGCCAGTGATAAGATGTACAACAAGTGGAACAAGGCCGTGACTATGTCCAAGGGCTGGACAACTGAGGAGGATGATGAAAATGAAAGTGAAGCAGGCGATCACCCTGATGATGAAGTTTTGGAACAGACCGTTACGAAGGACGAGTATGGAAGAAGCAGAGATGATTGAGAGGTGCTTGTCCCCATTTACCGGTACCTTGGAAGGATGACCACAGGCGGATCTTAACACTCGTATCTCTGAGGTTCGGCCTTTTGCCATTCCTTTGGCAATGTCAGGGTAGCCTTCTGGCGGGCTGAGACACTCTTTCGATGCAAATGAGCCGCAGTTGGTTATCGACATATGGATAACGTGCGGATTCAATGGTTGATGAACAGAAGAGGTGGTTGTCACATTGCATTGTATTTTAGAAGTTCAAGCTGCCTCAAGGGCGGGACTTTGGACTGTGAGCGAATTATCTATTTCGATCAAGCATGTCCATTGCCCTGCTGTTTCGTGTTTTGAGTCGCCTCAAAGGATTCTATCCTAGTCTCCCAGTCTCTTCGCAGAAGCTCCATCTCCTTCCAGGCATGCGTGGCTTGTGCAATGAAATCCTCAACATCTTCTGGAGTCGCGTCCATTGCGCCCGTTTTCCGTCCCACATGGCCTGCCCACCACGTATCTCTGAACGGTCTACCGGTTCCATCAAGACCCCAGCCCTCGACGTCACTGACGCGGACCGACGACCTGCCGAGCCGATCACATGCGGAGCCCCATTTACACGGACCGGCATCCACATGGCCGGTGGCCTCGTGCGCTTTCGCCTCAATGTCGGCAGGCAGGGAAAGTGCCAACCACGTGGCGGCCGCAGCGCCCAGGTAGCTCGACACGTTGGCCCAGGGCGAGCCACACAGCCGGGCCAGAAAGATGCCGAGTTGATAGAAGTACTGGATGATCCAGTTCAAGCTGATAATGGTTGTGGTGCAGATGCCCGGATGCGACAGCAGGAAAACGGGCTCCGACAGTTCAGGCCGCGACGGCTGTGGAACGGGAGAGGAGGCAGCAAGTGACGGCGAAGGCGTGATGAAGTCCTTTACCGCCTTGGTAGTGGCAGGCTGCCCGTTGGCTGTCAAGGCGAGCAAGTCCGTCAATCGCTTCGTGTGCTCATATGCCGTCTCCGACATTAGGCCTTGATGGTCTTGCGGGTTGTAGTGACGTCGGCCACACTCGATGGAGGACGACCAGATGACCTTTCCTGGCGAGTTCGGTCCACACGCGCGAAGCAAAGGCATAAGCCAGTGGACGAGCAGGTAGTGTCCAAAGACATTGGCGCAAAACACCTCCCCCAGAACAGGCTCATCTTCTGCAGACGTCGTCGCGCGTGCGAGTTGGGGTTTCGTCACGAGGCCGACAAGACCCAACTTGTATGTCGGCCATGTCGTCGCCTGGCGTATGCCGGTTAGGATCGTCCATATGGCCACAGGCCAATTCAGGCCTGCCCATCCTCCTATGCCGGCGTTCAAGACAATCGCATCCAGATGCGGGATGTCCGACGCCAACAGTTTGCGGCTCAGTGCGCGCACCGAGAGCAGGCTCGTCAACTCGACATTCTCGGGCCGAAAATATACCCGCCGGTCAGACGCACTCTTGACCGCTGTTGTGTTTCTGTTGTTGTTGCTGCCATGCTTTGCAAGATGGCTTTCGAGTTTGGAGAGCGTCTCAGAGCCCTTTCGGGCGCTACGAGTCGTGAAAATGATCGTCAGGGCGGACCCGGACGTGTCATTCGTACTGGTACGGGAAGTGGTACTCGACGTGGAGGATGCACAGGAGCGCGTGAGGTACTCGTCAATCAAGCGGCAGCAAACACCTAGACCAAGACCGCTTCGAGCGAGAAGTGTCGTGTCAGCGATAAAATACCGGATCTAGGACATACAGGTACAATGTCAAGGCTGAGGTGGTCTGGAATGGTAACTATCGTATCTTACCTATTGGCGCCCGTCACCAACACGTACTGGTGGTGAGGAGGCATCAGTGGCCGCGGGGGATTTTCTTTTGCAGAGGACGGAACGGACTGCGCATACAAACTCACGGAGCGCTACTGTCACCGGCACATTTTGCTGGTTCGAATGGGCCAGTAACCGTTAACGGGCACAAGTTTACCAAAAGTCCAAAGTTGTCTGTATGTAGATTTACACTGTAGGTAGATTCCACTTATGACGCGTGCCAAACTTGAAGTCGGAAGAATTGTTTTCTCGTGGCGCGACTCGGATGCATGCCAAGCTGAGGTCTGGAACTTGGAGTGCCCTGCAGGGCGATGCAATGCAATGCAGTGCCACTGCCTGTGGAGGAGCTTCAAGGCGTTGGGTTTCCCAAATAATCCCTCGTAATTCCTGATACATTGCAACGAAAGGCCATGGTCCGAGATTACATTCGCTGGTTCGCCAATAATGATGGAACATGGTGGCTTGCAGGCACCATCACATTTCAACGTGAAGCAACCTCCTAACTGCATGAGTATCGTGGTCAGGCGGTCAAAACCCCCTGATGGTGTCCCTGCCTGCTCCGTCAGGTATGCAGTCCAATTCAAATCTCAGCTCTGCCGCTCTGCAACCCCGGGATTCATGGAAGTTGCATGCTAGCCTGCATGGGGCTTGCATTTCAGCTCATGCCTTGTCTTTTTACTTGGCAGCCGTGGTCGAGCCGGTGTCCACAGCGTCTAGACTGCCCGGAACTGGGGCCTTAGGGCTTGGTGACAAAAAGATTGGCGGTTTATAGAATGGTATGGGGGTGATAAACCGCCAATCCTTTTGTCACCAAGCCTAAGCCCTGCTTTGCTGGCAAGTCCGGAAGTATGTCTGAACAGATTGTGTACAAAGTATCATGGCAAGAAACGGCAGGCTCCCTGAGTTGAGCTGAGTCGCAGGATGTCCTTCGGCTATCTCACTTCCATGGGCTTTTAGCGTTACAATGCTCTTCTGTCATCAGATTGTCGGTCATCGGAGAGGATTGCATCTCTACCTAGGTACAGGCCCAAAGATTTGTGCCTTGAGGATTCTTGTAGTCCGCAGCAGGAGCCGACCATCCCCTCTACTAGTAGGGCAGATGGTGTGGTGTAACGTCAAACCTTTGCAGTTGCCTTGTACCACTGCAGGCCAGATGCACGATCTTCCCTGCCGTTCAAGTTGCTGCATCCACGTCCCGTTGCTTGACGGCCAATCATCGACCTGTATTTGGTTTCTTTTTCTGCCAACCAGATGGCGTTTCCAGTCAGCTGGGCGGCTTCATGGCCTATCGATTCAACAGAGGTAGGTGGTCGCAGTCCTTCCTAGTCGACTGGGGCAGAAGGGAGGCTTGAAGCAGCTTGTTGGCGACTCTCTACTCAGTGTCCACCGACAATTGGCGGATGGACTTCCACTGGGACAGGGTACACACCTTGCCCGGTTTCTATCCTTTATATACCTCAATCACGGGAGCAGCATGCACTTCCGCAAGGTCGGTGGAACAGGAAGTGGCCTTCAGCAACATTGCGGTTTTGTCTTGACGCGCTCGACCAGCATCTCTTCTTCTATCTAACAAAATGGCAGCTCCTCCCCCGGCAGCCCAGCCTCTCGTGGGTAGCTATGCAAACCCATGCTTACTGGAAGCAGACCTCATCAAGTTCTTCCAACAGACAACGGCCACTCGCTCGGATTGCGACGCTGTAGCAAGAGAGCTGTCGGGAGGAGATCTGTACCCAGTCGAGATCCAGGGCGTCTGCAGTTATACCGTCTACGCAGGACGCCAGTTTGAATATGTCGTCCAGTTTCGGCTGAAGTCGTTACAACTTCGCATGGAAACCGCTCGACTGGCAAAGGAACTCTATGGCTCGCTAGCGCCAGACGTCACCTTCAAAGGGGTCATTGGGACGGAAGAAGACGGGAAAGAACCACTCTTCGTCTATTTCATGACCCGAGTGACTGGTATAACATACCTGCACTTTTTATTGTTAAACGGCATGCCGTGGCATTCACCGCAGGCTGTAGCATGGCGAAGGACCCTCATCACAGATGTGGCACGGTTAGTCGGCTTCTGTTCCAACGTAGATACTCAAGGTGATACTAATGCCAACAAGGTTCTTCGCACTTACATGGAAACAGCCACAGCCGACTGAGGCAGCTTACCGAGATCAGCTGCGTCAGAAGTACCTCAGAGAGCTGCACATGCTTCTCTCGGCCTTGCCAGAGCGCTTTCACGACATCGTTCGGCATTGTATTGACTCCATAGACGCGGTATTCTCTTTACCGATGGTGCTTCCGCACCAGGACTTTCGACAGGGGAATATCATTGTTGACGAACTGACGTGCAATCTATCGGGTGTCGTCGACTGGGCCGATACCAGGATTTGTCCGTTCGGCTTGAACCTGCACCATCTCGAAGCCATCACGGGGAAGCTGCATAGAAAGTATGGCTGGGTGCGTTTCAGAGACTACGATGATCTCCAGACTGCCTTCTGGTATACCTTTCAACAAGAGGTGGGAGCCTTGAGTCAAAATACCATGGCGGCCTTGAGCTCCGCCAGAGTCATGGGCTTTTTGCTGAGCGAAGGCTTCACTGGTCGACTAGCCAACCAGCCGGAGCCTATGCCTATACGTGACGACGCCAAAGGACGCGAAAGTATAATCACCCTGGAGTCAGTCCTGTTCCGCTGATGCAGGAAGTTCGGAAATCGGAGCTTGAGCATTCTGTAGGAGCGCGAGACTGCTGGTTTGGTTTCTGCTTTTGATGAGAGTCATACTACTAGTACACAACAGGATCTCGACGCAGATGGCTGCCTAGCAGCCAGCTTGACCAGCTGCTGTCAGTACAGAAATGCAGTGATACACGAGAATGAAAGTTGGAGAGTGGACATCTCAGCAATGCCACCTGTCCAGAAGAGATTTGAAGGACACTGTGTTTTTTCCTGCATGAACACAGCAGAGTGGCAGGGGAGGGCATGATTTGATAACATAAAGTACCTTGAAAGCCACACGAGTAACAGTTCCAGTTGTCACTGCAAGTTCAAGGTCATGCCTATCGCTCCGTTCCTCCGTACAGTGAATGTTGTACAGCGTTCAAGTCGTACCTACTCCACACTGCACTCCGTGCAAAAGTTCCCTCTGACTTCATAGCCGGTATTACAGCACAGCTCTAGCTGAACGACGCATCAACAAGCCGGCTTCAAGCCACCCCACGCCAGCTTTCACCCGCATTCTCAACTTCAAGCTCTCTGACGTCCAGCTGCCACTAGCAGCCTACAACATAACAATAATAACAACATTTTCCCGGCCAGTCGATACTCTTCTATAGTTCTTCTCTTCCTCATTCCCTCGATCCGAGATCTTACGTCCCATCTACCGCATATTCTGTCTCTCACTATCCCCATAAAAGCCTGCGCTCGAAATCGTTCACACTACATGCCTGACCTTCTCGACCTGTAGTCCGGCAGGCACCAACCAGACTCCAGACCTCTCTGCTCACCTATTCATGAGTCAAGATGGCGCAGGGAGACAGTGAGAAGAAGCCGCTCGTTTCCAAGCTTCCCGGGCAGGGCAAGAAGAGAGGCAACAAACGTCAGATACCATGGCTATATGATTTGGTCCTCTGGACCATGTCCGTCTTAATTGACCTCTTCTTCCGGGAAGTACATCCTCGCGGAGCTTGGAAAATTCCAAAGAAAGGCCCCATTATCCTTGTTGCAGCGCCCCATGCAAATCAGGTATGCGGATCAAAGCGGCTTCCGGTGTCTAGGCTAACAAGACTCTAGTTCGTGGATTCATTGATTTTGATGAGGATCGTCAAGACGGAGGCCAACCGAAGAATCTCCTACCTCATAGCGGAAAAGTCCACAAAACGCAAGTTTATTGGGACTCTTTCTGCGGCCATTGGCGCCATTCCCGTCGCCAGGGCTCTGGACAAGGTCAAGCCAGCGCAGGGCAGGATTTATCTTCCGGACCCCGACCACGATCCCACTTTGGTCCGTGGTATTGGCACGGACTTCACGAATGGAGATTTCGAAGTGGGCGGCTTGATCGTCCTGCCCAAGGTTCGTGGCCAGGCTCCCAGCACGGAAATCGCAGAAATCATCTCCCCTACCGAGATCCGCCTCAAGAAGCCTTTTAAGACGCCTGAAGCTTTGGAGGCCCTTAACGCCAACGGTGCCGCTACCCAAGCGATCACGTCAGGAGAAGGCTCGGAGGAGATACAACCAGAAAACCTGGGGACCACATTCAAAGTGGCTCCCTACGTTGACAACTCAAAAGTCTACAATGCAGTTTTTGAGGAGCTCGAGGCAGGCGGCTGTATTGGTATTTTCCCAGAAGGTGGAAGTCATGACAGACCAGACTTACTCCCGCTGAAAGCCGGAGTGGCCATCATGGCACTTGGGGCCGAGGCCAAGTATCCTGGGTGCGGTGTTAAGATCATCCCCGTCGGTATGAACTACTTTCACCCACACAAATTCCGTTCAAGGGCAGTGATTGAGTTTGGCCACCCTATTGAGCTTCATCCGGACCAAGTCGAAGCATACAAGGCCGGGGACCGCAGAAATGCCGTTGGCTCACTACTCGAAACAGTGTATCAGGGCCTCATCTCCGTGACGCAAGCGTGCCCTGACTATGACACTCTGATGCTGGTTCAGGCCGCCAGGAGATTGTACAACCCCACCGGGAAGAAACTACCGTTGCCTCTTGTTGTCGAGCTCAACCGGCGCCTTGTCCAAGGCTACACAAAATACAAGGACGATCCTCGAGTAGTGGAGTTGAAAAAGGACGTCCTCGACTACAACCGTGAGCTCCGAGCCCTTGGGATTAGGGATCACCAAGTGGAATGGGGAAATCCCGCGAAACGGCCGCGATGGTATGTTTTCGGGACGTTAATTTACCGCCTAGGCGAGCTTCTGTTCATGGGTATCGGGACCCTGCCGGGCCTAGCCATGTTCTGGCCTGTCTTTGTTACCACCAAAGTCATTTCGGTCAAGAAGTCCAGAGAAGCGCTCGCCGCCTCAACAGTGAAAATCAAAGGTCGAGATGTCATCGCAACTTGGAAGCTTCTGGTCGCCATGGCGTTCGCTCCTGCGCTTTACATTTACTATACGGTTGTTGTGTCGCTGTGGTTGGCATACAATCGACGCGGCGGTTACTATACCTACCGAGTGCCCTGGTGGATGGTCGCTCGAACCTATGTGCCAGACTTTGTTCCAATGTGGCTGTTCTCGATTCTCTTTTTTATCCTATGTATCTGCGTCACTTTTGCAGCTTTGCGTATTGGAGAGATTGGAATGGACATCGTCAAATCCCTCCCACCGCTGTTTGTCGCTTTGAATCCCCGCTCATCGAGCCGGATTGTGCAGCTGCGCCAGAAGCGGGAGAGATTGTCGGCCAAGGTGACCGATGTCATCAATACCCTTGGTCCCGAAGTCTTCCCTGACTTTGATGCAAAGAGGATCGTGGCCGATCCCTTTAAGGAAGGTGCTTACCAGTCTAGTTATAAACAGATGCCGGAAGAACCAAGACTCCCTGACTCGGCTGACCCGGCAACACCAACGTCTGGCGGCTTCCAGGACGTAGGAGCTTCGTCAGCCTCGAGTCCTTTCAGCTTTCTACCGTCAAACGAGTCTTTTGGTAACATCGGCGGGTTTGGATTCTTTTCTTCGAGACCGGCGACACCAAGTGGCCGCAGCCGGAGCCGGAGCAGGAGCAGCTCCGGTGGCGGCGGCCTCACGTCTGTTCTGAAGCCATTCAGCACTTTGAGCGACAACGGAAGCCTCGATGAAGTCAGCAAGCGAATCCGAGGTGCAATGCGTGAAAGGGGTCGTAAACGGGAAAGCGAAGGTGTCGAAACAGGGACCGAGAGCAGCTGGGATATGGCCTCAGCTGGACAGATCACGCCTACGACCGAGGACGAAGAACCTAAAAAGGATCGATGATGGAGCAGATGGTCCTTGGGCTGGAGTAGTAACGAAGCATGACGAATCATGATAATATGTCCTACAGACTTGCAAAATATTGGTGCAGAGAAGTATGCACGCTCTTGGTTAAGGCCTTCATTCCTGGGTCTGGCATGGACTTCGGTACTTTGTGTCCAATAAAGGCAGTTGTGCCCTTCCATCAACGCGGCAGTGGCCCTGCTGTCCATTGCACGTAGAGGTTGAGCAGTTAAAGTAGTAATTTTGGCTCCAGGAAACTGGGAGTGGCTGAGGTGCAGCAAGCCTCCTGATTACTGCCCCTTCGATGTATGAACCCGTTCGCATGCGAGTGACGACAATCTGGCGGCTGTGATGCCGGCTACTTGCACTACTATGCCAACCGATGGCGCCAGCAGGTTGCACCGTAGTATGCATATGTCACCGCCCTTTGGGAGGGACTTTTCGTGGAGGGTGGTTGATTCCTAGACCTCAAGTGCTTGACCTGAAGTAAAGACGGGGCGACGGGCGGCACTGCTCGTTGGCAAGGCGCTTATTAGCATATCACGACAGTCAAACATCTACTGTACCAGCAATGCATCAATACAACCGACGGGTTGGAAGGAGAATTTTTTGGCAGGCACATAAGGTCGGATCCAAGGTTGTCAACAACAGCCGCAGTACTAGTAGCACGTAGCACAACAGAAACGAGACCCTGTCAAGCTGTCCACCTGTCGGGGGTGGAACTAATCGAAATTCGCGAAGGTGGGTAGCCGGTCGCTAACAAAATACCCAATTATTGCTGAACGGTCATCATCCCCAAGCCACATCAACATCATCACCACCATCATCACGTATTCAAATCAATAATAATAACAAACAGCAATGCAGTGCCCACCCCCTTACGCCGGCATTCAGTACCTCCCTACGTAAACCCAAACGCCATCCACGAATGGCGGGAATGCGTCTACCAACAATATGCCTGGCCTTGCAACCTGGACCTTGATTCCAAACAACATGCCATGCACTGGCAGTGCCCAGGCATCCATCCTTCGATCAGCCAGTGTGATTGTGGCACAAAATTAGCGAGGATCCCCAGATCGCAGCCGGCTACTATAATAACTGGTACATATCTTGGTGGATCGACTCCCCCCGGCAGCGCTACTCTCTACCGCTCCACGCTCAGATGTTCGGCCTGCGCACGATCACGACACAGGAGTTGACGAGACTGTACATACCTGTAATATAGATATTGATCTGCCCTCGAGTTGCCGACCGCCTTGAGACCTCCCGGGCTCCCTCACTCTCGAAAGTCCCACGCGACGTTGGACACACCTACCTTCACAGGATACCTCCGAAGCCTTGCAGCCTGCCCAACGTGCCTCATGGGTTCCTTGAATCAACATCACCTTGATTCCATCCGACCGCCCTACCCTCGCTCGTCCTCCTCCTCTCACACGCCCTTCCGGCTGGACGAGGGCTTCTCAGAAGAAACTGCCAGCCAAGATGAGAATGGACGAAATATGTTCGCCGCCACCGCTGCCCAGTTCTCCGATTGGGTCATGGCCCAGAACGAAGCTGCGCGGGCTGAAATTGCATACGAAGTCTTGCGGACACTTCGAACCTCACAGATTGCCGCAGTGGTAGAGCGCCTGACACCGCTTCTGCATATGGATCCGCTGGAGAAACTGCCGCCTGAGATCACCTGCGAGATCTTCTCTTACCTGGACGCTCAAACCTTGCTGACAGCCTCGCTGGCATCGCACACATGGCGTGCACGCATCATGGACCCCATGCTGTGGCAAGACCTATACAGAAGCCAAGGTTGGGGTCTCAACGCAGCTGAAATTAAGCAGTTTGAAACTAGTCATTCGGCTGCTCTCCGCCCCAACTCAAGGAAGGCACGAGGGCAATTCTCCGGGCAACCCCAGTTGAAGAAGCGCGCCACATCAGACTGGCTCGATGCAAAAGGTCGCAGAATCTCAGCGGATGTTTCTCATTGGCGGGAACAGCACGGTGTCGTCGAGGCAGATACAGACATGCGGTCCGACTCCGATGACCAGGAGATGCAGGACGCACCGGGTTCTAGTTCCCAGAGCCCGTTCCAGCGCCCGAACAAACGCCATAGTCAAGACTCGGGAGATGAAATGTATTACAGCTCTCCCATCAGAGCCGAAGACCGAGACAAGCGCAGAGAACAGCAGCCATACTCGCACGAACCTCCTTTCAGGTCAAAATTGACCGTACAAGACCCTCACGGCGCGGACCGTCTTAACTGGATGCACTTATACAAGCAGCGCCAGAAACTTGAGCAGAATTGGTTGAAGGGTCGGTATATCCCGTTCCAACTTCCCCATCCTTCTCATCCAAATGAAGCTCACACGGAATGCGTATATACGATTCAATTCTACGGAAAGTGGCTTGTGAGCGGCAGCCGCGATAAAACACTACGCATCTGGGATCTGGAGACGCGGCGCCTACGAGGGAGGCCACTGGTGGGTCACTCGCAGTCTGTACTATGCTTACAATTTGATCCCACGGAAAACGAGGATATCATCATTTCTGGAAGCAGCGACGCCAGCGTAATTGTCTGGCAGTTCTCCACTGGGAAAAAAATTCATGAGATCTCATCCGCGCACGACGAGTCGGTGTTGAATCTGAGATTCGACAAACGCTACCTGGTGACTTGCTCCAAAGACCGCCGGATCAAGATATGGAATCGTCATGCCTTGGTTGCAACCGACCCAGATTATCCGAAGATCAGCCGGGATAGCACAGCTAGGGTCCCATCTTACATCGTCAACACCAGCAATATGGAACCCTCTTTGTTGGAAGCACGCGTCGCCGATGGCGCCATTCGAGCTCTGAAGCCGTATATGCTTCTACTGACATTGGTGGGCCATGGTGCCGCCGTCAACGCTATTCAGATCAATGGCGATCTTATAGTTTCTGCCTCTGGGGACAGACTGATCAAAATTTGGAGCTCTCGAAACGGCAAACTCCTGAGAACACTACAAGGACACCAGAAAGGCATCGCCTGTGTACAATTTGATAGCAAGCGGATCGTCAGTGGCAGCAGTGACAACACTGTGAGAATTTATGATCCGTATACCGGTGCGGAGGTTGCCGAGTTAAAAGGACATACAAATCTTGTCCGGACCGTTCAGGCGGGATTCGGTGATCTTCCCGGAGCCGACGGTGAGTACAACGTCAGAGCCAGAAGGGCGGAGAGAAAGTACCTTGAGGACCTCTCCAATGGCTTGATTGTTGAAGGCAGGAATTACAGTCGCGAGCTTCGGAGAGGCGCCCATGGAACTTCACGGCTTGCCCTAGGCGCGAAACTTCCCCCAGGCGGAGGTGGCAGCAAATGGGGGCGAATCGTGTCAGGTTCTTATGATGAGTCTATCATCATTTGGCGAAAGAATTCTGGCGGCGACTGGGTTATTGGGCAAGTTCTGCGTCAGAATCCTGCCACTCGAGAAGCTCCTGCAGAGAGCAGACGGCGAGGAAGTCAACCTGCAGCGGCAACGGCGGCGAATGCTGTTGCATCCGTCTCACAACATGTCCGAAATCAGTCGGCCGCTAATGTGACGCATGGGCAGCAAGCTGCTTCTTCATCCTCCAATCAAGGCCCTGCGGGAGCCGCTCATCCAGCTGTCATGTCGGCCTCGCAGATTGTGCAACAAACCGTTGGAACTTCAATAGCCAGTTTGGGGGCTGGCATCTCAAATGTCATGGGCATTAGTCGAGTTTTAAATGCCCCCTTGCCTGAACAGAGTAACTCCAGCCGCGCAACAACCACGCAAAGTTTCAATTCGAGTCTGACCATCAGTGGCAGCTCACCACAGGCTCTCAGTCAAGCTGCGATGGCTCACACCCAGGCTGCTGTCAATCAAGCAGTCCAGCAAGCCTTAGCCCAAGCAGGACAAGGTCGACCGTCAAGTCACAACCATCCTCTTGCTCAGGGTTCAAGCCAGCATCATCACCAAGAGCCACACCACCAGACCACCGCCACTTTTCCCGCAAATGCCCTAAATCACCAGGCCAATTCTCATAATCTCCCTAATCAACCTCACCAAAACGCCCTTCCTCAACATCATCCTCCGCATGCGACACCCGGACACCAGCAGCAGCAACCCACGCACGCCGCCCAAGGCCAAGGCCACCATCAGCAGCAGCATAGCTCGGGGTCTCGTGTGTTCAAGCTACAATTCGACGCAAGACGGATCGTCTCGTGTTCGCAGGACAGTCGCATCGTGGGATGGGATTTCGCCAACGGAGATCCAGAGATCATGGAGGCATGTCGCTTCTTTGCAGGACCCTAGAATCAATCATTACATACTTTCCTAGACACCTACACGGCTTCTTACTGCCATTGCGAGGATACATTCTGATTCTGAAACCTAAATATCTCCCAATTCCTCATCGTAGCTAGCATACGTTTCGCTTCATCTCACCAAGCAAATGCCTCCTCGATAAGATCCACATCGAATCCTTTGCCAGTAGCCTTCACAACCGCTTTGCGCACATCATCGGCCATTCCACCCGGCGCACAAACCAAAACGGCCGTACAGTGACCGACATCTAGACTGGAATTGAGGACATCGGAAACCGGCATACGGCTGCCGCGTACTAATGTCTTGTCGAATGTGCGTGGCAGTGGAATGGTAGAAACATCCTTGAGACTATTACTGCCCGAACCAGCGGGAGATGTCGAACGTGGATCATCTATCGACTTGGTGACTTGGTCTTTCTCGTTCGTGTTATCAACCCGTTCAGAACCAGACGGAATGTTCTCCTGGTATTGTTTCTGTTGCTGTTGGGAGGGCAAAGACCGCGTTTCCACGCCAGTGTACCATACATTGTATTCGACTCGCTTGGCTGTATCAGAAGTTGAATCACGGTCTTCAGCATCTGCCGCGTATTCAGCTAGGATGCTGTCCACATGGCCAATAAGCCCGGCCTCTCTTGCCGACCATGCCAGAATGAATCGTGTCGTTTTGTGCATGAGCTCTGTTTTTGCACTGCTCTTTCGAGACGCAAGATAGTTCTTGACAAATCCCAACGCGAAAGTCACGCCAATGCCTCCCGCGATGCAAAGCACAGTGTCAGCAGTAATGAGCGGGTACAGGGTCTGCATGTGTCCGGCATATGGACCTTCGGTTAGAATCACAGGGCCGGAAGTGTGACTGGACCGGTGCTGTGGAACCGGGTCATCAAGATGAAGAAGGGACTTTGTAGTCCCCTGTCGCACGCGCAGCAGGAAGCGTAGATAGAATGTGCCGGTGTCGTACTTGTCCTGCTTTTCAAGAGAGTCCCTCGCCCTCTTCCAGTCGGTGATGGTATGGTCGGCAGGAGTAGCCGTGGTGATGGCCTGCGTAGTTTTGCCATGATGGACATCCTTTTCAGCCACATCGATCTCAGATGAGACCCGTTCACTGTGGTGTGGCTCTTCCACGCTCCCACCGGCGCCGTTCAAGAAACCCCAGTCGGCAATCGTGAATGGATGGCTCTCCCAAAACTTGCCCGATGCAGGGAAATACAAGAACGTATGCATCCCCGGCCGTATCGCTAGTTCCCAGTGTCGGCCAGGAAACAGCGTCAGCTGGACGATGTCTGTGTTTGGAAGTCGATGAATTTGAACTGCACGCGGGATACGTGGCGGTTGAGTTGAGTGCAATTTGACCGAGCCAGATCCGAAACCTTGTGACGATGTCCATGGCCAATTATTGAACAAGGCCACTCGTATGATCCTCAAAAGGCGATCGAACCCCCAGAACGCGAAACAAAGGTACAGCCATACCTCGTAACCCCATTGCTTGTTGTACCGCAGGTCAACATGATACCACGAGCCCACGAGGGCGAGGATGGCGAGGGCAATGTGGGTGATGAGAAAGAACTCGTACCATCCTAGCCGGACAGGCAGGACCGCCAGTCCAAGCATGATCCCGAGCGCCACTGTTGCGATAATGCCCCACCAGTAATAGGCCTTTGCGGCTTCGGCGTAGTACGATCTCGCACTTCCATTCGGATCTTCCCAGAAATAGACGACTGTGTAGACGATAGAGTGGACGATGGCTTGGACGGTAGCAATACGCGAGGCCCAGCGGTGGAGAGTTAGAAAGGTGGTTTGCGACCATCCCGTAATCCAGATCAAGATGTTGTTCCGGCCTGCGAAGAGAGTGGCAATTGCTAGATTCGCAAAGCTGAGTACACCCGTCCGATTGCCGACATAGGCAGCTACCTGTCGCCGAGTCTCGGTCCACCAGGTGTTGGGTAGAGCGAGAGGGTAGTCCACACAGCAAAAGATGACGTTGAGAACGACGTACAGTGCGATGAACAGCGACAAGGCGCGGCTAGGCATGTATCCTGCGTTATAGGGGAGCGGCATTAGGTGGCGATTCCCGAACAATGCTGGCAGGAGGACTCGTTGTTTTATCGTCTTCTTGGCCGTAGCAATGAGGTGGTCTCGAGAAGACAAGGTGGCGGGGCCTCGTGGATGTAACAATGAACCACTGTGTGAGATGATCCAGGTGTAGATTCCGACAACTAGACACACGGCCATGGTAATAAGCCAGATGATCAGACTGTCGGGTCAAGAATTAGCAAACCCTCAATGTGCCTGAAAATAACAGATGCTTTTGGATGCATATACGTGTTCAAGCTCCAACGTGGCTTGAAGGGAGGGCAAAATCGTAGTCGATTCATTGTTGGAGCATCATCTTGCACATGTCGGAAAGACCAGGGAACGTGTCAGACTTACGAATATTTTGTATGCATATCCTCCGAATACTCAAACTTCGACAAAGTATCATATGTTCTCTCCCATAGGTCGTCGTTGACGAGACTTGTCACGTTCAGCCAGACCGCGTCGTCTGCCACTTCGACAGATGGCTGTTCCAACGGAAGAGCGTCATGCAAGTTCGGCACTGGCAGGCCTCCAGCCGCTTGCTCTCCAAAACACCGGTTCTGCAGACGTTCGGAGACCCCATCTTGAGTGCACCGATCGTGCACACAGTAGGCTAAGGTCTGCAGCCATGCCGTGTCCGAAGCACGGCATTCGTCGCTCGTCATGGCCATATCGTCGCCCCCACCCATGTCCATGCGTTTGCGGAGCTTGAATCTTGACTTCACCTTCATGTCCATGGCCATACTGTTGGCACCGTCGACTTCCATCGGCATGAATGTGGTGCAGTTGAGATACAGCGATGACAGGGCATCATGGCATGCGTAACAGCACACAGGTTTGTACATGTTGATACCATAACCCACTACTCCGTGCTTTACCGTGATCGTTGCCGATGCTGGATAAGGGAGGAACGAGGATATGAGCCACAAGAGCGACAACAGCGTCGCCATGGTGGCCAGACTCGGTATGTTCAACGGCGCCGAAAAGGTTCAAGATGAGGAAGGCTTGCAAGATTGTTTGCAGTCTCTTCCGTCCGGACGGGGGATGGAGGATATCACCACACTCACATTGAGCTGGCGCAATGACAAAGTGCAAGGAATCCGAACTGAAGCCGGGAAACCATAGATTTATTAAATGTTCAACTCCTTACCTATGTCCTTGTCCTGACCAGTAGTTCCATCCTGGGACAAGGTAGCATAGGCCAAACATTCGGCAGGTGTCAAGATACTTGCTCCAGTGGTTGAGAAGTCCTACCTATGTATGGCATGCGTGAGCATATTTGCAATGCTATCTGACGACACATGGCCCGCTTGAAGGACGGGTCCTTTTCGTACCAGTACCATGAACAACCAGGACTATGTTGGCGCATCAAAGCAACGCCTTCCATTGGCCGGTAAAGCAAGACGGTCCTCTGGCCACTAGCCACGGGTCACGACACTGCGACTGGTGGACTTTACCTGGAGGACCATGCTGGGCTCGAATCATAGGAGATATAGGTCTCGTTGACCTGCCTTTCTCGCCGTTTCGTTTTCGCGGAAGGACAAGACTTACCCCTGGAAGGCTTGCATTGAAGCGGCGCAGTAGCGGCTGTGGGCCGAAGTCATGCCTGAATGAGCATAATTGCGCAAGTTTGATAGAGATGAGCAAGTATTGGCAGCGAGCGGTGTGCGCCGTCTCTAGCCCAGGGACGTTGACCCATCGTTCTTGTCCTTGACACCTGCCGTGTCATTCTTGTCTCCAGGTACTCCGTACAGATACAAGTGAATGACCCAGAAATGCATGAAGGCCTCTCCCGCAATGCAATCCTCAAATGATCCCTCTGATGAGATGATAATGCAGAATGAATGGCGTCGAGACCGCATGCAGTAGGCTGTGGACGAGATTGAGAGCTACGCACACGGGAGTTGGTACTGTAATAGCCAGACATTCGCTTTCAACAACTATGTGCTGACACTCCTGCTCAACCGTCATGAGGCGGAAAAGTTCTGCTTCTCTAAAACCTGTTTTGCATGGTTCCTCGAGCATCAGGCAATTTCCACCGAAGCCGGCGGCGGGGAAGTCGTTACCAACCGCATTGTGGGTAGAGAAGGGAATGGGAACATTCAACACCGAGTTGAACAGGAGACGCTTCGAAAATGCAGGCATCGAAGGCAAAACCCCGATGACGACGATCGTTGTGCCGTCGTAGTTTCAGGTCAGCTCGAATAATTCAAGATGGAATTTAATCTGACAGACCAGCAGATTACCTGGAGGAAGAATGGGAGCAGGAGGAGTTTGGTACTAGGTTCTGTGAGCGGATGGCGAAAAGATTCTCCTTGAGCAAGACTAGCCGAACTTGAGTACTTACCTAGGTAGGTAGCTCTGCATCACCTCTGATTACAATCAAGGTGTGCCACTGTATGACAATGCCGCGCAACGAGCGGTGCTTGCTCAATCAAGCATTTACTACAGTACGAAAAAGAGGCTCTCGGACGTCCAGGCTGGTGGCGCGCCTCACTCTGCAGGAGCAGTTCGGAAGGGGCAATAAACACGTCAATTTTTACTAGGATATGCGCAGAGCGAAAGGACAGTAGGTAGGCAGGGGCCGAACATGTCGAATCTGTTGATCTATGTCATGCCATGGAGCGTGCTGCAGATTTGTCAGTTGGTAGGCTGTTGCTAGGCCCAGAGGTGTTGTAGAACTGAGACTCTTTGGCCAGGAGATGTTTCCCGAAATCCCACAACTCGGCAAAAAGAAACGCCTTCGTTCCAGCGCCAATCCTACTTCCAGGTGCTGTAGCCCCTCTTGCTGCATAAGGTGGAGGACTGGCTTGTCCGACTGCGAGCCTTGAACCAGAAAATTGGCCCGCCCGAGACCGCCCCAAAGGATCTGGGCGCGATGCAACTCCCCGAGAAGTGTGCGAGCCCGAGAGGCGATGCTCCCGGTGATCGAGGTCGGCGAAAGTATCTCGCCATCTACCCATTCAAATAGTATTCCCCATGGGAAGCTACAGGTGGAGAGCGCCTTACTTCTTAGGTATGGAAGGTTAGATCGTTCAGAACGGTTGGCAGAAAGAGCGAATAATACTATGCGTGCTACTGTGGGAGGAATGCTCGATAGGGTTCTCCGATTTCCGACTGCTGCATGCCACACCAACTTTGCAACCAACAAGTCTGTGCCTAGCATAGTAGACGCCTTCCATGCACTTTGAGCACCCTGGAATAATGCCAGATGATAGCTGAGAGGAAAACCATGGAGTACCTGCCCAAGATTCACTCCAAAAACAGGAGGAGTCAAATGTTGATCAGTCCGCAGCGACCTACAACATCTCACCGAGCCTTTTAGATCAAGACCTGCAGGTTTATGCCTTAGGCGGAAGATACGGCATCCCCAGATCTGAACAAGAAGGCTGCTCAGCATTTTGAGAAAGTGCTACACGATGTCGACTTGACGGTCGAGGTGTTCAGTATCATTCGAAACGTTTACTCAATGACAATACCTCAAGATCGAGTGCTCCGAGATATTGTCACAGGCAAAGTATATTGTGCGATTCGGGTTGGGTTTCTGGACCAAGAGTTCATGGAAACGCTTCGTAGTGAAGGCGATGCGGACCTGCTGTCCTATATATCTAAGGAGAATTTGGAACAATACGAGGCAATCCTGGCCACCATTCAACACCCCGGCTATTGCGATGTATGTCAAGCAACTCTGGTGTTGAAACAGTGGGTGTCGAAGCGTAAGAATGTGAGTGTTAAGAAATACTGTGCGAGATGTGAGCTGATGTACCGTTGAGCATATTACTCGTTACTTACGGCGGGTTTCGCAAAGAACTGCACATGCCGCAATTATGACTGTTGCCTAGTTACCGAACTCGGTGAATCAATATGGGAATGCGTCTTTGCATTCGACGTTACGTTTGTCCGCCTGACATGTTGACGGGTCGTCACGGTCGATCAGCGGTGCATGCTAAAACTTCCCGCGTGGGTTTCGGCCTGAACCATAATAGTGGTGTCCAATAATAGTGGTGTCCAATAATAGTGGTGTCCAATAATAGTGGTGTCCAATGGTGGTGTCCAATGATGACCAGTTGGCAGTTGTTCTCTTTGTACGGGCGCTTACCATGTCATCTCTTCCGGTAACCCTGATCCAACCACTTCCCATCCTTCAATCCCCTTCGCTGCCTAGGTAGCGTCACACCCAAGATCTTTCGTCAATAAACCTTGTCTCAACACCTCTATCTGCTTCACGATCTTTCCCTAGCACAACGGCCCCGGTGTCGCGACCAGTCGATGGTTCGCGTTATGCCGCAACGATGGGCAAAAGGAAAAGAGGTCCGCAATCTATCCGTGGACAACCTAGTGGTAAGTGTTTCAGATGCACTACGACTGCGAGTAACCATGTGCAGCCAAACGCATTCGTCCCGTTCCACAAGCCCATAGCCCGACTCAACCTCGGAGAAGCGCTCGTCTGCAGAGCAAAGCAGATGCTGCGAAGCACGAGCTCGGACGACTCTTGCCATCTCCTGTCACAACCGGTTCCAATCTCGACAGTCGGTCGTTGAAGAGAAAGTGGATCGCTGCCGACGAACGCAGTTTGGAAGAACAACAAAGACGGGTTGCAGAACATTCCACCCTACGAGAGATAGAATCGGAACAACACGTCGCTCATTGGGTCCTCACAGGTTCCTGGCCCAAGAATATGCAACAGCGAGACCTCAAGATGCCCGACGCAGCTTCCAGCAAACGGCGAAGCAGCTCCAGCCACCGATCCCAAACACTCGAACGCATGGCTACTCACGGAATTTACATGGAAAGCTCCAGCTTGATCGAGAAAGACAGCAAGAACCTTTGCGAAGAACTACTGAAAGGGGAATACAATGCGGTCAAAACCTCCATCTACACCTCTGCGGAATTTGACCGAGTTCTTGACCGAGTCCGAAATCTCAATGAAGCCCGCATTCAGCGAGACGTCACACCCTGGGTTGTGCCGGCAGCTGAAGCCCTCATCATTCGAGGTGAGCTCCAGAATGACTGGATCGGCGAGGAGCTGAATAGCGAATGGGGTAGGTGTGCCACCTTAGGCAGCACAACACCCAAGCCGGATTACACGGCTGGTTTGCGGCGCGACAGCTTCACCGAAGAAGAAGCCGCGAAACTGGAGAATTACGCCACTCCCACCAGGCCATTCCACTTCACCCCCTCGCTTTGCTTCCCATTCCTCATTTGTGAAGCCAAGACGGGGGAGCGGGGTCTGAATGAAGCAGACCGACAAAACATCCACAGCGCAAGCATCGCAGTCAGAGCTCTTGTGTCACTCTACCAGGAAGCGTTCGGTAGTACTGCACCTCATCGCGTCCAGCAGCTTTTCGGCCGGGTCCTGGTGTTTACCATCTCTCACGACAACGATAGAGTGCTTCTGTATGGTCACTTCGCCGTTGCTGACCCCAAGGTGGAGGGCGGCCTCAAATTTTATCGTCACCCCATTGACCTATTCAGTCTCAGCACCAGAGGTGGTGCAGACCGGTTAAAGGCCTACAATTTTGTTGTAAATGTTTACGAAAAGTATGCAGTAGACCATCGAACAAGGATCAAGGATGCCGTGGCGCAGCTGCCAGAACTGGCCAAGCGGACCGGGCTTTCTTTTTCGGCCTCAGACCTCAACATCGATCCAGCGAATTCAACAGAAGGCTCTCGGGAGGCATTGTCCCGAGGCGGTAATGAGTTTGCTATGCCCATTGAACCTGCTAGTGTCGCACAGAGAAGAGAGACGACGAAACTGAGAGAGCAGATCGAGCGGCTTCTGCAGCAAATGGAACAGCAGAGGCAGGATGCCAAGCAGCAGATGGATCAGCAGAGACAGCAGTTTGAACAGCAGCTTCAACGGCAGAACGATATCATCGCCCTCTTGAAGGAAACAAGGAAGTCATGACATTCTCACTCTGTGCAGATACTGAAACTGTGTTGAGACATGTTTTTGCTGCACAAGCGGACCCCTCATTGTTTTCCACAAAGCTGCATCTACGAAGGCCTTTGGCCGTATCAGACCTGGTACGACGGAGTCAGGGATCAGTTATGCAGCCGGTTCCACGCGGACGTTGACCAAGGCAATTCGAGAAGTCTGGCATTGCTATTGACGGCGACGATTGAAGTTGCAACGAAAAAAATAAAGGTATGCAGAAGCTTGGGTCGAGAATAGATAAGGTGAGCGAGAAAGGATGTTTCAAAAGACCTTTTCAGACAGTTATGGGTGGCTGCAGGGAAAGGAGTCACCCGTCCACTGGATCCGCCTATATCGACATGATTTCGTGCAATCCCCCCGCCAAAGTCACAGCACGAGGCCAGCCTCTGGAGCTCATCATCAAGGCAAGACTCCTGTCGTCTTGATCCTGTAAAGTAGATTCTGACACGTAGTTGGAGCGAAACTGAATGACTTTTGCTGTCGTTGTGCTGTCGCTTCCATGCAACTGCTAGCTGGAGTTTGAGCCTCTAGAACGTCTTCTTGTGTCCGCCCTGAACTGCAGTGTCCCTCCTCCTGGGAGGAAGCACTGATGCCTAGATCCACGAAGCCAGGGACACGTATCGGGCCCTTGGGAGCGCATTCATGTCGAGATCCCTCCTTGTCCACGCTGTCACCTTCAATACCTCCTTCTTTCCGCATAATGTCTCCGCTGCCGCGTCAGCCTTCGGTGGTGGCAGACTCATGCTTTCCTCCTCATCGAAGTCTTCAGCAGACGGAAGGCTTGACAACCACTTCTTGATAGGCGTATCGGTGTCCAAAAGTGCCGGAAGCAGGCAGGCTTTCTTTGATTGTTTGGGTTCGCTTCGAGCACAGTCGAGCGACCTTGCCTTTCGTTTTCGTGTACGGTCAATATGTGGTTCATGAGAATGGGTCTGTACCGTCTTATCCGCATAATCTTCACATTTATGACTATTTTCATACGCTCACGCAATCAGGTTTCGTCGCAGACGGCTATGGAAGTTGATGGCATCGCTCGGGGGGCTGCAAGCCGTTTGGTTCTAGGTTTTCCGACATGGCGGATGATGTGAGTCAATACTCGGAAACGCGGCGAAGGTTGTGAGTACGCTCGCTCTTTTCGCGCTGCACGCCGTGTTGTTTGTCTAATGTGCGTTAGTAATCCAGCATTCTTGTGTGTCAAGAGTCATATCTATATATACTATAAGATAGCGAAAAGGATATCGTATGGAGGGTAGCGAGTTCGTTATTAATGTCGTCGGCGTATATTGGTAAGATCGACGACGAGGTGCCTATCTTAATTAGGCAAGTATAGCGGGCTTCTATTCACGTAGGGTTCTTGGCAGTGGGGCATCGGCGCCGTCTGCTTACAACACATGAGCATGCGTGTGGTTCAACTCTGAACTACCGGATAATCAGGGGACTTTGCATTCTGATGGCGGAAGAAGCTTGGCGTCGTCGGCGATCGCTGTGACTGGCGCCGGAAACGTAAGGACACGTTCGCAAAAGCATAGAACTTGTCGACTCAGCCTGGAACGGACGACATCTACTTCTTCATGCGTGTCTACCGCATCATAGTCACGTCGAAGCTCTCATCCCCCAGTCGTTGACATCGTTTGCAGCAGCCATGGCTACTACCGACGACGCGCTCGAGACGTACACTCACCTCCCCCTCCGGATTGATCCTCAAACAAAACAAGTGTCTGTTCTTTCTTCAGACAAGACCTTACAAGAAGCAGTGGCCAATGTCAACAGCCTACACAGTGCTATGAAGTCGCTCGAAACGCCGAACAATGTCCCACCGCCGCCGCTACCCGTCAACCCGAAACGATCGGGGAATATCCAGAAACTGAGAGAGTCTGCCGCAGCTTCGTCCCGCAAAGGCCAACATACAGATGCGATACGACTACTTGGTGTCGCCATTGATATGGCTGCTGCGCGGCCAGGCTGGGAACCTTTTGGGTTGGCTAGAGAGGAACTCGCTCTGATGTATCTGTCTCGCGCGGCAGCCCATACTGGCCTTCAAAACTGGGTAGAAGGTCTGAAAGACGCGGAATGCAGCCTGGAATGCAAGAGAGGGCCCAGCAATGGCCCCAATGGAGAGAAAATCCCTGGAAACCCCAAAGCATACATTGTAGGAGGCAAGTGCTTGATGGAGATGGGCCGATGGAATGATGCCGTTGAGTGGCTCGAGCGAGCAACCGAAATCGAGGGCAAGGATGGTGAAGACGGGCGCGAGCTGATGCGGCAGCTGATTGAGGCGAGAAGCCATGTTCAAGCCAAGGTCTGAAGTCGATTCGTGCACATGGACCATTTGCAACTATTGCCCTGCGGTAACTAATGGGAGGATGAAATACGATCATGCTGTACTTTCACGATGGATGACGCCTTCAGACCTCTGGGCTAGCTGCTGTAGCCGCAATTACAGGGAGGGTCAGGAACGCAAGATCCCAGAAGTTCTATGTGCTATGGCAGCATTGGCAGGACACTGTCAAGCTATGTGGCAGTACACTTACTTCGCCCCAAATGCTGCCGACATCTTTTGGCGCCAGAAATCCATCTGCAGTCGCAGAGACCACAGCGCTCCACCACGTAGGTGAAGCGTGTGATCCTGTATCCTAATGAGCAGAACATCGAAAGCTAGGTGCGAAGGACTGTTTGGATGCGGACACCGCAGGCAATACCAGCCTGTGCCACTGTTCAAGGAAGTGGTGTCAGTGCCTTGAAACCGTGGCATGGCTGCGTGCCATGTGCACAACCTTGTGCGGATATGTCGGGTGCAACTGGCATGCAAGCTCGACACGTTGCAATGTTAGAGGACAGTCAAAGCAGAGCAATTTCTCAATGAAGTGCCCGTGATGAAGTTCTGCCATCTGGATAGGTGGCTACCGAGGGTTGACCGGGCATGAACGTTTTAGTGCCAGCGTCCACTGAGATAGCCACTGAACTGCAGGGTTACAGGAACCCAACCATCCTGCCAGCGGTGGTGCAGGTGTCTCTTCAGAATCGTATCTGAAAGCTTGAGGCAGCGCCAGGACCAGTCCCATTGCAGTGGCCGACTCCTGTGCCTGTGATGCAGCTTGAATGCAAACAAACGAGCCGGCGATTGCGAGTGAATCCTGCACTCCTGTCAGTTGAGAATGCCACCGCTGGTACCTGACCCTCTGTGCGCCATCTTGTCTTGTTGAACCAACTTCATAGTATTCTCGCCTCCATGGCTGTGGTATTACATTGCTGCTTCGTGGTGCTAAGGCTCAGTGTTGGCTTTGGGTTGTTTTGGGCTGGTGTCATTGTACCAGTATCAACACATGAAACCGTATAGCTTGTTTCCCGCTGCAGTGGCTCTCACAAGATTCGTGTCTGGCAGAAATTAGGTGTTATACTGAATCCTTTTCAGCCTCCTTATATTCATTGCGGGTGCTGTGTTTGTTTGCTTGAAGGGCAATCCTGCCGACGTAGAAAACGCGTAGGTCCATACACCGGATTAATTTCATGCCGGTCTTTGCGCCTCTGGCTCTTTGATGCGCCAACCCCTTTCGATGCCATCGGAAGTCAGCAGTGAAGCCAACGCCACACCAGGATTCGAATGAGATACATGTAGGATGCTAGAGCCATGCAGTGGTTGACAACAGTAATCATGCATTGCAGATCGTGTCCGTTGTGTAGTCGCTTCACAATGCCCAAGCAATTGTGTCCGTGAGGCTACTCATCACATAAGCCTGCGCACTAAACCACCATCTCCTCAGCGAACCCGCGGTGCTGGAACTGGCTTCTTCCCATTCAAGCGATATGGGTGGCGATGGCGGTTTGGATGACGAGGCTTTGCTTGAGAGGGTCACCGCTGCGTTCGAGCCGTATCTCACCAACCACCACAGCCAGACTAATGTGCGACAGCTGTTACGAGGCTACATCGGCGCGCAGATCAAGACGGGCAGTTCAAACGATGGCCCTGCCGGGGAGGGTGTGCTCAAGGGTGCGCGAGCTGAGTATATTGATGCGGTCAGAAGCAATCGCGCCGCAAAAGAGCGATTTGACTCTGCCCTCCTTCGTTTAGACCCTGAGGGAGCTCGGACGGATGCCAACAAAACTGAAGAATCAACGATTGCTGGGTCAACTTCTACCTCAGTCATCGATCAACATGTCGAACTCTTGCAGCTCCAGAATCAACATGCAGCACTGGTGACGCTCCGTGATAAACTGGATGACATCAAGCATGCTCGCGCTTCCGCAAGGCTCGAGGCCCCCTCACGAGCGGCCGCAACAATGTCCTCGCAAACATACAAGCGGGAGCTCCTCGACTTGAAACATATCCGAACGGGACGGGTAGACTCGCTCCAGCAGGCGATCAGGACACTCGAGAGGGCAGTCGTTGAAGCTCACCGGCGCGCTACGCTTGAGCGGAACCTCCTCGAGAAGGTGAAGGCAGACAGTCATGACCTGTCGAATGCTTCACATCCCGATGGCACTACGACCTCGCGGCGGCGGCTTCATTCCCTGGCTGCGACCAAGAGCGAGCTGACTGCCTGGCTGGAGGAGAATCTGGAAATATGCCAGAGCCTTACTGCCGAGGAAATCCATGCAAACGACAACGGGCATGAGCATGAGGTCAGTGAAATCAACCTGGAAGAATGGGAACGACAGGTCGAAGACGAGTATGAGCGTTACCTTGCGGCACGGAAGAGGCTACTTTTGGCGCTGGGCTCTCTGAAGCGGCCTCTCCCGGATCAACCAAACGCAGATGCTCACACTACCAACAATGCTGGACAGATCATGCTACAGGATCCACCGACGGTGAGACAACCTGCCAAAATGGGAATCTCGAATATAGTCGAACAAAGGCTGCTGCCGGTGTTACAACAGCAGAACGCTACGCAAACCTACCTCGCTTTTGCAAGGGAGCAGCACGAAGAGGAACTCAGGCAGACAATCAATATGCTTGAGCGACTTGGTGACGAGAGCCAGATTCTGTTGGCTTACCCACTACTGGCTCGGTCAGGACGATTTGAACACGCCAAGTCGATCTTTAGAAAACGAATGTCACCGGCGGACGAAGCGGAACAAGACGAAATAACGAGACGAATCGAGCCCTGGCTCTTTGCAGCGGATGCGGCAGACACTGCATCCTCGAGCACCATAGAAACACAACTTAAGGAGAGCAAAGAATCGATGGAACATGTTTCTGGAAGCCTTGCTGAATTAGGACTTCTACATGAGGTTAATGGCTAGCTAACAAGACTTTCGGACATGGCTGCCGGTGAGCGAACCCTTTTTACACTGGTCCATTGTCGCCTGACATGGATCACTGCTTCTTGTTCTGCGCAAAGAAGAAATTGGCACCCACAACAGTCAAGTCGTTCTCTTTGGCCCAGTCTCTCACACCATGTCGAGGCTTGCCGTAGCCCCAATGTTTCCTACCGGAGGGAGCTTTGAGGTTGGAGGTGTCTCCTTCGAGCAAGACGAACACATATCGATGTGGACCTGTCTTGGGCGGTGGGCCCGGGGGCAGGTACTCTTCCAGCTCTCCTGGCTTAGCTTTGAGTAGCTGAATCGGTGGCTCCGGGATTGGTGTGGTTAAATTGGTCAAGATCCAATGGCACATCTCGGACCAGATCGGGTTGTCGCGAGACTTTGCATCAGGATCTGTGAGCACAAGAGTGAAAGTCGAATTTTTGGCGTTGGTGGACGCAACCTCAAGGGAGTGGAACGTGAATACTGGACGCTCTGAGACCGCCTCCACAGGAATGTCATTTCCGAGAAGGACCGTTTCGTGGGACTTGGGGTAGGTGATGTCCAGGTAGTAGGATGGCTCAAAGTCGTCAAGGACGTCCCCGATCACATCGTTGGCGATCAATGTGTCTCTGATGGTGGACGCAAGGGAATAGTCCTGATGGAACACGATTTGTTCAGTTGGATGAGTTGGCCTGGGTGTTCCTCGACTGGCCCAGAGAAGGCCGGATAGGGCGACGACGCTTGCCGTAAGATGCATGATAAAGGGTGTGAGAGAATAGTGTAGTAGATGAGTTCTTCCGATCTACTTCCGGAGATGGTTGAAGAAGTTTGGAAACGAGGGAAGATGGGTGATATATGTCTTCCAGCACTCACCGTGTCGTAATAAGACCCCGCGGGACAAACGAGGCTGCAAGGAACCTACCGTGGCTAGCACATCCAGCTATACTGTAGTCGTGGTTGATGTGCATCTGGTCCGACGAGCAACGACGTCAGAAACCCAAGATACCTTTTGCCGTGTAGTGGTTGGAGGATCGGAAATGGCACGTCTGACAAGCCGCGGCCTGGACTGGATTTGCCCCTGTCACAGCTGTCACACAAATTCATTTTGTGCCTGCGCCCCCAACAGCCAACAAGCCAGTCAGCGGCCGCCAGTCGCCGCCTCGCCGCCGCCCGAGTTTCGCGTTTCGCTCTACAACTACAACCTGCAGTCTGAACAACTCTCACACTCCAGCTCGGATCCCGGTGGTAAATATGTGCTTGCAGGAGGCCATCTGATCAATCAACTCGCACCCTTTGTACTATTTCCTTTTCTCTTCTTGTACTCTACTTCCCGGAGACCAGTCTCGTTGTGTATCACGTCCGTTGTATTCGAAAGCACCGCAGCTCGTGCTCCTTTCATCATCCTGCCAACTTTTACCATTTGCACTCATCTTCGCAATAGCAATCACGACCGCCTACGATGACCACCCTCGGCGATGACCTCCTGCGTACCGTCAACAAGCTCCAGGACCTTGTCTTTAACACCATCGGCAATGACTCCCTCGATTTGCCTCAGATAGTCGTGGTCGGCTCCCAATCGTCCGGGAAGTCGTCGGTCCTTGAAAACATTGTCGGCAGAGACTTTCTTCCTCGAGGGAGTGGCATTGTCACTCGTCGGCCGCTGATCTTGCAGCTGATCAATATCCCCCCGGATGAGGATGATGCCACTAACGATGGCGACGAAATCCATGTCCCCCATACTGCGGCCAGCGTGGCCGAACATGGAGAATGGGCCGAGTTCCATCATCTTCCCGGCCGCAAGTTCACGGACTTCAATCAAGTTCGTGCCGAGATTGAAAACGAGACTGCGCGAATTGCCGGTAACAATAAGGGCATCAATCGCCAACCCATCAACCTCAAAATATTCTCTCCGCATGTCCTGAATTTGACCTTGGTTGATTTGCCTGGATTAACCAAGGTCCCTATCGGCGATCAACCGTCCGACATCGAAAAGCAGACACGGACCCTTATCTCAGAGTATATTGCGAAACCGAACAGCATCATCCTCGCCGTCTCCCCCGCGAACGTCGATATTGTTAACTCGGAGGCGCTCAAGCTCGCGCGTCATGTGGATCCTCTGGGAAGAAGAACGATCGGTGTCCTCACAAAGCTGGATTTGATGGATCATGGCACAAATGCCCTGGATATCCTGTCCGGTCGTGTATACCCTCTCAAGCTTGGATTTATTGGTGTCGTCAACCGATCCCAACAAGACATTCAGACCAATAAGCCCATGTCAGAGGCTCTCAAAGCAGAGGCGGAATTCTTCAGGCACCATCCTGCATACCGGAATATGGCTAACAGATGCGGGACACAATATCTGGCAAAGACCCTGAATACGACGCTGATGGCACATATTCGAGATCGGCTGCCGGACATCAAGGCTAGATTAAACACATTGATGGGACAAACACAACAAGAGCTCGCCAGCTACGGTAGCAAACAATTCAGTGGCAAAGAGCACCGTGGCTCGTTGATCCTTCAGTTGATGACGCGCTTTGCCAACTCCTTCATCTCGTCCATCGACGGGACATCCTCGGAAATATCAACCAAAGAACTTTGTGGAGGCGCTCGGATATACTACATATTCAACTCGGTCTTTGGCAATTCGTTAGAGACGATTGATCCTACGCACAATCTTTCGGTTTTGGATATCCGCACGGCGATTCGCAACTCAACTGGGCCCCGGCCGAGTCTTTTCGTTCCTGAACTGGCCTTTGACCTGCTGGTGAAGCCTCAAATCAAACTGCTGGAAATCCCAAGTCAACGCTGTGTCGAGCTGGTATATGAAGAATTGATCAAGATCTGCCATACTTGCGGGTCGCAGGAACTGTCCAGATTCCCCAGACTGCAGGGTAAACTCATCGAAGTCGTGTCGGACTTGCTCAGAGAACGTTTGGGACCGTGCTCCAATTATGTTGAGTCATTGATCTCCATTCAAAGAGCCTACATCAACACAAACCATCCAAACTTCCTTGGTGCCGCCGCGGCGATGTCTTCTGTTATTGCCAGCAAGAACGAGAAGGACAAGCGAGCAGCACAGGAAGCCGAAAAGCGAAAACGGGAGAAGCAAAAGTTGAAGCAACTGGGCGCCAATGGTACTGCCACACCAGACGAGGAGGACGCAGAGCAAGAGGACAAAACGGCAACACTTCCCATCAGAAAACATCCGGCTGTTGCTCGAAGCATGTCTCCTGCCGTGTCGCGAGATCGGGAAAACGGCTTGGGCAGTATCTCAGTGGCAGCAGGAAATCAGGGCAATGCCAGAGATTCCTTCCTGAACTACTTTTTCGGAAAAGATGGAGGATTACCCTCTACTGCGCCATCTGTGCCACCGTCAACATCCACACAACATCGACACCCCAGTCAAAACATCGAAGCCAGCTTTTCTCAAAGCATGCGGCGAATGGAGAGAGGCAGCTTTGCGGACCGCACACCTGCCTCTGCCTTTCCTCCGCCAATGGCTGATGAATATGCCGCCTCCGAATACGGCGAATCGAATTCTCTTTTCGTAAGTTATTCACTAATCGTGTTCCCGTGGTCAATTCATACTAACAGAAAAATTTCAGCCCGAGCAATCCGCCGAACCCGTGCTGTCGGATCGTGAAGCGCTCGAGACCGAGCTCATTCGACGCCTGATCAGCTCTTACTTCAACATCGTTCGGGAGACCATCGCCGATCAGGTCCCCAAGGCCATCATGCACCTCCTCGTCAACCATAGCAGGGATGAGGTCCAGAACCGGCTGGTTTCGGAGCTTTATAAGGAGGAGTTGTTCGGCGAGCTCCTATACGAAGACGACGGAATCAAGAAGGAACGTGAAAAATGCGAGAAGTTGCTGGCCACATACAAAGAGGCCGCCAAGATCGTTGGAGAGGTCTTGTAGGTATTCGACATCTTGTAATACATGATTGGTTGGGACGGGAAAGAACGAAAGGGTTTGCGTGTACTGGCATCGTCGCCCTGAAGAACACATCAAAGAGCAGACCAGGTTCATTTACTGGAATTCGCGAAAACCCTCCTTCTCTCCTTACAGCTCCACTTTTCGGCGGCCCTTGATGTGCATGGTGGAAGCAATGAGAAGATTTGGTCTCGACTCAGTTTCGGCCTTTGGTCCCAGGCCTTGTGTATATAAAGAAGCACATTGTACAGTGACATCGGGGTACGACATTTGTGTATGCCTTTCCTTCTGGCACGGGGCATGGTCCTGGAACAATCCTATTGAGCCCAGTTCTTGGACGTTATGCCGAACTTTCTGCTGTCGTCTTTAGGATAGCTGACTGATTGATATCCTCTGGACCATGGAAAGCTTCGGCTGACCAAGCATGCTGTTTATCTTGACAGTCACTCGGGACCAGTATCTATGTATGGATTTGTATCTTGGTCTCGGGGTTCGCAGTAGGTAAATGGTATATGTGAGTAACTGGTCGATCCCTAGAGAGCCTTTTGCCCCTGTGTTCTTCTTAGGACGCGAATGAGACAACAAGTACTTTGGCGAGTACCTAGGTGTGCAGTTCTGCTGGGTTGTGTTCGGTCCAACAACTTTCCGTCCCACTAAATAAAACATACCAACTTTAAGAATCCGGCCTCGGAGAGTCGGACATGATTCGATTGATTCCACAAGGCTTTACCTATAGCCTCGATGGCGGCGGGTCAATACTCACGCGGCCATAGCTGTACCCTTTGTCAATCCAAGCTACGCCGATAGATCCGATACTATAAAAGAATACTCGGAGTGTATCTGGATTCAGGTCTCCTGTTGCAATTGGTTTACATTGCATTTCAACCGGGTATAACCAGAAAGGCCCAAGCATACAACACTTTGATCATTCCACCACTGCAGGTTTCAATACTATTTATTACCGAGTGAGTGACTGAGTCAGTAACTTGGGGAGGTAGTGGGAGTCCATTTGGCAAAGCTCTCATTCCGTACCGGCTTGTTTCGAAGAAGAACAAAAAAAACCATGTCTTGGTTTCGATCTCGTCGAGTCCTGGGTGGACTGGCTCTCACAACCCTGGGCATTGGATACGGCACGCATCTGTACCTGAACTCGCTGGAGCGTCGATACCCGGCACTCCCACCGGAAACGACAACATCTAAAATCCTTCGGGTTCCAGATGATCCCAAGACGCAACGGTGCGCTTATGTGGATGTCTTTGCGGCGCGCGTGCCGCTGCGGAAGCTGTTGCAGTCCGACAACAGCAACGGCTTCGAGTCTACGTCGAGCAGCAACAGTACGCACCAAGATCTCGCGCTACTATGGGCCCAGCGGTTCCTAGACAGCCGAATCATGCGCATGGAACGCGACTACTTTGGTCTGCCTCGACTCAATCCCGCCAACTCCGAAGAACTACGCGATGCAAAAGAGGGCGACTGGCGTCTCGGCGAGGTGCGAGTAGTTAGAAGAAGCTCTGAAGCCGACGCCGACGCCGAAGGCAGTCTGTTGCTGCAGCGGCCGTCGAAGACGTCCACGTCCACGTCCACTTCCAGTCCCAACAACCGTGTCAAAGCCGTCCTCTTCTGCTGGCGCATGCCGGACGATCCACGGCTGTTCTTCGAGAAACTCGCTGCTTGGGGATACCCGTGGCGACTGATGTCTGGTGGACGCCATGAGTTGAATGTCGAATTGCTTGAGCCTACTGCCGACGACAACGGGGAAGAAGCAATGGTCGAGGTGCGGTTTGCTGCGGCCCACGATTACCACATTGTTCCGGCCGAGGGGGACCGTCAGAAGATCATCCCGGGTTGGGTGATGAGGTTGCATAGGGGGTTTGGGAGGTTTGTGCTGGATCAAGTTGTGAAGGAGTTATGATTGTAACAAGGTTGATATCGAGTTCGGTCAGTCTATACAACCAGATCAGTAGTGGGGTGAAGTCTAGATGCGGTCCCTTGGAGTTTTGCATCTGCTATCGCAAGGGAATGGGTATACCCGGTATATTCTGCGTTTCATATAGCTATAGTTTTGGAGTTCGTAGAGTGCAAAGACTTCGTTTCAAGTGAGCTTTATTAACGGGTATAATAAACTTGCGTCTGGTCTGGAAGGTTGAACCCCATCGTACGTTACAGTCAAAAAAAAAAGAGCGAGGGCAACGGACTTGCATGTCAGGAGGTTCATTGCTGCGACTACAAGGGCATAGGGTGGACAGTCAGCCAGCCATCTTGGAGTTGCTCTATGTACACAATCTTTTCGGCATTGCCTTCAACCTTGCCCATCTGCCCTGCTCTGCACAAGGACGCCATAGCATTCATGCGCGGTCACTTGTTCAGGTTGGCGACAGTCCTCCCAGACTTGGGCAGCAGGTTTTGAATCAACCACCACGTCCAGGACGGCCAGAGCAATGAGCATGCCATTTGAGACCTCACATGGGCTATCGCCAGAAGGCAAATCCGAACGTTGACACTGTGGACGCCGGTCGGGACTTGCTACCTCCCCCACCCCAGCCGACCCCCAGTGGTGCTTCGAAATGCATTCACCGTTACCTCGTCCGTGATTAATCAGCCCCTCCTCCAGTGGCTGCGTCGCTCTTGGTGGCTTCGGCGGTGGCGGCCTTACCATACCCCCTAGCAGGGAAAGTATGGCATCAGGGCCATGGGTTCCCACCCCGTAGTCGTGTCACATATGCGTCATGGAGCACTCGCCATCACCCAGAAGTAAAGATGGCGGCGATCAGCTCCCCTCCAGGAGGTTGCAGCTTGGGATCGGGAGCTTGCAGTGGGCGGACACCCAAGACCACGACGATCTTTTGACACATTCTTGGAGGAGCAGAAGGTGCTTGCATGGATGGCAGATGGGATGAAGCAGTCACCATAGGCTGGGTCATTTTGCTCCAATCTGCTTGACGCACCTTTCGTAACCTCCTGGGCTTGCGATGATGTAAGGCGTGATCATAGGCGCAGCCGTGGCCACCGACTTACTGCCCCTCAACAGCCGCACCATATCCTTCCGTTTGAATCCTGTTGCGTTAGACGCATGTGAGAATGAGTCCATCATGTCTGCATGTGGCTTGACATTGACCTCGTAGTTAGAAGCCCTAGCCATGGAAGTCATGACCATTCACTTTGAGATCTTTGGCCGTCATGGAGCCACGAGCCTCGTATGCAGAAATGCGGTATAGTGGGAGGATACATGGTTCCAGATTGCAGCTGTAGACCTAGGGGATACAGGAACAGACATTTCTGGTCTGTGTCAGACGTCTCATAAGAGCAGGGGGAGGGGAAATGCGAGCTAAGTGTAGACAGTAGGACCCTGCGGGAGAAAGGCCAGGTTCGCCAATTTGCTTTTGGCGAATTCACTCCGAATCAGGCTGATCAGGTCGAATATCCGCGCGTCGATGTCAGGCTCCAGAATTGCAAGACCATTGATTGAGCACTGTATCCTGTGATCAGCTGCCTGGTATGGTTGCAGAAGGGCGCACAAGTGCGGATGAGCATTGCGGATCTGCACTTGAAGCGCACAGGATCCCGCCATTTGTTCAGCCTTCTGTGCCAGGCACCTAGATGCCAGGCTATGTCTGAGAGTTGGTGGGATGGCGAACGTACCGCAGAATGCGCCTCAACGGAAGTCCGAGCAAGGAGAGGCCATGTAAGGGAGGGCAACGGGTCGTAGGCGCGACAATGTCGGGCGCGATACCTTGGAAGGGGGCTGTTTGAGGAGCATTGAGGGCGACCAGTCAACCAAGCCCCTGCGAAGTGGATGGGCTCGCTTGTGCTCACCGTATTTCCAGAGCAAGGCTGCAATGTCCTTGATCACTTTGCCACTGAAGGGATTGACAAAAGCCACGCACTGTAGGCTATGGCTAGGAAAGGCCCGTCAAAGTGTGGGCGCTTGTGGCAAGCCTGTAGCCATCGTCGAGATGTACACCATCGGGACAAACCGAGTCGTGAGCAATGCCCTGGTGAGCGCCATCTTGAAAAGGTTCAAGCATGGGGGGAAAGGCAAACATACTGTACTTTCCGAGCGTAAATGATGAAGGGTTGAAACGGCTAAGGACAGGCCACACATGCACATTGACAGGCGAAAGAGACAATAGCTGAACCCCCTTCATCACTATCACAGTGGCTGTACAGGGATTGGAAAAGCTGACTCTTGTTCAAGTTTTGCCGCAACAAGGTGAAAGGTTGCTTTCTTGTCGAAGCCTGATCCATGCATGTCCGGTAGTAGTAGGTCCCAACTTGCACTGGCACTGCTTGACAGTCCCAGGTCGACGTGGGATGGCAACACTCTAGGCACAGTGGCGCTCTGAGTGCATAAGTAGACAAAGGGGTGTTGACCCTTGTGCGAGATCTCATTGGCCTCAACCAGGCGAAAGGCGGATGCACAAGATACATCCCCGGGAGGGAAAAGGCGTTGACAGGAGGCATAGTTCAGCCCATTCAATATTGTCTGGCAGAGGTGGTGTCGAGATGGACGCTATCGGGGTGACGAGACGTGGGTGCAGTGGCACTTGACAGTTTCCATCTGTCAGAGTCTCAGTCTCAAGAGTCCCAGAGTCTCATCGTCCCATCTGTTGGCTGGAACTCATCCTAAGATATTGTTCGGACATCTCAATTGCCTTCCGGCGTCTCCCTACCACGCCACCCCGGATTGGGCGAAAGCTGAGCGGTCCGGTCCCTCTACCGTAGATCGAGATTTGACAACCCCCGCTGCTGCCGAAGAACGCCAGCCGTTCCGAAAGGTAGCTAAGGATGTAGGCGCTGCTGGTAAGCACCAGGCCAGCCCTGTCAGTACCACTAGTTCTACTCGTCTGAGGGTCGATAGTCGAAAAATCCACCCTAGATACGCGACAACCTGGGCCTCCCTAGTCCTGTCGCTTCGCCTGTCCTTCTGCTCCTTGGAATGCGCGGGTAGGCAAAGACAGTTCGTCGGGCTAAGGGTCCGTGTGTTAAGACTGGCGCTGCTCCCACCTCGTGCTCACTACTGCCCATCAATATGGTCCTTATTGCTTCCAAGTAGTACTGTACTCGTCAGTTACAGCCGCTTTACTTCGCAGGAAGGAGATGGCCTCTCCACAGAACACCCCCGAAGTCGACGATACGGACGCCGAGTCCAGTGCCAGCGACTCCGGCTACAGTGACGCAGCCTGCTCGACCGAATCAGTCACCCCGAGCGTATATGCCTTTGAAGAACGGCATGGCCGCACGTATCACGCCTACCATGCTGGCAAATACATGCTGCCCAACGACGAGGGCGAGCAAAAGAGGCTCGACCTGCAGTACCATGCCCTGCGTGCAGTCATCGGAGACCGGATCACCTACGCACCCATTGTCAATCCCAACGGCATTCTGGATATAGGCACAGGAACGGGGATTTGGGCAATCAACGCGGCCGATGCGTACCCTGAAGCACTGGTGATAGGCACCGACCTGTCGCCGATCCAACCGCGCTGGGTGCCGCCGAATTTGCAATTCGAGGTCTCCGACATGGACGAGCCGTGGGCTTTTAGCCCAGAACGATTTGACCTAATCCACACGCGGATCATGAACGGATTCGGCGTCAGCAGTTGGCCACACTTCTACCGACAAGCCTTCCTCTGTCTGAGCCCTGGAGGGTGGGTGGAAAACCAAGAAATCGACTTCCAGTTCAGATCCGACGACGATTCGCTCCCGCAAAACAGCTTCATGGTCGAATGGGCCCGGTTGTGGAATCATGCTTGCGAAATAAGGGGGGAAACGGCCAGATGCGATCCTTACCGACTCAAAGCTCAGATGGAGGAAGAAGGCTTCATCAATACGCATATCGTCTCGTCCAAAATGCCCATTGGGCCATGGGCCATGGATCCCATGCTCAAACAAGTCGGTAGCTGGAGCCATGAAGCCCTGTATACTGGTGTATATGGCATGAGTGTGGCGCTGTTCAAAGAGACCCTTGGATGGAATGAGACACAGCTGAATCATTTTCTAGAGGGGTTCCGTCAGGAATTGACCAGAGAATCTATCCATGCATATTGGACGACGTGAGTGGCACGGCGCATTTTGTCCTTTTGTTCAGTTGTTGATGTCCTGATCACAATGAAGCAACCTGCTGATAAACATGTCCAGGTATATCGTACTTGGTCAGAAGCCTCCTTGAACCAAGGCCGGCCGTATATCCGGAGCGAGCGGCCGATAATTTTCCTGTTTTGAGTATGGCCTTGTCCAGGGCCCAGTATGAAGAAGAGGTACCAACATGCAAACATATGAGGGTGCATGGGACATGCTCAATTTCGGAGAAGTATGATGAAGACTTTAGTTATCAAGCCGTCCTCGCAAACGGCTGGGCATGAAGAGACGAAAGGCTGGGGTCAGCAGGAGCCTGTGGATGTTTGTCTGAGCAATGGAATAGTCGAAAAATTGCGGGAAAGGCCAGTTGCGAATTTGGTTGATTGGAATGGATTTGCAGAACTTGTAATAGTACTTCAGAAGAGGCAGCGGCCATTTTCCTTTCCTTGTTGTCAGGTTGCTTCCTCATTATAAGCTTTTGCCCGCTCAATGAATAACCACGGCTGCGGAATATTGACTGTCACTTTCCATCCAGGCTAGCATGGTTGTCGTTCTTGAATCATGGCATCCGCGGCGGCAGATGCTGTGAGTGAAAGCGTGTGAAGCGGCCTGCCATCAAGTTTGAAAGGGCTGATTACATAAAGACACTTTGCGTGAATGTGTGCTATCGGCGTTTGCGTCACATTGGCCGATTGGAGAATCCCTGGATGGGGGACTGGACTGGACTGGGGGGAGGATACTAAGGTATCTACCATCTACAGTGCGCGCGCAATCCATTGCTGCGCTGCTCATCTGCGCTGTGTCGTCTGTCTTCTCATGCACATTTTCCATCCCCTCTTTCTCAGCGCTCCGCGTGTTCTTTTCTTATTGTGCACAATGTTTTGACAATATCTGACTATTGGAACCTGAGTGACATGCCGAGTACTTGTTGTGACGCCGTCTGCTGAGTTTCTGCACCCATCCCCTCCCGCCAGCCGCCCCCGATCGCACACCACTTGGACAGCTTCTTGTCCCTCGTTCCCCTTCGGAACCATAGATCCTCATGTCCACCAGCACAATGACTACAACTCTGGGCACTTCGAATGTCCGCGGCGGCGGCCCATCGCGCCAAACTCGGGTCAATCCCAAACGAGTCACAAGAGGCTTCGGCTCCGGCCCGCCGCGTTACAACTCCCTAACCAGCGCCAGTGGTCTTCCTCTCGGAACTTCGAACACTACCATGACCACAGCCAACACAGCTCCGGCTAGTAGCGAACCTCCGCGCCTCTATCCCGCCATCACACACTTCGCCGACGCCATCGCGGCCTTGCCTCGAGAGTTTCGGAGACACAATTCGCTCCTGAAAGAGGTTGACGCGAAGGCGTGGGAGGCGGAGGAAAATCTGCAGAACATACTCAGACAATGTCTATCCGATCCGGCGATCACAGGAACAAATCTGGGCTCGACTGCGCCAGTTGTGGCGGGACCGACTGCTCCAGATGACCCCGTCCATGCCAGCGAGATCAACAGCGTCACCGGCGCTTCCCTTGACACAGCGTCGCTTGCCTCTGCTCGCTCGGCCGATCCGGCTGTTCTACCGCGCCGGCAGCAGTTCCACGCTCTCAGACAGCATTTAATGGCAATAATGGTAACCATGGATGAAAAGAACCATGTCATCAACAATGCCAATGAAGAGGTGGCAAAACACATTCGTCGTCTAGACAAGGCCTGGTCACATTTGGATGACGAGATATCAGAGGAAGCACGACTCGGGAGTCTCCGACACTGGGCGTATCCAGATCTGAATGCCGTCAAAAAACCAGCTGCGCCTGCTACCAGAAAAGACGGAGCCACGGGCGCTGGCACTCCTCATGAAAACGAGGCTGCGCATAGGAGCGAAGCCCGACGAGAAGCTGTCATGGCCCGGAGGCATAGAAACAATCAACATGCTGAGTCTGACTTCGACGAGACCAAGGCCCAGACACGGAAGACCAATGCAACAGGCAAGAAGCGCGCCGCTGAGACCGCACCGGATACAACTGGCCTGGGCATTTCTGGCACCGGCGCCGGTCCCGGCAAGAGAAAGAAAGCGGAAAAGCCTACAGTTGGTGGAGTCGGCATGGAGCGCTCAATCAGTAACGCCGTGGGAGGACGAGCCATGTCAAGAGAAAACTCTCAACAGGAGAATGCGAAAAAGAGGAAGGCATCGACCGCTGTCACGACTGTGGCTCGGAAGAGGTACGTGATAGTCTTCCCGATCCCCGAACGCATTTTACTGACTTTGTTGTTCTGCAGAATCAACGCGGCTACCCAGGATTCACCCAAACTGGCCTCCTCCCCTCTCGCTGGAACGACCGGAAAGGAAGCATACAAGAGAAGCCCTGCGTTATCCAACGCACGTCCGGCTGGAAGAGGGCGGCAGAACTCGACACAAGGCGCAGAGAACACACGAGGGCGACCTTCCTCATCGGCCGCAAACAAGCCGGGAGGTAGTCACAATGTCACGGCCTCGACACCCGAACTGCACAGCGTCGCAGCGGTGACTGGCAAGAGCACAAGCGAGGTCAAGAATACCATGAAAGAGACCAAGACGGACAAGGGAGACCGCCTGCTCGAAGACAAGGCCACAGCAGCCGACAGCGCGGAAGGAGAACCCTCGTTGCGGGGTGCTCTCTTGCTGGAAAGCTCGGCCAGCGGACAAGAGGGCGGAGCCAGAGATGAGCCGCCTGAGGAGGGTTCGACCAAGGGAGCCGTCGCTTCACCTCGCCTTCCTCCACCGCTGCAATTGAGCGAAATCAAGAACGAACGACGGGGTAGAGCCTCGAAAACGTCGACGCCCGTGGCCGGGTCCTTCGCCGAGGCTGAGGAGACTGAGACCGGGACTGCCAACGGTAGCGGCAGTGGCAACAACACGAACAATAACGGCACCAAGCCCAGACGCCCGGCGCGACCGAGAGTCAAGGACCACGGTCTCCATGACTCGCTGTCACCCAAGGGCTTACCGATGAAACGGCCTCACAAGAAGAGTGGCAGTTTCTCGGCCTTTAGCCCGCTCACGACCAACAGCCAGAGGCTGAGGGATGAACCCGATGCCAAGTCCCAGTCTGGAACACCTTCGGAACGGGGCGGTGTGCCCAGCGGCGATGACAACAACAACAATAGTAACGGCAACAGCATCAGCAACACCACCAATAACGGGGCCCGTGGTGACGAGGAAGAAGCCGACGGCGCCGAAGAAGACGAGGAACGGTATTGCTACTGCCAAGGCGTCAGCTACGGCGAGATGGTGGCCTGCGACAAGGAAGATTGTCCCCGACAATGGTTCCACCTGGAATGTATCGGGCTGAAGAGTGTTCCCAAGAGCGCCAAATGGTATTGCGACGAGTGTAAAGAGGCCCTGGCAAAGAAAGGCAAAGTCGCCAATGGTGGCAACGGCGGCAACAATGGGAATGGGAAATGAAACGGACCGTTTTTTGGGACAGGGTAATCAGATAGTCCCACGGAATTTGTCTTGTCTTGGGTTAAACGGCTGATCATAATGAATTTCTCATTTCTTCAAGTTTTTCACGAGTCTCTGGGGGCTGTATAGCACAGCTGAGGTACTAGCATGTTGTCAGTAACGGCATCGGCTGCCTTGGATTCCGCAGATCAATGTTCAAAATGCAAATGACCACACAAATTCGCGGGCTCTGCCAGTTCATGAAGAGTGAAAGTATTTTCGCAAAACGGACGTGCATAATGGGTCGTTCTTGACGGCTTTCTGTTCTAGATTGTGACACCTCCGTTTTGCCTTTCTTTTGCTGGTTTCATGACAACAAAACAATAATGTGATGTCTCTAATCTGTAACGGACTGGGCTGGATATTGTTTTCTTGCCGGATCATGCATCGGAAGCATATTATAGCTTATCGTACACTCACCTGTCGCTGACTACGAGGCCCGAAATGGACATTTGTCGTCCTGTAGTTGGGAAGCAAGAAGTGATAAGTGGTCCGAATACTTGCAAAGAGCATGGATAAAGACATGATAACAACAATAAATCCTAGTGTCACTGTCACATTTTCCAGGTAGAATAGAAGCTTGCCAACTCCGAGGAATCATTGTGGCCAATGCCCATTGACACGCTGTTTGCAGCACAGGCTAAGCGTCGGCAGGACATTGTCATTGTGTTACTGACCGTGTTTTTGCGTTGGTTTCAGTGGACAGATGGGAAAGAATGTCTGCGCGGAAAAGGAGGCAGTACTTAGTCCTTTAAGGTGTATCAAGGAAACATCCAGCTGAACCAAAGCCATGAGTTGAGCGAGTCGGAGTTGATATAAAGACGATCCAGTTTAAAGCTTCGTCACCCGCCACCCACTGGTAGACGTACCTTATCGAAGTTGAGGCTCGAGTGAATGAATGTGTAAACTAGGCAGGTAGCAAGATGAAGTGGGGCGATTCTTACCAGCCGGGCTTGTTCGTTGCGTCTGAAGTTGGCTAGGACCGGTGATACACGAGGCATCATGATAAAAGACATTGATAAACAGAACATCATCTGACCTTGGTAAGTACTATACCTGGAGTCACCTCGGGGAGACTCTGTGGCCGATTTGTGGAAAGGTAGCTATAACAGAATGCAAAATCGGCCAGGTTATGGGACTTCGCTAATGCAATGGTGTTCCTTGGTATTCTTACCTCTTTGATAGAAGTTAGCTTATTCTAAGTTAGCAAACCGTCAGTGTTCTATTGACACCATAGTGTGAGTCTCAGTGGAATATATAGGATTTGGTGTATGTGTTACCACTGGCAGCGAGCTGTAACAGCGCTGGAGCTTAGGTTGGTGAGCCGTGGAAGGGGTCTCTGAATGGTTCTTATCTTGGCGTCTGTGGACCGCACGGCATCAAGGAGATCTGAGGAGCCAAATGGACACAGCAGTCCTGATTGGAGAAAGGACACTTTGAACCATGCCAGTGAATATGAGCATTGTAAGCATCACAAGAAAGTCATCCTTCCTTCGATGAGATATCAGGATTTCTAAATTTATTCCTCCTTGTTGTCCTAGATAGTATGAAATGCAATTGTTGTATATTCGGATATCGGGCCTTTTCAGAGAGCCATAAGTCATGACGTCCCTCTTGTCGGTGACTGGCCGATCGAAGAAGGAGACGCAAGCATGCTGCACTGCATGCAGCGTTGGAATAAAGAGTCGTCGAAAGATAACACACGAAGCATGTGATGCTGGCCGTGTTGCTTTACAAAGCGGTACGGGATTGGTCAGGATTGCTGGTAGTAACAAGCTCAGTCACCTTGATGGCTGTCGTCCATTGTGTTTGCGCGCAAGAGGATGCAACAAAGGAACTCAAAATCAGCAGGAATCCTTGTGTCCGGGGTTGAGATGGCTGGCGCGAGTCGAAGTCACTTTCAAGCTGGAAAATTCAAAATCTGCAGATATCCGAGCATGTTTTCCTCTTCCAGTTCATGGAGTTTCAGGCCGACACAGTGGCTTTGAACTTGGTGGGCGTCTCTGGCTCCCGGCAGATTAGAGGAGGAAGAGTCAAGCCTCGATTCAACCAGGGTATACCTAGGTAACGAGTCCGATCAACATACACCAGACGCTGCACCAGCGGCGCCAGGTACCAGCTGCAGGTACGGAAAAAGCATGAGCTGCAAACGGGATGTTGAACATGTGTTATTACCGTCCTGTCCGGAAAGATGTCTGTCCAGTTCAAGTTGTAGCTTGTATACTCCACTGGCAGCGGTAAGTGCTCGACTAAGAGGACTAAGCTTAGCGCCATTAGTAGTGGTAACTGATAGCATTCGATTGGTCTTTCTGTCGGTGTTCCTGGCCAAACTTTCCGGCGCCGGCGGCACTAATCAAACAATAGTGACTTGCCACTCAGCTGGCAGTCACGGTGGTAAATGCCATCTTCCACTGGCGCCGCTGATGGTTGAATTGAATGCAGAAACCCGGCACGGGACCCGAAGCCTTTGTTTGTCCGTCTCTGGGCGACACGGCAGAAAACAACAATGAGGACGACATATAGAATAAGTATGAGCATAGACCCTGGTCATTGTACCAGCCGAAATCATTGCTGGTTGCAGTGTAGCTGCATTCGTCTCCAAACCCGGTTTATCGCATACCAACAAGTGGCACAAAGCACTGGGGATGTTGAATCTCATCTAACGGCATGATAACACTACTTCCATAGGGTCTAGCAACCGAAGAAAGTGTGGGAAACGTTGAAGGTGCCGATCAATGCAGTGGTGGTGATTGGATTTGATGGATACCCCCCGTGAGATTAGGTTGTACCACTTGTACCACTTGACATTGAGAGGCGCCGTTCCAACTAAAAGGCGCGGAAGCAGATGAAATTGGGTCGCCTATCGAGGCACCCCTCCACCAAGTTCCTGATAGTACGCCCTTTGATAAAGCCATCTTCATCCACTTCTCAGCCTGGGGCGCTGCTAGCCAAGTACCCCGGTTAGGCGGAAGAGAGCCACACAAGTACTAGTAGGGCCTGAAATAGTGACTAGCAGCAGTCCATCGATCGAATTCATCGGCCGAGCCGCCGTCAGCCCCAAAAAAAGACAAACTGCACTCTAACCTTGAACTTGAAGGCTTGTTGTCACAGTCTGAGTTCATTTGTACTTCGCATTATTCGCCGCGAGCAGAGCCCTCATTGCATTGTATGAGATCCCTCCCCGACTGCAGTGTCGCGCCTGAACTCCATCCTTTATACGAAGTCCTCAATGATCGGCCGCCGCTCGCTTACAATCACGCTCGAAGATCCCGCCTGACAAGGCGCTCCTTATCGCGTATCCTTGCCGGTCGTCTGGCTCTACTTCCGCTTCTGTCCATCAACGAACATCCACATCCCTTGCTGCTGTACTGCCGCACCAACCATATGCGCATCACCTGTGGACGCGCATAAGGAGACCGATCATGCCCTCAGGGATCTCTAGGTCGTTACAAGAATAACAGAGTTTCCGGCGGCCGGTCTACTGCGGGTTCCTATCTCGCGTGTCCAGCAGGGGCTGCTAACGTCGCCAAATGGCCTACGCTTCTGTCGCCCAAGCGGACCGTGATGCCTTTGCCCACGACTCAAACTTGGATTCCCCCAGTCTTCCCGACATCTCCAGTCCGCACCTCTCTGCCATGGGCATTGCGTTGTCCGGAGATGGGGAGCAATCCGCTGATCCGCAGGCCGGTCCGTCAAGAGGTGTTGGATCTCTCTTGAAATCTCTCGCGTCAACCCCTTCATATGAAATCGTGGACGAGGAGGACTACGAGGAGCCTATAGAGACATCGCAGAAAACTGACGTGAAAATGGAGGACTCTGGATCGCACAAAGATGACACTATTACATTCCAACCAGAAGAGCCGCCCATCAGAACAGCCTCCATTAGTCGCCATCTTCCCCTCAATCACCCTACACCGGATCTACATTCGCTGCAAGGGGCCTTCATCAAGAATGTGGAGCGCTTGGAAGAAAGCGCCGAGCGTCTGAGCATGACCTCGAGCCTGGAAGATGAGTTGAGCAAGATGAGACAGGATCAAAAGCGGTCAGAACGGCAGTCTTCCGCCCCGCTGAGCCTGAACCATGTCCTTCATCCAGCTCAGCAAAGACAGTTCTCGACTAGTTCGCTGTCGAATTCGATCATAGGGGTCAATCAAACAGCCAGGATAGGAGGATACTCTCCTTCAGGATACATCACGTCTCCCACTGGCTCAATCAAGTCTGGTCTAGGCCCGAACCAGCTCCAACTGGAGAGACAGGTTTCCAATGGCAGCCACCGTGAGGAAACGTTGCCGGAGCCTCCGGTAGAAGGTCGTCCGCTCCAGCTCACACCGCTCGACTTCACAGCACTTGGCCTCACCTCCGATGACCATTCGCCTGCGCCGATTTCGCATGAACGAAACACGGACCCAACCTCGCGTGAGTCGCCCGCCGGCTCCATCCAAGAGGAGAGGCCCACCACTTCCGCATCCAACGATACATACCGGCAAGCGCAGTCCGCCTTCCACGACTTCGATGGTGTTCACTATGGCGGCGACGGTTCCATGGCGCGCCAGATTTCTCTACGACGGCCACCACTAGCACGAGACTCTAAGGTTTATCGCGAAGCGCAACCTGGAGAGAAAATGATATACTATCCTGCACCTGTGCCTGTCATGCTCAATCTGCCCCCGCGGCTTTCCAAAGTCAACATCAGCGAACGGGAGAAACGCCGTCTACAAGCGCTTAGCGGGATCCCGGATGAAATGCGCAAATCCGCGGCATGGCTGGCAGGTGCTGACACCAACACGCCGGCCCAGCGAGCCTCACAGCACCTGCCGTCACAGCTCCGTGCCAGTGCATTCTTTGAATACCCCAGCGCCACCGAACAGCTCGAGTTGAAGAATGGTTCGGCTGTTCAGACTCTGGACAGTATCTTAGACGCTGCCGCTTATGCCCCTGTGAGTGCATTCACTGACCATCCGATCGCCGGCCAGGTTGGCAAGGAAGTGTATGGCGTGCACAAGTCGCCGCGGAAGAGTGTGCAACTTCCCAACCAAAAAGCAAAGAAGCGTCGAAGCTCTTTGAGTACCCTGCTTAGGACTCAACGTTCCAGCACTGCTCTGTCCGAGGCTCAGGTCGATCGGCGGAACTCCCGAGATTTCAAGCTTATGGGTGAGGGCGATCCGGACGCTAGTGATGATGACTTCGATCACGCAGCCGCAGAGGCCATCATGCCCGATGCAGACGAGCTGGAGCACGGTGAAGACGAGGAAGAGGCAGGAGAAGGCATGGTCGATCCTGGCTTTTCCACCGCCCCGACTACGTTGCTCGCAGAATTGCAGCTGCGCAAAGAACAGCAGAAGCGGCGGAATCTTACCGCGGCGCGCGCCTTTCCCAATGGGATGCATTCGACTCTTCTTGAAATGGATGCTGTGACTCAATTACAACAAAAGGCTCGCAAAACAAAACATGTCACACTTGCCTGGGAAGATCATGAGGAGGCAGACAAGCAGAATTTCGATGACGAAGATGTCCCACTGGGGCTGTTGTTCCCAGAAAAGGATAGAGCGGCTCATGCCAATATTCATCGACCGGTCGGGCTGCTCGAAAGGCGCGAAATGGAGGACAATGAGCCACTGAGCCACCGACGTGCGCGACTACGGGGAGAACCGCTGCAGTCTCTAAAGTCTGACACTAGAAGCCACGCAGAAGAAGCCAGTCGTGCTCCTGTTATCGAAGATGTTCCAGGACTTACTGGGGACACCGTCCCCGAAACCGAAGATGAGACATTGGCACAGCGGGCGGCAAGGCTGAAGTTGGAGAAAGAGAAAGGCACTGCGGGCCAATTCACCGAAGAAGTGTCCAGTCAACTCGGTTTAAATGTTGCTGCTAAAGACCAAGAGCTCTCCAAGACGCCTGACGGGGAGGAGACGCTAGCACAGCGCCGGAAGAGGTTGAAGGAGGAGGCCCTCCTCGCCGGCACGCAATCTGACAGTCGACCACGAATCAGATCAATGCGCAGCATGGCTGACATTCTGCAAGCCCACCCAGTCGGAGCTCAATCCAGAGAGGTCTCCAGCGAGTCAAAGGGACCTGAGCGACACAATGGTCAACCAAAGGGTCCTTTGATACAGTTTGACGAGAATTCGGGATTTCCTTCGGTCAACTACAACCAAGGGATCCCTGTATCACAAACCGCAAACTGGGGATATACCCAACAGAACGGCGCTTACATGAACGCTCTACATGGAAATGCATACATGAACCATGTACCTAATGTTGCCCAGCCATCCTTCTATGGCGCTCCTCTGCCGATGCATATGCAACAACCCATGAGCATTTACCCGTATGGGTATGGTGCTCAGCCATACATACAGGATCCCATGATGGGTCCACCGCTTAATCCGAAGCAGAGAGCACAGATTGACCAATGGCGACAAAGCATTGTTCAGTGACGCCTGTTTGGATGAAGGATGTACAATCGGCCTTCTTGGATGGCCTTGGAAAGAAACCACCATAGGGATGGCGCTGATGAAAGGCGGAATATATACATCTTGTAACACTGTAGAGACCTAGCCCAGGGACATAATCTTGACCGTATGGGATGGAGATGTGGAAAATCGCCTGAGGATGATGTTATATAATGGCAGTCGTGCTTGAGATGGTCTTAGTATTGACCAATGACCTATGGCGTTGGAATAAACAGAGATGCTATGCAAAGTGTCCAATTAAGTGAACAACTACCTGGTTCAAAATCCTGAACTGTTCTTTGAAGTAAAATCGTGCTTTGTGATGCTGACCCTGGGGTGATGTGTGAAATGCATGGCACGTGACCTGATACACGGCCTTATCGATTGTTGCCATGTAAACAACCGACGCGGTCACCGTAATGCCAACCACATGCTTCTATGCCTGCGCTCTCCAGCCGTGGACCAACGTGCTGCCCGTGCACTTCTTTCTTCAGTTGTTCATGCACCAATAATGAGTATGATCTGATCAAGCCCCGTGCGCAATATTTACTCCTGCCTTCACCATGGCTTCAAACGTCCTGCGGACAGCTCAGATCTTTGAGGATCCGGAGCCGCAGCAGAGAGGACGAAGAACTTACCGCAGCCATGCACCTTCTGCAACAGATGTCGTGAAGTCGCGTCGAAAGGAGAACCAAAGCCCTACCAAGACTCTGCCCCGAGACTATCAGGATAAGATATCTTCCGCAAGTCCTTTGGGGGAACGACACATCAACAGCCCACCTCAAACTAAGCGAGTCGCGACCAAGTTTGGTGAGGAACAGAGATCTCCAGCGAAGCCTGGACACAAGAAGACCGGAAGCTCTGTATCGCTAAGAGGACTTATACTGGGAAAAGAGAAAGCTATCGATGCGAGCAGTGTTTCCTCTACAGAAGGCTGTGTCGTTGATAAGAAACCCAAGAAGGTCAAGTCAGCGGCAAACTTGACAGGACTACTCAAGCGAAAATCCAAGAAGGATTTGAGAGAGGACACAAACAACGAGAACGGCTCATCGCCATCCAAGCAGACACCTGTTGAAGTCCCTACTCCAATCTGGCAGCAGTTCGCAACCCAGCCGCTGGAAAGCCCCGACGGCACCATGCTTTACCCAATGTCCCAGCGGAAGAGGATCGAGGAAGAGATCAAACTTTACACTCCAAAAGACTATTCGGAATTTCGTCCAAAGGAACAGAGGAACTTCTACGGCTATGGCCCTGCACTTCCAACTTCAATTGACCACAAACCTCCTCAGCGTCCATTCTTGGAGCACAAATCTAGCAGAAGCTCCGTCTTCACCGAGAACCTCGATGATGAGCCCAGGTCTAGCTCAGACTGTGGGTTGAGCAAGGATAGGAACTCGAGTCGCCCGGGATCAGCACGCACTCCAGATGCTCGTCCTGCGTTAGCAACTCGTTCCACGGAAAGCTCCCAGACAGATACCAAGACAAAACGAGGATCGAGAGTTTTCGATGCTATCCAATCCTTGAACATGAAATCCCGCAAGGACCACTCTACCAATCCAGACAGTCCTTCAGCGTCGACCCCTTCACTCAGCCCGCAGGAAATTGATTCAGCTTTCGAGCAGGTGCTGGACTCGTTGAATATACCTCTGAATATGCGCGACAACATGAGAAATCTGAAGCCAGATGTGAAAGCAGGCTTGATCAAGGGAGAACGCGTGGGCAGCGGATCATCAATGAACTCTGCAGGAGGGGATTCATCTGAACCAAAATCGACGAAAAGCCCACAGAAGCAAGAACCTGAGCGTCCAAAGAATCAGGACGACGACGGGAAAGAAGGCAAACGGTCTCGGTCACGTTCCCGGCCACGGAGTCGCATCCTGACTTTGAGTAGACGTGATGAGGAGTCTTCCAGCAACAAATCGGACCGACCTGGATCATCCTCTCGCTCTCGTAGCAAATCCAGGAACAAGTCGGTTGATGTAACTAACGCCCGACCTGGCTCTTCGAGAGCCATGGCCTCGTCCTCGTCACTGGTGTCGCTTAACCCAGCAGATAGTGCCACCACACCGGGCGATTTTATCCATTATCTGCGCGAAGTACAGAAGCCCGAACTGGTGGAGGTGGGCAAAATCCACAAGCTGCGAATCCTCGTTCGAAATGAGTCCATCAGCTGGACCGACCATTTCGTGACCAAGGGTGGGATGGACGAACTTCTTCAGCTATACTATCGGATCAAGAAGATTGAGTGGCGAGAGGAGCATGAAGACAGTTTATTGCATGAGACTTTGCTCTGTTTGAAGGGATTATGCACGACTTCTCGAGCACTCCAGCGTCTGCACGAGGTGGAACAGGAATTCTTTCCGGCGTTGCTGAGCATGCTGTTTGATCCCGACAGGAAAGGTCCAGCCGAGTTCAGCACCAGAGGAGTGATAGTATCGCTTCTGTTTGCCCACTTGTCCGCTGCCATGGATTTCGACGTGGAAGGAAAGCAAAAGCGGGCCGCCGCGATTCTAGGATTTCTGAAAGACCCTGCGCCGGAGCAAGACAAGCAGCCGTTGGATTTTGTGTCGCAAATGCATGTCCCTCGGCCTTACCGAGTCTGGTGCAAAGAGGTCTCGAACGTGACAAAGGAAGTCTTCTGGATCTTTCTGCATCATCTCAACGTTATCCCTATCGTCAACCCCGGTTCCAGCACCGCTGCATCTGATGGGTCTGACGCATATGCTCGGGCTCACTTTCCCGCGCCACGACCACCTCACCCTGCGGCGCCCTACGTTGGCGGCGTCGAATGGGAGGCTACACAGTATCTGGCGACGCATTTAGACCTGGTCAATGGATTAATTGCGTTCTTGCCCACGGCCAACGACCGCAACTCGCTCCGTGAAGAATTGAGGATCTCGGGCTTTGAAAAGGTCATGGGAGGTACTTTACGCACGTGTAAAGAAAAGTTCTATGGTGGAGTCCACGAAGGTTTGAAGTGTTGGGTTGCCGCGGCGAAAGCGGACGGCTGGTATATTGAAGATGTTCGAGCCGGACCGCCGCGTGATGTCACGAACTCGGCTCTCAGTAGTCCGCGCAAGAGTCCTGTCAAGAAGAAGGCCAATGACGAACCTCCAAAGCTGGACCTGGTTGTGGACGTCGGTCTTAAAGTCGAAGAAGGAGACAAGAAGACTGCCAATGCGCCTGCTACCCAGGGTGGCGCAGTAGAAGACCACTGGATCTGAGATGCAATTGACAGATTGATGATTCTATGACTTGCGTTGTTGCCGGTGGCCCTTCCGACGAAAAGGGTATGCATGTTATGTGTGGATGGTGGGCGAGCGAACCTTTGTGGAACCCAAAACGAGAGACTACAGGATGTTGCGCAGTCTGGGCACAGGGACAACTGAAGGTCGGAAAATGAAGATGGAAAGCAGTGTTGTGATTAATGAATGACTTTGACGATGTGTGTTTGACTTTCACTTCTCTCTTGTGGATTGTTTGGGGTCGGTGGTGGCGTTATGGCTTTGTTAGTATGATAAAGGTTCAGGTTCAGGTACAGGTACAGGAAGCGTTTCCCTATTCATCTTTTCTGTGTCTGCCTGTGGCGCGTCCGCCTGACCCGGTCCTCTCTGTTGTGGATTGATCGATAAATGATCGAGGCAAAGCAACCGAGCTCGGTCTGTTAGGAACTGTGTCCCATGATTGAGAATGTCTGATGCTCATGCTTATAAAGTTAAGTACCTGGGCATGACTGTTTACGTAGTATGGCAGCGAGGGTGCGTAGGTTTGATTATGAGACCGAGCACCAAGACCGAAACCAGCCTTAGATAGATTACCTATGATTGATTCCTGTTGCCCCGACGTTCCACTACCAGTACGAGATTATCCTCTAACTGTCTGTAGTACAACTATAGGTACATAGATATTGACGCGAGGCTGTTGAAGTTCAGATGAACTGATGGCCTGCTGGATATAGGGAAGTTGAGAATATAACATAAATATTTCCACAACCACTCTGGCAGTATCAACATTGGATTCATTATTTCAGGGCGTCCAATTTACTACTGCTCCACGTAGGTTTTAGGACTTTTTCGAATGAAGCGTGATACTTGGTTACTTATGTTCATCACACATCACACGCCACACAGCGTATCCTTGACGTTTCGATCAACTCTTTCAATCCGGTATTATATATCTTCTTGCGTACAATGCCCACTTATGTTCGAAACCAACACCCCGCGGGTCTGAAACTGTTTCAAATCTTCTCTTGCTCATGTCTCACTGCCTTCTCCTCTTCGCTCGAATCTCCATGGGCAATATGGACATCCTGTTGATGTCTCAAGTCGCGGTGCGTGACCTCAGCCATATCCTCGTCATGCTCGACGCTCAAATTGCGGCCTCTCCTTTCCGGTCCGATAAACGTCATGAGAAACAGGTACGCATATACCGCACCCATGAAAATGCAAATGACCAAACCGTAATTGTAGCGTTTGATCGTCTTGCCGTCCTTGTGGATCGGGTCGAGGGGAAATCGCTCGCCGATGGTGGATTCGATAGTTGAAGAGGCCGAAGATGCCAGGTTTCCGAGTTGATAGGAAGTTCCTACCACAAAGGTGCGGATGGAGCCTGGCGAAAGTTCCATCAAATGGATGGGAACCACGCCCCACGCACCTTGGACGCAGAACTGTTGGAAGAATGCGGCTGCGATGACGGCTTTGGAGCTGACAAAGGTGTACGGATAGAGCAGAGCACCTCCGATCACGCACATGACCATAATGCTCAGTCGACGTCCAAAAATCTGCGAGCAGTAACCAACAATCGTACCGCCCGTCATGGCGCCCAGATTGGCCACGACTTGAGTCACTGTGACGGCGTCTGGGGAGAATTTGAACTGATTTGAGAGCAGTGTCGGGTACAGATCTTGCGAACCGTGGCTGGCAAAATTGAGTCCAGCGGCGAGTAGAACCAAATAGCAGAGAAGCAGCCAGTGCCTCTTGAGGGCAACCTCGCCTTCGGCCACGAACGTCGATGCCAGACTACCTTGTTGCTTGCGGATAGCTTGACGAGCCCGAAAGGTGGCGGTCTCTGGAAGACAGAGACGGAATAGGATGATGAGGACCGGTGGGCCAGCACCGAACCAGAAAAGCGGTCGCCATCCGTGCGAGGTGGTGTTGACTAGCGCTCGTGCAAAGGCAGTGGCAAGGAGGTAGCCGAAGGCGTAGCCTTGTTGGAGCATTCCGGATAGAATACCACGTGCGGCTTCGGGGCAATCTTCAAGAGCTGTGGCAGCTGCATTGCCGTACAAGCCACCCATGGCAATACCAAACAGAGCGCGGACCGCCAGAAATTGCTTATAGGTTTTGCAAAAACCAGTGCCAAGTTCAAGCACGATGAAAAGAATGTTGTTCACGACGAACGGCCTGGAGCAAAATGTAAGTTCGGGAAGTGAAGCAGATGCACAGATCTTAGGGCTTACCATTTGCGACCATAACGATCAGCAGCTATCCCGAAAATAGTTGATCCGACAGAACGAAACATCAGGACCAGGGTGATACCCCATGTGATGTCAGTGTTTGATTTGCCAAAGTCTTCGGCCAGGTCGGAGACTGTGAGGGACACAGTGAAGAAGTCAAAGGCATCCCACGACCATGCCAGGAAGGCGACCAGGAAAAACATCCATTGCTGGGTGGAGAGCGTGCCCAGCAGCTTAATTGGATTGGGAGCCTTTGCCATCGGTGGCTTCAATGTTGTAATTCTGGTCGCAGCATATCTAGCGGGGGACATGTTCTTGCCAGCGGCGTCTGGATCTTCACCTTCGTAGACATCGTCATCTTGCACTCTCTGTGAAGGAGGCGGCAGCGGACTTGGGTGTACGTCAACGTTCACCATGGTGTCTGGTTGTGCAACTCCGGCCTTTGAAGACGTCTCACTCAGTCAACAAACAGCTCGAGCAGCCTCTTGACTTGAGAGAAGGATATGGGCGCTTGCTATCTTCCCTTGGAATGATGACCTGATGTCCAGATTAAATGGGCAGGCTGGCTCGTATTATGTATGAGCCGGCAATTGAACTGGCAGCTGACCAGATACACAGAGGTAGGGACTACCTACCGCCACTCCGCTGCCGTGGTCGCTTGGCGAGCGAGCGAGCGAGCGATCGGCACATCAATGCTTGTCTAGCACTTGGCGGCGTTGTGGGTGGTGTGTTGTACAGACAAGACGGGAAGGCTGGTTGGCCGAGATATCGCATGGTCCACGGCCTCCAGAGCCATTTGCCCGCCTCTGGAGAAGCGTCAGCGGGAGCAATGCTAGGTGCGGGGGTCCGGGGAGGATCATGAACAGGAAAAGAACGAATAGGACAAGGCGAACGTGGGGGCAACGCAAGCGTCAGAATGATCAAGGTGACATCGCGGCGATGGGGCGGTCGCTTGTCGGGTGGAACTCGGCCTTGCGGAGGGCCACAGGAACAGATATTGGATGGTGGTTTGATGCTTTTCAGAAGTTCTGTGGAAACCTCGTTGAATAATAAAAGAGGTTGAATCAGAAGACAGCAGGCAGAGTTGCCGGACTTTGCTCCGAAGGGATCTAGGCGAGGCTGCCGGAGGTTTACGGAGTGTCAGGGTTCATACACAGATTACAGGCATGGACAACATTGTATGATCCCGACATCCTCGCCTGGAGAGGCGCGCGAGGAGACGCTGCCGAGAATAGCACGTAGTTCTACGTAACTTTTCGAACGAGGCAATCCTGAATAACACTATACTATTATAATGATAGGAAGCAGGGCGAATTAGGTTGATAAGTAGGGGCCCGATAATGCCACCGGCACTTGCTCATTCATAGTTACTCCAGGTTACCTTCCGTCGGTGGCGAGAGGATCTTGTTCGACCGAGCTCTGTAGGGAGGTCACAACTCGCAGACGGTGGCTGGTCTATAGGGGGTAGATGACATTGTTGCTAAACAGTCCCGTTTATCTGAATTGGAAAGGTCCCCTCCACAGGTGCCCTCTTTCGAAGGGGACGTTTTCTGGGTTCCCAGCTCACTGCAATTCACTGTCGCGGAATTCCTGACTGGCCCAATTCCAAAGCGGAAAGTGCGCCGAGAACTAAATACAACTACTTAGGGCCTGTTCGACAAGCGCAACTTGAAGTGCCAACTAGCATTAAAACGCGTAAAAACGCCCTTTTCTTAAGGGCGTTTATAGATATCTTAGATTTAAGTTTAACGGCGTATAGTCCGTTTTTTAGCGCGGCGTTAAGATATAAGTTATAAGTTAAAGTATTATTATCGTAAAGGTAGTTTCGACTACCTTTACGATAATAGTACTTTAATCTACGCGATACTTTTAAGCGTCGTTTTATATCTATTTTAAGCTTAATTTCTATTATTCTATTCGACTTTATATAAATATAAGTTCTTAAGAGATTATCGAGTAAAAGACTCTACTACTAACTAAATAGAAGTCTTAAAAGCATAGTAAGTATTATAACTAGATAGATTATACTATTAAGACCCTATTAAGCGAATATATTATCGCTATACGAAAAGACTCCGAATAGATATTTAATAGTAACTTTAAGATCTACGTAAATAAGTATATTATTACTACCTTTCGGAAGAAAAACCTTCTAATATCGAGTAAAAACTAAATAAGAAGTAAGCGTAATTTAATATATAAATATAACTATTTCTTTATATAACTTTTATATTAATTTAGCTATTAACTTATCTTAGTATAGCTAAGAAATAACTTTAAATTCTAGACTCGAATTCGTAATATATTAAGCGTTAATAAGAAAGATAATATAATTTAAATATCTAAAAATAAATAGAATAAGCTTATTACGAAGAATCTAAAAAACGCTCGTTAGCGCGATAAACCGCTTTTATTTAGGGCTTTCTTAGAAGAGATCTTTACTAGTATCTATACTATAAAGCTATACTTATAGAGTAGATCGATTAATATATCGTAAGAGAAGAAAGAGAATATATCGTAGGGCGAAAAAGATACTATAAATATAGCTAGAGATACTATCGAAGATATCGAGAAAGATAATAGCGATAAGAAGATCGAGAAAATCGTATTTAATATAAGTATTAGCGTAGTAACGCTATAATTATAAATAATTATTTATTTATAAATAAAATATCGAGTAAGACGTTAATATCTATAAATAAGTATAAATATATTACTATCGTTAACGCGCTCTATCGATCTCGAGATCGAGATACTAATACGAAGAATATATAACTTAATACTCTTAATTAGATTATTAATATAATCGAATACTCTTAGCGAATAGAATTAGTAATAAAGATACTAGAAAATTCCGCTAGATCTATAGTCGTAAAATAATTATAAGAAGAGTATTATCTTTTAGATAGAAAACTTATTATTATAATAAAAGTACTCGTTATCGATAGTAATATTAATATATAGCTCGGTCTCGATACTAAATATATAGTTTATAAAAAGTAGCTTAAATACGAGTTATTTATTTAACTAGATAAGAAGATAATTCTATAGAGTATAACTCTAGCTCTTTTTAGTATAAATATCTAATATTTCGCTTTCTTACTCTTCTTACGCGTTAATAGTCTTTTTATATTATTTATATTATCTTATTTCGTCGCTTTTTTAAGACGTTTAAAAAAGAGTTTAATTTCGTCGTAGTAGTAGTAGTAGAAGTAGATTAAGAGAGTTTAAGCGTATTATTAATATTAAAGAGATCTATAAAATTTAGATCTTATAAGAGATTAACTAGTATATTAATATTTATATTATAAATTACTATTAGCGCTAGTATAAGATTTATCTATTATTTTATTAAGAATTAAGGCGCTTTTCTAATAATTTTATACTTATACTTTAAAATACTAAATACTCGCTTAATATAAGTTTTTAGTTAAGAGTAACGTAAATTAAATAACTTCTCTTTTATTTCTAGCTTTATCTATACTCTATTCTATTTATATAGATAATATCGATAAGAAGAAGATATAAATCTACTTTTAATAAGCGTATTCTATAAAATTCGAGTATTATAAGTAGAATCTTTCTAACTCGCGTAAATAAAGATAAATCTAAGAAAAAAGTCGTAGATAGTAAGAATATTTTATAATAGAAAGTCTTTTTTATTATACTAGAGTAATTACTTAATAATAGAAATATAAGTAATAATATAAGTACTATTAAATATTTCGACGTAGTTCTTAAAGTAAGAGTAAAATTTACTATTACTTTTAATCTATAATAGTATAGAAGACGTCTTTATTAGCTATTAAACTAACTCTAAATAAAGCTTAGTAAGTACTATTAGAATTCGATTAAATATTCTCGAGATTATATCGAGTAAGTAGTTAAAAAGTAGTAAAATATCTCGATAGCTACTACTAGATCGATAGATATAAAGAAAGATTACTAATCTCTTATCGATATCGATAGAATAGATCTTACGAATACTTTCTCTTAAGTACTCGATAAGCGTTTAAAATATCTCTAGTCGAAGACTAGTATCTCGATATAACTAAATAGAAAAGAGTAACTATTTCTATATCTATTATTAGCTCTAGAGAGCGCTTCTAAATATCGCTTAAGAAGGTTTTCAACTATTACTATCGATAACGAGAATAACGAGATATAGCGTAATTAAGCGTAGGACTTCCGAGCGATTTATTATGGCGCGAGATCGGTTACCTACTCTACGAACCTCGAATTCTACGCATTTAACGCCTACAGTTATCGAAAACCGAGCGTAGAATAAACAACACCACTTTACGCGTCAAAGTGGCAAAATTATGTGGAGTTATGGAAAACGCCTAGTAAAATAGCGTGAAAAAACATCGGGGCGCATCCCTGTTAAAGTGCTCAAAACGCGCTTTTCTTAATGGCACTTCAAGTTGCGCTTGTCGAACAGG